AACACGTCCACAAGCCACAGGGTTTGAACCTATGCCACTCGGGAATAAACCAAAAAAAACCTCAGAGATTACTGACAAGCCAAAGGGTTTGAACCTCTGCCACTTGCAATAACTCAGAATTCACAAACAAGTTCCAAAAACACAAATGCACATTCAAGTTATCACAATACAATATTCTCTAAGTAGAGCGCAATCAATTACTGTACTTTACTCGAACAAATCAAGTGCGCTCGAGGAAGGCATGCCTTGCAAGCTCTCAAAGTGTTCAAAATAATTCTAAGTTCAATAATATTCTCTCGCTCGAAGCTTCAAATAAAATCCTTTCGTCGTACACTAAGCACGCTGCTTCATAGTACAACTGCAGGGGTCTGAGAAACTTGCTAACTACCTGTAACTACCGCTCTTATATTTACCATTAACTATATGAAATGTAAATACTGAAAATAGACAACACTCCACCTCGGACTCCCTTCTCTTGCATGCCGCATCAGCCGTAGTGATAGTAATCATTATTTTACTCAGCACTCCGTGTCGGTGCGCGTGCTACCGCTGTTTTCTCCACTTGGCAAGGCCTAGCCTCATCGTGCCATGTGGCATGTGTCTTCTTATTGGCTCCACGGATTTAATTACAGAGCCACGCAACTTATCTAGTGAGCGAGTTTTATTTTATTGGTTGCCATGCAACCATTTCTAGTTTAATATTTCATATGGGCAGCGGGTTTTATTTCTCTCCGGCCGAGAACTCCTTAGAGTATTCGGACTTGTTGATTCTTCATTCAGGATGATGTTTCTCGGTGATTGCCTGATCGGCAGGGTTCACGCATCATAGATCAATGTAGCGCGAAGCACCTTCAATATATTATCTTCAGTGAATTTAATTGAGTGATACACTGTAGAGGAGGGCACAGTGTGTGTGTATAAGCACTGAGACTGCACACTTAAATGACACAAGTGTGCCGCTCTAAGTCTAAGCCATGCGCTCTACTCATATTATTTTTATTATAGTGCTTTCTGCCTCAGTGTGTAGCGCTCTATGCCTTACATGCACTCTAAGATTATTCACGGGGCACACATACGTTTGCATTCCTAGAATTCGCAAAATTACATGTGTGAACGCATTGCACGCATGTCACCGTGCCTGTAGCAACTGCTCAATCGTGATCAGGGCGCAGCCCAGCTATACTAGTGCTGATTGTATGAGATCTGTATCACCCTAGCCAGATCTGGGCTAAGGGTTATGCCTTTACTGGTTCATTTCTAAGTCCTTTCAGAAGTGCTCACATGACTAGTCATCCTGACTTAGGCATTCATGCCCAAATCGGTCCACTCGCGACTGAATAGTCAAGATCTGTGTGGGTTCTTACTTCTTGTTTGGGCACTAGCAGCTGTATTCTTTACTAGTGACCATATTTTACTAAGTCATACTAGCTTTGGAGGTGCTAGTCCGGTCGGCTGGTAGGGCTGACCCACTAGTGGTATCATTCCTAAGTCCTGACTTGACTAGTAGCATGCTAACTTGACTATCAGTCCGAAGTCTCAACTATAGCCCTTGATATACGACTAGTATAGGATAGACCTGCAACAGTATTGTTATAAAATCGCAAAATCTAGGTGTGAACGCATAGACAGCGTATCACCGGGTCACTTGAGACATGGGTGCAGGTTGGGGTTATGGGTAGTACAACAATGGTTGCAGGACCTGCTGTGATGTGTCTGGGTGCACCTGGGTCAGGAACCATGCGAGACTTTACACCCAATAAAGTCAATTATGAGCAACACCCTCAAGTCACACTAATTACAATCAAGGAAGGAGTGGTACCCATGGTAACAGAATTTGTAGAAGTGATACAGAAGGTCCATGAACAGACAGTGAAGGTATTGGAAAAAGCTGTGGAAACAATGAAGAGGGAGTATGACAGACACTGGAGAGATGCAGTTGAGTATCAGTCAGGTGACAAGGTATGGCTAGACTCAACCAATTTGCACCTTCCCTGACCAATGAAGAAACTTGGCAACAAATGAGTTGGTCCTTTTGAGATGCTTTCCAAGCATGGCACCTCAGCCTACAAGTTAAAACTCCCCACCACCTGGAAGATCCATGATCAGGTCAATGAAGTTCTGCTCACCCTGTATCATCTGCTGGAGTTCCCAAATCAGGAACAACCACAACCACCACCCTCAGACCTCATAGACGGTCAGGAAGAGTATGAAGTGGAGGAGGTTGTGGATCAAAGAGAGTGAACAGTTGGGAGGGGCTGACAGAGAAGGACAGTTATTGAATACCTAGTCAAGTGGAAAGGGTCTTCAAGGGAGGAAAACTTGTGGGTCAATGAGCTCAAACTTGATAATGCTTGTGAGGTAATCAAGAACTTTATACATATCTTGTACATCATGTCACCACCTGCCACTTGGTGGGATCCAAACTTCCCAGCACAACCAGAATTGGTAGATGAGTGGTCAGATACCTTGTCCATCCCCTCAGAATTTGACCCAGACCTTGCCAACACAGTCAAAGAATTCTTCACAAACCCTAGTTTACATGCAGTCAGGATGACTGCCTTAACAGGAGGGGTAATATTATGATTTCCTGCTATCTTATCTTATCAGCAGCATCTATCTTCATCTAATCCCCTATCTTAATGCCCAGACTTACTAATTTCCTTCCTATCATCAGACATGTTCACATTGTGTGGCCTTGGGTCTTTCACTGCAGCTCACAACTATCATCTTGTATCTTCTGTTCTACTTGTGGTCGCCTCATGTATAGTGGTTCTTGTACCTATTATTAGCATAGCCAAACATGTATATAAGTAGCATGACTGATGGCCTTAAGCCTCAGTCTCAAACTAAAGTTTATTCACCCAATATCTTAGTCTGAACTCATTCTCAATCCACTAAGCATGCACACTACTGGAACCTACTTGCAAACTTCACATGTGATTGGCCAAACACAAGTCACACATTGTTGTTTGATCTTGTTTATTCAAATCAGTCACTAACAAATGGTTGACATGAAGTTTGGTATGCCTCCTGCAAAAAAGGACACATTCATGCCTGCAGTAGCTCTTGAACTCATTGAATTACTCTGAGAGATCACAGGTCTGGGTGTCCTCATTGAAATTGACTAGCCATTCATTGTGTGCCTCCATTGGACCTCCACCATATTGAACAGCTCCAGCTGATGTGCTTGGTAATGGGCAGCATGCAAAATGTGACAAGTGTCTAGATCATAAATTTTAGATACTAAATTACATACACACACACACACTATCACCAATGTTTATAAGTTTGAGGGTGAGTACAATGGAAGCACTTGTGATACACTTAGATCTTGATAATCAATTGGGTTTTGTTCAAAAAGCAACTTCAATTCTGTTCTAGGTGTGTTTTTACACAAAGTATGCTAGTCCGTGATAGCAGGGTTTTATGAACTTGTTTCATAAGGTATAGGTGAGCAAGTTATACTCATTTCAACGTCGTTTAGAAGAGCTTCTAGCAGACACTTCAATCAATCAAATAACCAAAGACTCAGAGGCCTACAAAGAACACAAAATCACTCTAGAGTACACAGACTCAACATAGAACACACAGGTTCTGACTTCAAGTACGAGACTTGCAAAGAGTACACAGACTCTAGAGTACCTTGTACTCAACAATCGTTCGAACTTAAAGTGTTCTAGGGCTTATTTCACTTCAACTAGATAATGTCTTTTGGCTTAGGGTTGATGCAGCACATCTAGATCACTTAACTTGGAGAGAGAGCATGAGGCCTTTGTCTGCAGAACAGTTTCAATTAACTAGCAAGGCACAAACATGGGGATGGATCTTCTTCCTACTCAACTCTTCTAGATTACTGTAGTTGCCCTTACAGATTGACTTTGGTAACTTAATTCACTTCAGTCGAGGATATGCAATAAAACCAGTGAATGATTAGGTAGCTATACAGGCTACTAGCACAAATGTGGGGGGAATGCTTTTCTGCCATTATGCATCTAGTCACTGCTAATTTATATGATTCTTGTTCTATGTATAGGAGCCTGTATCTACAGTAATTATGGTACGAGCTTTGGGATTAATACAAATGGTGAGTCACTATTCTACAAGGATCATGCCATTCAATAGTTTCTATTCAGTTTGACGAGACAGCTCCAGGTTACTCTGTCACTGAGGAGTGCCCTACTGGTCCATGGGAGCTCCTTCTACCATCTGCAAGGCTTGCCGCACACTATTTGTATTGAATACTGCAGTTTGCGCAGGATCTTGAGGATGTCACCACCAATTATGATTGACCACAGGCCTGAGATTATATTCTGTTGATCACTGCATGATCTAGGTGAGCTATCTCGGTACCCAATGGGGCTATTCATTCTTCCAAGGTTATTTCTTTCATAGACTGAGTTCATCTTGAAATCTGATCTGTTTCTTGACTTAGCAATTCTTCTTGATAGGTTCTTTCCATGAGGCATCTAGTTCATTCTGTTCTTCAGCTTCTTGGGTTTTGTGCTTCATACAGACAAGTCCCTGAGATCTGACTGTAATAGTTGTGTTTTAGATAGGGCTTAGCTTGGCATATTGAAGGTTGGTAGAATTGACTTGTCGAGATGTCATTTCTAAGACCATTCTATACTGCCATACTCTCTCTCTTTATGTAGTATTTAGCTACCAGTGCGAAGCCTCCACTGTAGCTCTCTGTACCACCTGTAGACTGCATAAATTGATACAAAATTGCAAAATCTATGAGTAGCCTGATACCAGGTGTGTAGGAGTACTTAATCTTGAAGTACATGTTGTAGCTTAGACCAAGTTATATTGATCAACTACGTGATGTATACAAGATAAAGACTACTGCTTATCAATGCTGTGCTATGATTATATAGGGCATCGGTGAAGCTGATGCCAAATAGAGCTAAATGAAGGACTTATAGATGCTACTCGTTATATAGGTCAGTACGCCCCTTACACCCCCCCCCCCTGACCAGACCGAGTCATCAGTCTAAAACATGTCACTTGCTCCTAGCTCTTGGTGCAATGTGTGTCTTGTCCAGGCCATTGATCAAGTCCGATGCCATGCTACCGTCATCCACAGAATTGTCCCGCATGTGCTCTTCATCAGCCATGCCGTTAAGCATGGGCTCCGAGCTGGTGTTTGCGATTTGAATGGACGACTCATGCGATTCAGGCAGGATCATATTAGAATCCTCATCAGTGATGTCATCTGTGTGACTCGCAACCGTTGGGGTGCCATTAGGGGTGGCTATCGATCTCAGGGCGGTGGGCAGAAATTCATTCAACCATGTAAATATACCGCTCTCCCCTCTCAGCAGTGTGTATTGGTTTTCCTGAGTTGTTACTCTACTACTTGGTTGATGTTTGTAGCGCTCGTAGAAGAGCAGTGCTCGTATGCAGTGGGTGTCTCCCACATCTGGCAACCACCATCCTCGGAAGTCGTCTGCAATGCATGGTTTGCCATATCATCTGATTCATTCTTGGCATTGCTCCTCCAAATCCTGGTAGTGAGCACGAAAATGTATGCTGGTATGTTGGTCGATCCATACCATCGCCCAAGGGTTGTAACGCACTAACTTGGATTGAACAACATTTGCCTCTAAACTGTCACTCGCGTTCGGTGATTCAGTTGTCAGTTGTGAAGAGGGCGTTGCAATCACTAGGTCAGAAACGATAGTCCTTAGTATTGGAAGCAGGGAGTTTCTGCGTGAAAAGTTAGGAGTGTATAACTTTAGCCGAAGCTGGGGTGTAAGACCACAGCAAGGCTCGTTTAAATACATTGTGGTATTTACTAGTATGTACCACTCCTACGTCTCGGTGTACAGTGTCCCAATGCATTGCTGTCTTCTGGTCGTATGGGACTTGGTATAGGAGAAGCTCTCCTGCGAGTGAGAAGGCAAGCACCTGTATGGTGCTTGATATGGTAGAAGCGTATTTGCGAGTCAGAGGGATGGTGCTATCCTTGGACGAGCATATGTGGATCCCTGTCATCCTAGGAGAAGCCTCCCTGCAAATAAGAAGACTGGCGTTCGTATGGTGCCATCCTCTGAGGAGTATACGTGGCGGCTTATCTATCCTAGGGTGTGATCAGAGTCGACCTAAAGAAGCGTGACTGGGTAAAGGAGGGTCAGGCCCATAGTTGTGTGATCAGATCTATGGGCCATCAAACAGATCATGCGTGTGAGTGGTGATTCAGGGACCAATCAGGTGTGACTGATGGTTGTGTTGTGGCAATGCTCCGGTGATGCGGTGTGAGTGTGGTGATGTGAGAACCGCTCCTGCGAGTAAGAAGGGTAGCATCCGTATGGCGCTACCTCTCACAATGTATGGCAGCAGATGTTAGCCACCAACTCTACAAACTAGATCAAACGAGGATTGCCACTCGCACTTCGGTGGATCGATACACTCACAGGCCTAAGGATGTATGGGATGAGCGGGAGCGAACTTAGATAGATGCGAAACACGGAGTTCGAGTTGGGTAGATTAAACCTTAGCCGAAGCTGGGGTTTAGACCAGCTGAGGCTCTACTTAAATACATGTTGAGTAACCTAATAATAGTACTGTGAGAGTGAGTCCATTGAGATCGTGCAAGAGTAGCATATGTCATAAGCAAAAAGATGTAAGAAAGAAAGAAAAAAAGAAAAAGAAATAAATAAACCGTAACATTACCCCTCCCTTAAGATTCATTCGTCCTGAATGATCCGTCAGACTCGTATCCCAAACCGCTGACTGACTCGATACCGTTAGGAAAGTCGAGGTTGTTCTCGTCATCATCATCCCAATTTTCAATGACTCATTGGAGGAAGTTTACGTCCGACTCCTCATCATCCAACGGAGGGTCGAAGAGGATAGGAGGATTATGGTAGGGTCTCCCCTCTCTTCTTGAGTCCTCAATTTCCCTGGCTCAGCAGCGAAGGTAGGAATCTCTCACTCTGGGATCATTAAAGCGAGGGTCCGCATTTTCTCTAGGTTTTGGTCGAGACGGTTCATATGCTTCGTCCAGGTGTTCTCGCTTGTACTGTTCATTCTTCTTTTGAAGTGCTTCATCCATGGCCTGAGAGACTTCCATGATTAGTCATTGGAAAGATGAGGTTGTTGATGTGGGGCCTGGTTTGTGCCCCATGGGCATTCCGTCTGATGCATGTGCGTCTCCGACCACATTGATGTCTTCTGAGTGTCGAGAGCATGTGCATTGGGAAGATGGAACAGTAACGATATCAGTTAAACATGGAGTGTCCAGGTCATGGAATAAGGCGAGGTTATTGGACAGTATCTTGTCATCAATACCGACCATCTTTCTGTTAGGTAGAACCTTCCATTGGACCTTTTGTATACGAGCCTCATATTTGTTTACTAGGGCTTCTGCATTGGCCATGTCGGACCTTTTTACCCAGGAGTTTTCTTCTGTAGAATAACCTTTCCATTTGACCAGGTATTCAGTTATGGTCCTGTGATTTCGTCCCTGGCCGACTACTTTATCCTTTTCATCGACTATCTCCTCTATCTCGTATTCTTCTTTGTCGTCAATTAACTCCGGAGGTGGCCTCTCTGGTTGTGGCTGGTTTGGGAACCCAGGGGATTGGTATGGCATAAGTAGGGCTTCATTGAATCGATTATAAATCTTCCACTTGGATGGAAGTTTTAATTCATATGAGGATGCCCCCTTTTTTGCTACTATTTCGAACGGTCCGACCCGTTGATCGTTGAGTTTGCATGCTGGTCGAGGAAGTCGAAGGTTGGTGGTATCCAGCCAGACTTTATCACCCTGGCTGGTACTCAATTGACGGCCTTTTCCCATTATCGTAGCTACGTTTCATTGTTTCGGCAGCCTTCTCGAGCGATTTCTTCGTCTTCTCCTGAACCTCTTGAATCCCCTCTACCAATTTGGAAGTGGCAGGTACATTCCCGGGACGTTGGGCAGTAGTGATTACTTGCCCGTCCCTTCCAAAGACCACCTTGTACAGGGAGAACCCTGTCGCTGAGTGTTTTCAATTATTGTGGGTGAAGGCAGCCAAAGGCAGCCATTCACTCCAGTCGTCTTGTCTATATCCTACGAAAATCCGGAGATAATTTTCTATCTCCTGGTTGACCCTCTCCGTCTGTCCGTCTGTCTGAGGGTGATATGCCATGGATGAGTTACCGGTGATGTTGAGAAGAGCGTAGAATTCTTTCATAAATTTGGATACAAATATTGCTCCTCTGTCCAAGATAACCTTTTCTGGTAGAACTCCATAGGGTACGTAAACGTGATCCCATAGGATTTTGGCGAAACCTAACGAGGTGAGTTCTTCGGTACAAGCGATCGGGATAATGGTTTTTGAAAACCGATCGACGATGACCAGGATCGAGTCATACCCTTTGGAGTTTGGGAGTTTGGTGATCATATCCACGGAGATGTGAGTCCAGGGTCTGGTAGGTACTTCATTTGGATGAAGAGGGGCCCATTTGGGCCTCCGATCCGCTTTGGTCCATTGGCAAGTCTCACAGCCTTTCACGTATGCTTCTACATCCCGGCACATCCGTGGCCACCAGTAGTCTCGTAGTATGAGCTCTTTGGTTTTCTCGATTCCCGGATGCCCCGCTGTGACATGGTCGTGTTTAAGGGCTATGATCTCCCCCCGGAGTTGTCGGTCCACTGGAATATATATTCATCCATCATAGAGCAGTAGGCCCTCTTCTCTGGTGATCCCTTTCTCGTGATTGAGGGAGTTGGAGATCCCTCTATCCCACTTCCTCACGTCATGTGTGGCTAACTTGATTTTTTCATGCAACTGCTCTGCGGTAGGAAGGACGAGGGCTCGAAAATGCTCTGCTTTGAGCACAACGATATCCCAATTGTCCTCCTTTCCCTGGTCATGATCAACCCTCCTAGATAATAAGTCCGCTTTTCGATTTTGTGCCCCCGGCTTGTGATGTAAGGTGAACTGGTATTCAGCCAATTCCATGACCCATCTCGCCTGTCAACGATTAAGCTTCTGGGGCTTGCAGAAGTATTGGAGGTTGGAGTGATCTGTCCATATTTCAAAGTCCTCCCGAGCCCCCATCAGATAATGCCTCCATTCATCCAGGGCTATCATGATCGCTAAGAGCTCTTTGTCATAAATTTCGTAGTTTCGCTCGGTGGCTGATAGGGACTTGGAAAGGAATGCTACGGGTCTCCATTTATCATCCTGCTGTTGGGAGAGCACCACCCCAACTGCTCCTTCACTTGAGTCCGCCTCTACCCTGAATTTTCCCCGATCCAGGGGTATCGCTAGAACTACATCCTCCTGAAACAGGTCTTTGAGCTTGCTGAAGGCGGCCTGTTGCACCTTTCCCCACGTCCACTCTGTCTTCCCGGTTATGGTTGTAAGGGGCTTCATGTGTTTGCTGTAGTCCCTTATGAATTGTCAATAGAAGTTACAGAATCCTAGGAAGGATTGTAGCTCCTGTTTCTTTCTAGGAGTAGGCCACTCCAGTAAGCCGGCAATTTTCACGGGGTCCATTCGGATCTTTCCCTCGCTGATTATCACCCCCAAATACTCTGTCTCTTCCACTTCGAATTTGCATTTTTCTGCTTTGAGAAATAATTTGTGCTCATGGAGTATGCGCAAGACCTTTCGAACGATTTGTTTGTGCTCTGCCCTTGTCTTGGATGCAATGAGAATGTCGTCCAGGTACACGGTGACTTCCCCGGCGACTATTAGATCTTTGAATATATCATTCATCATCCATTGAAAGGTCGCAGGTGAGTTGGTGAGACTGAAAAACATCACCAGGGGTTCGTACAGCCCTCGATTAGTCCTGAAGGCCACTTTCCACTCGTCTCCCTTTTTGATATGAACATTATTGTACCCCCACCTTACATCCAGCTTGGTGAAGTATTTGGCCCCTTTGAGCTTGTCCATGAGCTCCCCTATCAATGGCAAGGGATAACGGTTTTTAATCGTCATTTCATTAAGCTTGTGATAGTCCTGGACCGGTCTAAGTTTCCCATCCTTCTTTTTTACAAAAAAGAACGGAGAGGCCATGGGGGATTTTGAGGATCGAATTCTTCCACTGGATAAGTTTTCATCCAGGAATTTATCGAGCTCCTCCTGCTCTGTCGGGTTAAGTGGGTAGATTTTACAATCTAGACTGGCATTCGCATTTGGGATTAATTCAATGGCATGATCCCACAGTTTGCAGGGTGGTAATTCATCAAAGTTCTCTTTTGCAAAGACGTCCTGAAACTCCCAGTACTCTTCTGGTATGATTTCTTCGAAGGATTGCTCCTTCTTTTGTGCGTGGGCTTTGGCAGCCAGTTCGTTGGCCTTTGTCCCCATGGCCCGAACTTGAAATGCCTCCTCAAAGTCCACCACCAAAATTGTGTCTCCTTCCTCATATTCCTCACCCCACCGGGCAGATGGATCCTCGTCAGGAAGTGAAAATGGTATCTTTCGACATCCACATCTGGCCAGCATAATCGATCCCGTCTTCCAGTCTATAAGGGGGTTGTGTTTTTGCAACCAGTCATGCCCAAGGAATATGGGGGTGCTTCCCAGGTCCATGACTGCCAAATCGATCCTTTCTGAGTGGTCTCCGATGCACAGGCGCACGTTGGCATACTCAGTGATATCTCCTCCTTTGTTGCAGGTTCCATCTGCATTATAGACCAGAGTGGGTTGGGCCGCCTTCCGGACTCTGATCCCATGATCTCGGGCCCAGGTCCAATCAATGGCACTCCTGGTGCAGCCGCTATCCACTAGCGCCTTGACAGCATGGGTGTCTTTCGTGTCAAGGGTTTCTAATTGAAGGTTTATGGACACATTATGCCCCTTTCTCCCTCAGATATACATAGGTGGTTTCTTCAAATCCTCTAGCCACTCCCACTTGTCTCGTGCCTCTGATGAGGTCTCTGGCTGCTCCTTGAGCGCATCTATCAACTCCGTGGTTACCTCTCCTTTGCGAGCGGGATGGACCCACCCGTTCAGGGTGGCGTGAGCCGTGGAGTCATTTGTAGATAGCCTGAGTGCTCGCCACCTCCAATGAGCTCCAAAGGGTTCATAGTAATTGTCAACGATTTCCCGGCGGTTGGTGAGAGTGTCAGCATGAATGGAATGGGACCTTCCTCTATGCGTGACCAGAATGTCGGAGAGAAGGTAGGCCTCTTCATCAGGGACTTCTTCGACCATTACTCGGAATGCTTGGTCTTGACCTTGTGGAGGCATTTGGTCACCGGGCCAAGAAGGACCCTTAGGCAGCATTTGGTCACTGTTCAATGAGGGGGTGGAGGAGGGCTCGCTGCCCTGTGTTCTGCCCTGGCCATGGGTGCTTGTGCTCTGTGTTGTAACCTCCACAGTTGATCCATACTTATCCTCTCTCAACCCCGTGGTACTCCTGATGTCCCTTCACGGACGCACACATGTTGGCTCCCATATTGCAAGTTCTGCTACTTCTCGGAACCTCGTCATGAGATCCTCGGTGAATTCCTGCCATGATGGCAATCTCCAGTGTCCCTGCTCATCGCGGTATCGGTAATACTGGTCGTTCCACCATTTCTGTGCGTCTCCTTGTAAGTATGACTGAGCGAACGTAATCCGATAAGGATTCTGCCCGGCTGAGTTGAGGGTGTAGTACATGGGGAATACCTGGAAGTAAAGCTCACAATGATGGAGGTAGCGAGTAATATCTGAGGATACCCCAGTGAAGTATTCGGGTTGCGTGATTAGCTTGGGTTTTACATCATTCCAGGGATTGTTCACCGCTCCTGGGGCGAGTTGCCATGGAGGGATGGGGTCCAGTGGTGGAGGCGGTACTGGGGGTATTGGAGGATTCGGGGGTCTTGGTAGCGACTGGAGTCTTGGGTTGTTCCCCGGGGATGGGTATCCTTCGGGCCTTGATGGTGCCGGGGGCAGTGGCCCTACAGGTGGCTGCAGCAGGGGAACAGTAGATCCCTTTCCTTTGTCAGGATTCAAGGGTCCAGCTTCCGCATCGTTGGCCCATCCATCATCTCCTCCTCCTCCTCCTGCCTTGAGCCTCGTTCCTGCCAGCGGGTTGGACATGGGCATGGGTTGTTGGTAGGGTGCGCACCTGGGTCGTGGATCATCCAGGTTACACATGTTCCATACCTTTGCGGCCCGATGCCAGGCATCTACCTCGACAATATTCTGCATCAGATATAGGTCTCCAGCATGCCTGGCATCGACGTAGTCTTCTCCTGCCTCTGTGAACAGCCATTGAGGATCTTGAACCATGTCTTCTGCCATGATCTTGTACAGCGTTTCCCACTCGAGGATTGCCATCACGGCCGGCACATACTGTACCGACCTAGTGAGAACCACCTTCACTTGTCTCATTACTTCCCCAGCGATGGCGGAATTTGGCAGCCTCTTCGGCATTCCACTGTCGACTGGTCCTGGTTGCCCAGGTGGGTCCTCCTCCCTCTCGTTGTCTTCTCTGCTCTTGGGCTTGCCTTCTCCTCCACTCGGAAAGGTCAGAGCAGTCCTCATCGAGGACCTCAAAGAAGAAGTCCTCTCTCGCCTCTTCGAGGCGCTCGAGGTCATTTGTTCTATGTGATGCTTCATGAAGTTGAAGCTCTGCTGCTCCGAATTCTTCGACGGGCCTCATCGTCGGTGGCGTCGGGCTTGAGGGGAAGTTGGTACGGGAGGTCCTGTATGGCCTGACGTTCGGTGTTTCGGGTACGTGCACTGCTCGTTCTTGCTCTGTCCATTCTGGCCTCTCCTTCTGGGGTGACCCTGGCAGCTCTAGGGTCGAAGTTGGACTCGACAAGCACGTGGTACTCTTCAGTCAACAGTCGCTGGTTGAAGGGGATGGGGGCAGCGAACGCTCTTGGTGCGACTGACGGGGCGAAAGAGGGGACTCCAGGGAATTCATCGGAGGGGGTACTTCCTCCAATGTCATCGGATGTTGAATCGGGGTGAGTTTCCTCAGTATCCGGGTTGTACAACTCAATGGTGTCCCAGATATGCTGCTCAGTTTTGGCAGGGAGGGTAACGTTCCACGGGACGGGGGTGTCCTCGGGCCCTGCAGCTTGGGTTGATACTCCGGCCACAGAAGCCTCTTCCCGGGTGAAGACCCAACTTGTGTGGGGGTACCACGCCACAGGGATCCCCTGCCACTCTCTTCCGCCGCCTGGCGCAATTCTTCCATTATAGGGGTCTGCGCTAGCTGGACTGGTGGTAGTTGCGGCAGAGGCCCCAAGGCCGAGCTCTCCACTGTCTTCTGCAAGGTCGTCTCCGTGGAAGTACTCTTCGGTGTCTGCTTCTGCGTCAAGATCGAACAAGGATTGCCCATCCCCTCCTGTATAGGTGTCATCCCCTTCTTCCATCGGGACGCCGTCGAGGAGGTCTTGGATGCGGATCCTTTCAAACTCGGTAAGGGCATCATCGCCTTCTTCGCCCTTGACCATATGCCCTCCTTCTTCTCTGCTTCTGGAAGGGAGACCTGAGACTCCTGGTGGAGTGACGGGTCCTGGTATGTTGAAGACGAGGCCATCTCCGAGATTGACTCCTCTTGCGTCTGTGATGTCGACAGAGGATACCCTGGGTATTGGGGAAGACTCCCTGGAATCTGAGGCTGATCCTCTGGGTGTGATGGGTCTGCCATCGTGCAGTGTCGGTTGCACTGGAATTTGCGGGTACGGAACGGTTGGGTACGGAATTGGAAGATGCGGGATGTAATGGAATGGGAGTTGGGCCCTTCTGGCTCTGGTGCAGCACCTGTATACTGCTCAAAGAGCAAGTGCTAGGAGTGCTCCTGCCAATAATCCAAATGCCACTGCGACTGTAGGTAACAGTTCCACCAACGGCATAGGCACTGGGTGATCCGTGATTAGTCGATGAAGAATCCAGTAGTCACAATGAGTAGAGTGACCACGAGTTCTGGGAGTATGGAGCTGGTTATGATAAGCAGCACAATTACTGCCACCATGGCCAGCTGAAGGATGGTGATGATAATTAACAGTTTGGGTTTGGAGAACACCTTTCCGTTGGTCCACCCGCGATGTGTTGATAGTTACGAAACTATCCTCATGAGCACATGGCGGTGACCTCTCTGGTCTGGCGAAGAAATAATGACTTTAAGATGGTTGGGCAGCATTCGTTCTCTGACATGGCGCTGGGCAATGTATGTCAAGCTTCGGCTAAATGTTAGCCACCAACTCTACAAACTAGATCAAACGAGGATCGCCACTCGCACTTCAGTGGATCGATACACTCGCAGGCCTAAGGATGTATGGGATGAGCGGGAGCGAACTTAGATAGATGCGAAACACGGAGTTCGAGTTGGGTAGATTAAACCTTAGCCGAAGCTGGGGTTTAGACCAGCTGAGGCTCTACTTAAATACATGTTGAGTAACCTAATAATAGTACTGTGAGAGTGAGTCCATTGAGATCGTGCAAGAGTAGCATATGTCATAAGCAAAAAGATGTAAGAAAGAAAGAAAAAAAGAAAAAGAAATGAATAAACCGTAACAAGCAGAGCCCATGACAGAGTCCCAATGATGTGGTCTATGGCGCAAGGTGATGCCATGTGTGCATGTGACCAAGCAGGTCATGAATGATGCGGATCAGGTATGAGGAATAATGATGAGAGTCGAATGACGAGTTGCCCTGATAAGATAAGATAAGCAAAAAATAGGGGTGAATTCATGACAAGGGTATGCATTGTCGAGCATCTCTTGTGTGATGGCACATGCAGCTAGGTGGCGTATCATGTCGAGTTTGGACAGATTTTCTCCAGCCCCATTGAATATCATCCAACGTAGGGTGGGGACACCGGGGGTGATTACGATGGGTAATTCTTCCAGTCTGTCACAGTTCTATCTTCTAATATAGTCTGCATAATACCTCGGTCTGAACACGATACCAGTGAAATATCTTGCGTAGTAGTTGTTCATGTTGTCGGGGTGTAGGAAACGGAGAAATAGCATCCCCCATATGCTTGCATAGTTCACCCGGTGAGATGTGTCCATGATTAAACCCCTCACTGGGTTCAGGCCTCCAGGGCAGAAATGATGTGCTGCAAACTGGCACCAGTCATCCAAAGTACTGTTGACAGGGCATGTTAATCCTGCCCCATTCATGATGGATGTATTACTCGTGCACCTGTATCGTGGGTCGAGAGGGATAAAGTAAGGTCTGGGCATCCCTCATCTGAGCTCTGCCAGTCTATTGTCATGTTCAAAGTGCTCAATGACCTCGTGCATGGATAAGTCATGGTAACGCAATGCTACTGCTTCTGAAATGCAGTGGAACTCGCTTAGAAGGCACAGGGTGCTCTGCCATCCTTGTCAGCATGTGTGTATGAAGTTGGTGGATTCTTGTACTTTGTGAACATTCATGGGGAATCCCCTAGGGTTCAGGTGACTGTCCATGTTGGTAGGCCCATATTCTAGCCCTTCTAATAGGGCACGTGCTGCTTCAACCACTTCCTGGTCGGCATACATCACATTTGTTCTGGGGTCATATGTGAACCCCGGCCTGTGCATGCCTCTGAATGAGTTGTCACGTTCGATCTGAGTCATGACCTCATTTGGTTGGAATCAATCCAGCCATGCGGGTAATCTGCTGGGGTGTCGTAGGTGTCATGTCCTCCATTCCACAAAGAGTTGTGCCTGCTGCACTGAGTTTAGGGCTTTGTCATTCTTGCCCTCATTCTCCCCTCCTGGCCTGACACCATTGAGTATGTTGGCCATTGAGCGTCTCTCCAGCATGCAAGCAGGGTATGAACCATTTTGTAATGGCATCACTGGGAGGTCTAGTGAAAGGTCAGCGATGCAGTCCTCAAGTGATACCCTATCATCACGGATAATCCCCCCAAATTGCCTCTGGTCGAACGAGTCAAGGAGCTCATCGTTCTTGTCCTCCTTGGGTATATGCTGCAACTGTTGTGGTGTTGGTGTTATCACTTCAGTCTGCTGTCTTATGTTCCTGCTTGGTGTGGGCTCCCTCCCCCTCCTAGACGTGGTGGGGGTCATGATCCCCAGGCATGTTGTTGCAGCCACTGTCTCTGTGGTTGCTGCTGCTACGCCTCGAACCTGGGTAGTCCACATCTTCCTTGAGGAACTCGTCGAGCTTGGCATCGATCCTGCACCTCTCACTCTGGTATGATCAGGTGTCCTGTGGATGCTTCATGGGCTGTCTGCCATTTTCTACTGGAGAGAGCTGACGTTTGTGTATGAGACGTTCGAGCTTGTTGTATTTTTTCATCAGATATCCATGTACAATCGTATATATTCGTTTGAGTTCTTATCAACATTGGTGAATCCCAGGGTCTTGAATATTCTTGTCGTCTGAGTGTGTACCACATGTCTGAGTACCACTCTCTGTGCATACCCCATCACTGCTAATTGCTCTTTCATTGCCTCCCATACCTTGGCAGGATCTTTAATGAATTCTTCCACCGCTCGCTTGGCCTCCAGTGCATCGACTTCTGCATTATCACCCTCTGGTAGTGGTATGGGCATCTGTTTTTGTATGCTGGGGGATCCAGGCACTGATTCCGTGGTGGCCATGTTGTGTTCCGGTACTTTCACCTGCTCGTTGATATGGTCCCCATCCGACATTTCATCATCTGTCCATACCGTTGTAGTAGGTGAGGTTGCCAGTTTCCACCAGTTAGGGCTATCCGATGGTACTGGTATTGGGGTCTTCTGGGTCACTGGTGAGTTGTGTATGCTCCCAAAGGCAGGATTTGGGCAAAATCCGTTGATTGGCACGTAGCCACCGTTGTACAATGCAGAAGATGATACTGGGACATCCAACTGTGGGATGGGGGTGCCCTTGCCTTCTGCATGTTGTTCTATCGAGGGCTGGCGAGAGCCGATTATGGCCTTGGGATCATATGGCACTGTTTCCATGTCATTGTCCTCAATTGAGTATTTGCCATCTAATTCACCATCCTGCACGACTTCTCCTTCCCATATATTCTCGGAGTCCGTGGCCAGTACAGTCTTGAATGTAAGGGTGGGCTTCTTCGCTTCCATGGTTGCCTTCAGTGGCCTTGAGGTGGTAAGGTTGATCCTTGGCAGTTCTTCTACATTGTCTTGAGGCTCAGTCGATCTGACGTTGCCTGTTCCTTTCTTGCTTCCATTCTTGGCTCGAGTTTTTGTCATGTTTGCAGTGTGATGTGGCAGCATGGAAAAGCGAAATTTCCTGAAAATTTGGTGCTCAGGGGTAGGGGTAGTTGGTGAATGTAAATGGAAAAGCTAAAAAAGTGTAGGAGTACTTAATCTTGAAGTACACGTTGTAGCTTAGACCAAGTTATATTGATCAACTACGCGGTGTATACAAGATAAAGACTACTGCTTATCAATGCTGTGCTATGATTATATAGGGCATCAGTGAAGCTGATGCCAAATAGAGCTAAATGAAGGACTTATAGATGCTACTTGTTATATAGGTTGGTACGCCCCTTACAAGGTGTATCACCACTCTTGCAATTGAAGTCTGGGTTGCTTGAGAGTCAATACTATCAGATCTCTCTGGTAGATTTGGAGAGGGTTGTGATGAGCTGGGCAGTGCTCTTCTGTACTGTGGGAGACTTTGTAACAGCAAGAGCTTTTACCACATTGAGTGTGACAGTCTGGAGGAAATTAGGACCACCAACAGTGATGAACTTTGGTGGCAGCTGAGTCGTGTGTTAAAGTTGAGTACTGAGATCTGAGATCTTGAGCTTGAGAGTCAAAGTAGTATTTGTTAAAACATGATAATACAAATAATGGTTGAGTGACACAAGATGTTCAGAAAAAACAAATGACTATTGAAGTACTGTACTATTTCATTCAGTTTGAATGTCATGTGTCAGAATGAAAAAATCTGGAATGGAATTAATTTTTTCTCAATTACTGTATAATTATGACCAAGTGTTCAGTAATGTGTAATAGTGATCCATGAACTGAACACTTTTGGGAAACTGTAACAGGTACAGTTATTTACCGGTCATTGGAATGCCGAAAAATATTTTCTATCCCATCTACCACACATCGTTTTTTTCCTCAAATAAAGTAGCCACAAAATTTTCAATATTCCTCAGTGATGTCTATACATAGTATGAAGTGGATCAAATCATCTATTATTGAGATATTCATAATTTACGGTGTTTCATTGACTGGTAAATGACCACGTGGCAAACCCCTGCCAAATTTGTGTCACTGTTCGATTTTTCATGGGGTCAGCAGTAGCATTAAAATCCCCCAAAAATCACTAAAAATTCATAACACATAACATCTATGTCTCCAATTATACAACAGTTTCAGGCAGCGGAATTGGCGAGAAGGAGGCTAAATCAACTGTTTCAGTGACTGATGGTGTTGCAATGACCTGTCAATAACTGTAAGAGGTCTCCAACTTGCCTGTGCATAACAAATATAGCAATTTTTTGATGCTGCATGGCTCACATCTGCCTAAATATAGCAGTTGGACCCTGTATAAACACTTTGCCCACTGAACCCTAGGTGTAATGTGTAATGCTCTACGAACACTTGGTGGTAATTATACAGTATTCCAATTTCTTTTAGATTTTTTTCAACCAAAAAATCCATGGATTGTGTTCAAATTGATCAAAATGGTACAGTATTGAAAACAGGCAGATGGCAGAAGTGGGCTCAAAAAGGGCATTGATGCCCAAATAGTGATCAATGCCAGATCATGCCAAGTTTGCTGAAGTACAATGATGTATATATGGGGAAACCTCAGAGTTAATGAAAATGCACCACCACTAAAACCCTCAGGACTGCATAAGAGCAAGACCTGTATACACAGAACTCAGAACCTCCTCATGAGTGGCAGAAGGAAATGTGGGATTTTAGTCAAGGTGAGAGGGATTTTTAGAGTTTTCTGTTACTGAAATTAAGTAATAACAAGGGTTGAACAGTCCTGCCTACATCAACCTGACCAAGTGACAGGCGGCAGTGGTTGCAACAAAGGGTAAATATGTTGCAACAGAAGGGAGGCATGTGCTTTGTTGCAACAGGACAGATAGTTTAGGGGAGAACATGATTTTATTTCAGGTTATTATAGACATTCATTGCAACATGGGTGGTGTGTACACAGTGTAGATGTCAATAAATAAATAAACTGTTGCAACAGCACGAATGTCTGTGATGTTTTTTATTGCAATGAAGTCCATGAAAAGTCAGAACATAGATACCTATCATGATGATTATGGGAGTGACATCTATAGTTGTCAAGGTGAGGGCAGAATGAAGTGTACAAGGACAAACTGAACAGAATAGAGCACTGCATTCTTTCTGTCCCAGACCAAAGGTAAAGCAAGGATCTGGCAATAATTACATACTATTAGAATAGACAACAAAGGAGCACTTACTAATTGCTTACCAAGGACATCTTAGAGGTCAACAAATGTCCGAATGGACACCAATATGATATGTGGTGATACTTCCATGCAAATTAGCAGAACTGAGTAAACGGGTGAGATGTGATATACATCCACGTTAGGCTGGCACACTCGTCATTGAAACGTAGGGCCAGTATTTTTGCCCCTAGCAGCCATGCTCAGTGAGGCCCTATATCATGAACATCAGCACAAAGTTAACCCATATGAGTGGAAGGAAAGAAAGTAGATGAGAGAACTCAGAAAGAGATTGATCTCATGGAGCTTTAACCTCTCCAAAGTAGTAAATATAGAAGATATCATATTATGTAAGAAAGCAATACAAATTAATGGTTCCATACCTCACAATGAAGCCTTCTGTAGTGAGGACCAATCTAATAATAACCTCATTAGCTTTATCTGAAAATGATGAGAACAAAGGCATCTCAGGAGGTGAAAAAATCACCGACATGGAAACTCTGCACATCCAACCCAAAGAAGCTATCAAATGCAAGAGGAATTTTCCTTCCATCAGACACTCCTGTAAAGAAAGAAACTCACTTCAACATCACAGCCCCAATTGAGGCAGAGCTGAATAACAAAGGCTTGGTTTCCATCTATCAAGGAATCTGTGATGAGAGGGAGTGCCTTTGCACTGATTTCAATGTCAGGAACACCACCAGAGGACAGAGTAAGAATCGTTCTTACTTTGAAACTACCTGATTTTAGAGCCAGCGGTTTCCAAGTATTGAAGCAAGAAGAAGCGAGATAGCCTCAGTGTCACAACCTTGCACACCGCATTGTGTTGAGGGGAGAATGGGTTAGGATTAGGAAGACTAGGAAAGTCATTTCTGGACAAGGTAGGTGTCAAATATGCTGGTAAGACAAGGTTTGGTGAAGGTAAGTCCTTTGAGAGAGCACTGACACTCACATCTTCATCGACATTCCTCAAGAGGCATTGTGTAAAGGATACGACACCTTACGGGCTTATTGACCCAAGAACTACGCATGCCAACAGGGTGTATTGATAGTAGAGAGTCAAGATGCAAGCAAGTAAGGTGAAAGTAAGAGATTAAGAGACGATGCGACAAAAAGAGAAGGACAATAGATGTGACAGAAGGCATAGGTAAATAGATATCAACAGAGAGCATCCATATCCCTTACACCCTCCCCCTGGAGATTGGGTGTACAGGCTCAATCACCTAGTAGTACAGGATTATACTAAGATATCAACATGATCGGGTGAATCAAGCTTATCAACTTCACCATCAACGTTTGGGGTCGAGCCTGAAGATGGGGTCATCGTGATGGAAGCCTTAGTTAATGTGGAAGTGGTAGGAGCAATAGACAAGGAAGAATCAGATGGACCTGCTGCAGGAGCATTGCCATCTCCAGTCATAGGTATGTCTGCATCTCTGGTCACGGGAAGAAGGGCTTCAGAACTGGAGTTATCACTGCCAGAGAGCTGATTACCCCCACTAGCCTTGCCCGCAGCCTTCAGGATGAGTGGGTAATTAAGAAAATGTCTGCGATGTGCTTCGAGGATCGGTGTCAAGTCCCATTCAACGGGCATGGTCCAGTAGATTCAGGGGGTGGAGTTATCCCAGAACATGGATACATCATGAGGGAGATCAAATTGATCAACACACCATGCAAAGTTATCAAGGGCTTCATAGGCATGGGTACAGAGGGGGCCCTTGAAGCGTCGGGCTGTGGATAGCAGCAGTTCATGGCTGTAGGGTTGGACATAGCAGATAGAGGTATACTTGATGCCGCACTTAGCAAGATGGGTAATGATGTCAGCCTGAGAGGCTTGGCCAACAAGAGAGAGCAGGAACGGGGACACCTTTTCCGTGTCTGCAATGGAGATATGATGATCCCGGCAAATGTCTGTGTACAGTGTCGGGTGAACAAGCACACTAGCAAGAACAATGGCGAAACCATGCCAATTAACTCGGGTTGCAGCACTGGGGACAATAGATTGGAATAACAAATACCCTGCAAGGGTACGGATGTTGACTGATCCGGTCATCGTGACGGATACACCAGTATTGTGGCATTCCATGCCATGAAGGAAGATGAAGCTAGCCCATAACTGGGGGTCAAGACAGGTTTCATCAGGCACAGTCACCTTTACAGGAGGAGGAGGAAGTGGGGGCAGATCTCGGCCATTGTTGCCATCCTGAGATCGAGGCTTGGTATCATGAGGCTGGCCCAACCAGCAGGGACGACAACGATTCCACTGAGATTGAAGGGTACATTCGCCGTCGGTGATGTTAGGATACGGAGCATGGCGCCTGTTCCATTTGCAAACTATGTTAATGGACTGCTTACAGCATGTAGCAGTGATCATATTCAAGATCTGGTTGACGATGACCCAATTATTAGGTGAATGAGCTGCATCAATCATCAACATGGCGTTGACAGCAGTAACGGGAACTGTACATGAAGGGTCGTATCCTGGGAGTGATGCATAGTGAATTTCGTGAGTCAGTATATCTGCTCTTGGGGGAGATGATTGGTGAGGTCCTTGTGCATGGGATACTACTGGGTATGGGTGACATTCACGTATACCTCGAGATGAGTGAGAATGGTGATGATCACGGGTGATGGAATCATCGTAGGGCAAGATAGATCGGGGAAGGGCGGATAGGCCTTCCATCTTCGTTTTGAGTAATTCATTCTCTTGGTGAAGCCGAGTGAGTTCATCAGGGGGACCACGATCTGTGACAATAGGTGTAGCTGTTGTGGTGATAGCAGGGTCTCCAGAGTCGAGGGTGAACGACTCGAGGGCTGTAGTGAGATCATCTGGGATAGTAGATCCAGAATTAGTAGCTGAACTCGGAAGCTTAGCTGACTGAGTCGTACTGTTAACCATTTCCCCAGGGCGGTTACGGTGTTTTGTGAGTCCAGACACCATCTATGGAATAGTATGCACCCTAGTGCATGATGTGGGGTTGGTAAAGTCATCGGAGAGGGCTGGTGCAAGATCAGAGTCAATGATTCCCTCCATAGCCATCGAATGCATTGTCGCTGCTGGGAGCATCATAGATGCACCTAGGTTCGATGGTGCAAAGGCTGGGTTGCCATGGGCAAATGGGAACAGGAAGAACGATGGAGTCAGGTTGAAGTTTGGATAACCTGTATAGAAAGGCATTCCGTTCAGCAAGGGGTGGCTAGTGCTGCTCATATACGAAGGGTGGAAAGAGTTTTGAGGGGGCAAGGATACCTGTTCCTCCCCCTGAGAAGAATTGGCGTTGAGGTTGAAAAGAGTCGAAGCAGGAGCAGCCATGGAGTGCGAATTGGGTTGCTGGCTGTGTTGGGGTGCCATTACTTAAGGCAATTGGAACAATGTGAATTGAGAACAATGGCCTGCCGTTTTGACAGGTAAAAAAAATTTTCACAATCCTAAAGATGGTGGACAAGTACCAGACATTGTCGCGACATTTGGTGGTGTTGCCTCGAAATTGTGGTAGTGTCATATGATGTGCCAGCAGTATTATCACCAAATAGGGTACCTGACGATCAGGGCAATTTGATTTTTTAGTGTCATCTGCGTTGGTGCCCTGCCTTATTGTTTGCAGTTTTATTTTCAGTCTGCTGCTGTTTCCTTGGCCTGGATTTCTTGGCTGACAATTTTGGCAAGTCCTTAGGGTCTGAAACCCCAGCAACAGCTAGGAAATCATCAAGTGCTTTGAGGTCTTTGCACTTAGAGTATGGCTCAACTGTTAAATCACCAAGAGCCCAGCATACATGGAAAAACAATGAGTTATTCTTCCATTCATATCCTTCAATACACTCAATGAATTCCTCAGCATCATCAGGAGCACCGAAATCATAAGGTTCGGGCTTCTTTCTTTCTGGGAATAAAACTGCGTCGCTTTCAATATAGGGCCATAATAGGCTAACATGAAAGCATGGGTGAATATGACGTTTAACGAGTTCCTCAGGGAGGTCTAGCTCATAGGTTGATGATGTATGGTCTGCCATGAGTACAGTATATGGGCCGACGAATTTTGGTAAGAGTTTCATTTCTCTGGCTTTGGGAAGATTCAAATTCTTCATAGATAGGTATACCTTTGATCCCTCCTTGATATCAGGTTCGTGAATCCTATGCTTATTAGCTTCGTGAGTCTGGAATACTCATGAGGCAATGAGTGCATCATGAGCATCATACAGGTTCTGCATAGCTTGAATAGCAAAAGCACGGATCCCAGGTGGGACGAGTTTATCATATCAGATCTCTCGCATCATTGAAGGCATATATCCTCCAACAAGCTCAAAGGGTGCGAACCCCATAGATGCATTCATACTTGAATTAAGAGCAAACTCGACGACAGGTACTTTGATCAACCAATCATGCTGATCAGGACGTATCGCAGTACAGAAAATCTGTCCAATAGAGCAATTAGCTCACTCTGTAGATCCGTCAGTCTGCAGATGAAAGGAGGTAGACATAAGGAGCTTTGCACTGAGTAAGCGGTGAAGTTCTTTCCACCATACTGACGTGAATTTAGGATCATGGTCAGATACTATTGATTCTGGGAGACCGTGTAGTCGTACGATCTCACGGAGATATATCGCAGACAAATCCATAGCTGTATTGGAGGTGTGTACTGGTATTAAATGAACCTGAGATGTCAATCAGCAGATAACTACCCAAAGGTAATTATATCCTTTAACTTCAGGAAGCGGGCCAATAAAATCTATCCCAATGGATTGCCATGGTTGTGTTGGTATTGGCAACAAGTGAAGTTTCCCAGAGGGAGCTCTATAGTTCCCTTTCGACTTGTTACATGTCTCACAGGTAAGGCAGAAGAAATCGCACATCCCATAAATTTTCGGCCACCAATACCAATGACGAATGTAATCCGCCATTTGCTGTGGTTCATAGTGGCCAACAACCTCATGGGCCTGTTCAATGATAGCACCACAAAGTGAACATGATCCCTTAGGTGATTTAAGGATGCATAGTAGTTTTTCTCCAGGCTTATGTGAATTTTCCGTCAAGATTAAGCCTTTTTCAATGAGAAAGCGAGGGTGATCATTGGGAGCTTCAAGGATCTTCGAAAATATCAGATCCAAGGTGTATGAAGACTTGATATCAGACACAAAGGTCAAATCCGAGTCCATAGCAGTTTGTAAGTTCTTACCCTTGTCTCGAGAGTCAATGACAGTTGGGTTAATCTTTGGTAGTTGGACCGGATCAGGTACCTCTATTTCCCTAGCATCTTCCATTTCTGCTGCTTCGAGGTCTCAGGTTTCATGTTTCTCTTTGAGCCGATTGGACTCCCAACGAAGTTCCATGGCTGCAAGTCGAACAACCATGTCTTCAGCCTCCTGCTTGTGGCCTAAAGGCAGGTCTTCGCCGAGTTTATCTATGCGGATGTCTGCATTAACAAATTCAGATAGATGGTGTTGATCTTCTGGTGTATCAGATTCATAGTAGCGTGATAGGGCATCAGCAACTTTGTTGGATACCCCCTTCACATATGTGATATCAAAATCAAAGCAAGAAAGATATTCCATCCACCGCATTTGATGGCTCAATAATCGGTGCTGAGTCTTAAAGAATTCCAGAGCTTTGTGGTCTGTAACGACATGAATGCAATAGCCAATAAGTTTGTCCTCCCATTTAAGGAGAGCCTTGAGCATCGCTAGGGTTTCAGTCTCGAAAACACGGTAATTTCATTGGCTATCTGTGAACTTTTTTGACATGAAACCGGCAGGGCAACAGGTTTGCCATGTTGGGCCCTGACCATACATAGCACCCACCCCTGAAATCGAAGCATCACAGATAACCCAGATGGGTTCCTTGACCGCTGCATCGATAGGACGAGGGATAGGTACTTTACAGCATAGGTCCTTAATAGATTGGAAAGAGACAGAATGAAGCGGACGCCAGTAGAAAGGCTGTCCGTTCTTTGTCATCTCTGATAGAGGAGCTGTATATGCAGTCACATCTGGTAAGAAATGGGCGAGATAATTCATGAATCTGAGGAATTTCTCAATATCATTATAGTGTCATGGTTGGCGCCACTTTCGGATCCGCTCTAGCTTATCCGAATCAGCATGGAGTCCCTTATCATCAATAAGATGTCTGAGACAATCCATTCTTTCAGCATAAAGCTGAACCTTTTCTGCCTTCATGAATAACTTATTTTCTCGAAGCTTATCAAACACGAGCCTGAGGTGGTGTTCATGCTCCTCAACACTGTTGCTGTAAATGAACAAGTCATCCAGGTATACATGCATGAAGACTCCAATATAGTCTTGGAAAATCGAAGTCATGAGTCATTGAAATGTGGAGGGGGCATTGCAGTCCTCCTGCTGCATGACATTGCTCTTGAAGGTTCCAAATATGGTCGCAAAAGCAGTCTTCCATACATCGGATGGAACAATACATACTTGCTCATATGCATTCAAGAGGTCAATCTTGGATCGGAGTTTAGCCTGAGCAACATCAAGTCAGATAGTATCCTGGTCTGGGAATGGAGTAACATCTTGTTCAGTATTCTCATTGGGTTTCCGACAATCAACTGTGGTTCGGATATCTGAGCCATCCTTTTTCGGGATGCATAACATGGGAGCTGCTTGGGTAGAGACACATGGTTCCCACCAGCAGGCCCTCTTATACTGGGCAATCTTCTCAGCCAGTTTACCCTTCATTGAGTCGGGGCATCGAGGTAAGTAATAATTGTACTTGGCTTTATCATTAATCAAAGGGATTTCATGATTTACCGCTCGAAGTGGAGGCAATTCCTCTGGGATACCTCCCATAATATCATGGCATGATTCCATCCATCGAGCTCGCAGTTGAGGGATATCTTTCACTGAAGGCAAGGTTATATCCTTCGTTTTGTTCCTGTATAGCTCAGAAGTTGCACGGATTGCTTCTTCAATCGAGATCTTCGGATTGGATTCTTCAGTTTCCTTGGTTTGCGATTCTGGAAACCATTCTCATGTGAATTCCTGTACTAGTTCATTGACTTCGAGGATTTGTTGCCTATCCTTTGGATTTGAAGGATCCAACGTAAGAGCCTCATCAATGATTTTGGAAAGATCCTCTGTTGACATGAAGTCTTCCGGAGTAAGCAATACAGGTAATTGATGGTTTAGTGAGGCTGCAGGCCGTTCACCGTCTTCATCTTCATTTTCAGTTATATCTTCTATGGTTGGTGCATAGTGTGACCATGGAGGTTCAGGTTTATTGGATCGGGCTTCATTAACTAGCTGGCCATCTAGTCATTTTGATTTAAACTTTGATTGTGAAACCCTGTTGGTTCAACTTTTCGAGTTTTTTGTGTCTGGGGCCTGTTGTTTGAGTCTATTTGGGTGAGGTTTGATTTCTACTTCCTCATCAGAATCAAATTGAACTCTGTTGGATACGTGTTTTGCATATCTACGAGTCATTTCCTTGGTTTCCTCCCCCTCAGAAAGAGTAGGGGCAGGAATACGCCGAATTCTAATTGTATCGTACTCAAAATCAAGTGAAATACCATGCTTACGCATGAAAACAGTACCAAGAATAGTGTCATATCGGTCCACATTCACTATATCAAAGTAATAATCATCCCCTGAGATAGATGCATGACTACCTCCAAACTTGTAGGATGCATTACAACCATGGGTAATATGTGAACGACTTCCTTTTGTTCCTAGTTGAAGTGTGATGGGTTTTGTCAACTTGTTAGGATCGTGCCAATAGGATTGCAGCGGTAAGTGCACGTAGTGGAATGCCGCGGGATGCGTCGGGCGTAGGCGAAGCTATTAGCAACGTCACCCCTGAGCCAAAGCCCTAAGATGGATACGGACGGAAGTCCGTGGAGTGGCAGCGACGAGGTAAGAGATAAGTCCAACGGATCGGAGTTCCGTGGACTGGAGAACGAGAGTTAGACTTAGAGTCAGAGAGAGAAATTGGGCTGAACCAAGTTGATATTCGAACTGAGTATCTACAGTGTAATTCTAAGGCTTATATACTAGTTAGGAGTCCGATCTAGTTCCTACTCGGAGTGGTCTACATTCTAGGGTTGTCGGAGGATGTATTCTACCGGTCGGTAGCCGATGGGGTCCGATGACATGTTCACTACCGATGTTGGGCTATTGATAAATTAATATGGAGAAGTGAAATATAAAATGGAATATGAAATAGAAACTGGGAATCGGAATCCGTAGGATTCCGGGCTGTGGTTTGTTGGATTGAGTGGAAGTCGGGTTTCCATCGGCATGCTCGTTACACAACTGGAATATGCTTAATTTTGAGAGGCAAGTGAAGTTGGGGCTGATAGCATCAGCCATACTCCCTGAATCAAAGAGAGTAAAAGCCTCACACCCATTAATAGTAACCAGTGCTGCAAGGCAATGATTATCAACTGCAGTATGCTTTGGGTGGGAAGCAGTTTGAGGCACGTGAATTTTTGTAGGCTCTAGTGTCAGTCGATACCCATTGATCTTGCCATCACTCGCATGATCAGTTTGAATAGCCCAAAGGTATTCTGGGAAATCCAAGGTATACTCGTCATGAGATTCCATCCTGTCACTGTCCACATCTAGATTTGAGGATGAGTCTTTACTAGTGGAATTATAAGCCCTAGAGTTGCATTCATGGTCTGATGGCCCAGAGCTATCGATTGCATCTGTTTCATCATTGAATTCATTGAAGATAAATCCCATATGCTTATCAGCTGTACCTTCATCAGTAGTATACTGACTTCCACCATATGGGTCTTCAGTCTCTGAAATATTCGCAGATTGATGGCCAGAAGAGCTTCCAGGCTCATCTTCTGAGAAATGAGTCCAATCTGGAGGGTTTCCCACATCTGAGTGACTCTCTTCTTCAGAGGACTCATGGTCAGAAGCTGAGTTTGTGGGTGAATTGTCATCGACAATGTGGAATATCTTCACCCCGGAATTCCGTTTTCCATAATCAGGGCATGAGGGATCATTGGAGTAATGCCCTTCTTTCCCACATGCATAGCATGTAAGGATCTTGGACTTTGATCTACCCTTGTCCTTGGAATGGCTAGGGTATGATGATCTGTGGCCTGAAGATGGGCGATCCTTCTTAGGCTGATCACATATGTGCTTAAATTTCTCATAGCCAGGGTTGGGTTGAGTACTATGGTGCTCACCCTGAACCTTTTTGAACTTGCAAGGTGATGGGGAATGCTTCTTTTTTGCAGCCTTAGCATTCTCCTTTGATGATTTTCAGAGTCGGGAAATATGGTCTTGCCTTTGCTGACTGTAATACCGCTCTGCACGTATACCCTTTTCAACAACAAGTGCATGTTGCATGATATCATTCACTGTTGAAACTTCAGCTGTAAGTCCCATGCGAGTGATTTCCTGATGAATATTTGAAGGTAGAGAAATCATTAAGTGCCATCGGAATGTGTAGACATCCGGTGGTGAGGGCATCATATTAGCAAATCATAATAGACTAGCAAAGAGCTGGCGAACACCACCCTCAAAGCTGTACTGAACATGCTTGAAGTGCTCATTAACCGTGTATAATGATGATTCATGGATAAATTGACAGTACAAACCATTGATTACCTCCATGAAAGTAGGGAAATCATCCCCATTATCATTATTGGCATAAGTCGCGGGTGCATCCTCAACCACATTGTTATACCACATATGGGCATCTCCCCCCAAAAAGGTAGCAAGAGTGCTCATATGCTGCATATCAATCGCAGAAAGTTGTTGGCCACCCCATTCATTGTCAGTATACACAGGGCCACATATATTCGTGATCTTCATCCATCTAATGATGGAGAATATCCATTCATTGAATTCAATGAGGTCCGAGTCTCCCTCATATTTTTGGGGGTGAGGAATACTCTGTAATGATGTCTTCTGGACATTAGAGTCCAGTCCTCGTTGTGCATGCAGGAGGTTGTGGTTCACGAGGCATTCATAGCACTGGAAAATAGCCAGCATGATCTCGACCTCAGTCCTCATAACAGGGAGATACTCGAATATCTCCTCGTTGTTGAAATGAGGTTCCTGAGATGTGAAACGGACTTCCTGAAAATGAGCAGGAGTCAGTTCGTGAGCTCGTGGGTTATCAGAGTGTGATGAATGTTGGCTACTGGAACCACTATGATGAGATCCTGGTCCTCCAGGTGGTGGCAGATGAGGAGGATCGTTAGGAGGACGACCTGCACCCTGGTTTCATGGGAAAATAGGATTTTCATTTACAATTGGGTTAGCATGATGCTCTGGATGCGGGGAGTTGTGCAGAGTAGGTGCACAATCAGGTTCTCATAATGGAATCGGATTTTGTGGTCGTTTCCAATGCCTAGATCTGTCATGATCCAATACAGACTCGAAGTAGCTAGCAGGTTCACGGAGATCATAGTTGTCAGGCTGAGGACATGCTGACATAGCCTGATTCCAAGCTGAGCATACTGAGGGTCTATCACTGCCCTCTTGGCGAACAGGACGACGTGAAGGCAACGGTGGTAGACCAGGGTGAAGGATATGTGGTGAATTCGGAGGATCTGGTGCAGACCCATGCGAATCACTGGAAGACCCATCGTCTCCTGGATTTGGATCTGGTGCAGCTGCTCTTACACGAGTAGGTTGTTCTGGGGCATGCACTGGTCTTTGTGGCCTTGTCTCATGGCTAGCAATATGGGAACATGGCCTGGACACAGGTACTGGCCTAGCAGATTGGTTGTGCAAGTTCCCAACACCAGACTGATGAAATGAATCGCTATCCTCAACCTTAGGGTGTTGAGGTGTTGGTCGACAATGTGGGGGGGCATACCTCTCTCGTCTCGCAGTTGGAGAAGCTTCATCTTCATCATCTGCATCGCTGTCAAACTCACCCTTGAGTTTACAGATCAAAGCTTTGTTTTGTTCTTCAATGCAGTCTACTATAGTCTGCGATGAGGCTCGCGATACCGAGGGATGATCTCTTGCTGGTACATGAGTGGTGTTAAGGCCAGGCAGCGGCCAAGAGGAATTTTCAGGTGGTGGAAATCGAGCTCGGAGAGGGTGGTAAACCTCTGAATGTATATGTGGAACCGAAATCCGTATACCTGGAAAGTCTGGATGAGTAGCATCTCCATAGATGTCAATCTGAACACCTTGATCTGGGACCGTGGTCTGTCTAAATAACAGCATATCTTCGTCATGCAGCTGTTGCAGTAAGCCTCGATTGAACACTTCACGTCAAGCTTCATTCAAGGCATCAACAGTTTTTTGGGTTTCTGAACTATGAGAGGTTGGGAGAGTAGGTGAGGATTCCCCCTTGATAAACGGCGTCGAAAGCCGGACATGGGCATTGATGCGTCAGGCATAATCAGAGCCTGACTCACCCTTTTGTTGAGGTAGACTGAGGTTATTGACAGCGGCATTGATATTCATGCTGTACTCATCTATACTGTGGTGGTAATCACCTAATTTGGGTCTCACATCAGTCGGAATGGGGTTGAAATGCCCAGAGGCGTTCAAATTAGTAGCAAAGAACTTATTAATTGCTAGTCTAGGTATACCATGAAATATAGTACCATTGACTGTCTGCCGTTGCATAGAAATGGAGAGGAGACCATCCTCATAACATCGGGCGGCAATGTGAACACGTTCCTCAATAAATCGGTTCACGTCCTCGGTTGTGGCCTCAGGTGATTCAGGAAATAGGCTGGGCATAGTCTCCCCTTGGGTTTCAGCACTTGGGGAGTTGTGCGACATCAAGAGGGAGGTGACAGGGGGTGACAGTTCTGGGAGCTGCTCACTTGCAGGATGGTGAGGGGATACCTGTGGGAAATGAAACCCATCAGGAATTCCATTGGTGTAAGCTGGAGGCGCTGAGCCTGGGGACTGGTCGTATGCACCCATGGCTCGTAGCTGTCATCAGTGAGCCAACTCTTGCTCTAGTATGTCATCTGAGGCATGGTGGATCGACAAAATACCACTCCCTGCAGAATGCTGAGACCTGGTCACCGAAGGGGCAATCGAACGTGCTGGTGATCGAGAGTCAGAAAACATTGCTGGACAAAGATGTCCAATGACTGATGTTTTGGAGGCAGGAGTACCTTCAGGCATGGTGATAATGCCTGATGGTCGATATAGCACATTCGAGTGCACAGTAGGGGCTGGCGCTAAGGTCGGCAGTCCAGAATCTGCATCTCTAGTGGTAGATGCGGGAGCAAGAGCCATCGCTGGTGGTGACGATGCATGCTCCACAGGGGGTAAACTACTTGGCAGTTGCTGGGGAACCTCAGATGTGTGCTGAGATTCAGATTGAACGGGTTGTTGCTGCATGGCAGCAGAGCCTTCAGAGGCTGTTTTGGAAGCCATTGAAGAGTAGGAGCATGGTAAAATTGGTTCTGTAACTGTTAGCCTACTGTGGTTCTCCACAGCACAATACACAATGAAAGATGCGTAAAAAAGTGTAAAGAATACAACACCTTACAGGCTTATTGACCCAAGAACTATGCATGCCAACGGGGTGTATTGATAGTAGAGAGTCAAGATGCAAGCAAGTAAGGTGAAAGTAAGAGATTAAGAGACGATGCGACAAAAAGGGAAGGACAATAGATGTGACAGAAGGCATAGGTAAATAGATATCAACAGAGAGCATCCATATCCCTTACACTTTGATACGTTGATGAGCCTAAACTTCTGTGGCAATGGCAAAAACCAAAACTCTAGAGGAGTTCATGGCAAATGGCGTGTAGCGGCAATAAAGGCTTTGTTGTTGTGCGAGTGTTTCGGTGCACCTCCGTGCGATGAATTCCTCAAGAACGCAAGTATACACTGCGACTTTTCAGTCAGCGAAGTAGTACCCTTAATGATCGAGTACTAGAAAACGTTGGCTGTAAGCTGGGAAGGGTCTCGATAGACGAGAAGGAACGGAATCCGGTATAACTGGGAATACCGGCAAACCGTGAACGAAATGATGGCAATTTAACTAGTAAAAGCCATGGGCGATGTTGACGGAATTAGAGAAAATGCTGTCAAAGAGCAATACCATTGGCAAGATAGCAAATACCGTGACGGCAAGAGACAAAGACTGTAGTCGAGAAACGAGAAACTGGTGGTAAAACGAAGATAAGACGAACTGGCGATGATATGAGGGGGAACTAGTGATGGCAAAACGATGGCTGGGACTGGGCTGGACTGATACTGAAACTATACTGAGGTTAACGACGGCAAAACGAAACTGATACTAATCCTGAGTCTACACGGAGACTATCCTATACTGAAACTGACGGCAAGATACCAAATACCGTGACTGATGATCCTATACTGAAGCTGTTGACCGAAATTCCGTGACAGATGCTGCTGGTGGCAATAACGATCCTAATCTGAGTCCACACGGGGATGTAACAATCCTGAACTGAACTGGGTAAAACGATGGCGACGTAGAAGGTGAAAACTGATGAAAATGATGCTGGCTGGTGAAAGTGAAATGATGCTGGCGGATTAAAAGATAAAAGCGAGTTGTGGACACCAAATTCCGTGTATTGGCGCAATATGAGCGTACCCCAATACCGTTAGAAGAAAAGCCGTGACAGAGAGTATAACTTGGAGTGACTATGTTGTTATTGTCTATCTCCTAGCGAGTACAAGCGATAATGGTGGTCGATAATGTGGATGATGGCTAGTGTCCAGTAACTTGTGTCTAGCAACTACTACTACACTAGCTTTTATACTACAAGTCCGGAATAAAATTAGAATACTTGAAACGAGTCCTTAGTAAGTCCTTAGTACATCAATTGGTAAGAAACGATACAAAATGCATGCTCCCAGAGTTCTAAAGTAACAGCACCCACACGGTTTTACCGCATATAGACTTAGTGATCAGAAAGAATTCCCCCGACATACGGACTCTTGGGCTGCTGTGTTGCTGCGGCAAAGTACACTGAAGGTAGTACACTGAAGTAGATGCATGCAGCATTATCTTGGCGTTGTAACAGCCTTAGTAAAGTGAGTGGAAAGGTCACGGCATTAGGTCTTTTGCCGTGGAGTTGGTACTTTGACTGTGGCATTCTTCTAAATGATGCTTGATGCTGATGTCATCGATGGCTGTGCTGGGCGATCAATGATGGTCCTAAATCCGTGAGATCTGCAATCAGGTGCCTGGCGGCATTAATGAAGTGGCGCAGATTGATACGGAATACGAGCTGGGAAGGATAGTTGGCGGTAAGAGTGGGTATTGCCGTGATTGCAATTGTTGACTTAGTGAAAGTCCGCTAAGCGGACAATGCATTTATTATAATGCTAAAATCCGCGAATTCTGAGCGTACAGAGCCTTGAGGCTCATCAACGTCTTGCACTACCTCGATGTAGAGGGAGTAGCATTGTTCATACCAATTACCTCAGCATCAATTCTCTACTCTTGGCATAGCAATAAGGCTATTCAATACAACATCATTTTTCATATATGAATGTGCCGGTACCAGCATGTTAGGGCTTCACACTGTCACCGTATAATACAGTTGTATGGGTGCCATCATATGGGTACCATACCGTACTATCGAGGGCTTGAGAAGCACCTGTATTGACAGCTGTTGATGGCCATGTGTACAGTATGTAGCCCTGAATTGCTGGGGAGTAAAATTCAGCTATCCCTCGGGGCTCAGAAGCCAAGTACAAAGTAATACCTTTCATTACCATTTATTTCTAGGCCATTGCAGACTAATTTAGAGGTGTTCTTGCGTACTTGGGACTGATGATGCAATTGTACACCTGTTAGGGGCATTTCTTTATAGTGAGAACTGGTTCTCCAATGAGGGTGACGATGTTGAGGTTTATCAGAAAACAAGCTAGATATGTTTTAATGACTATATGGTATAGTTTTATGCTAGTCTGGCCTACCAAGCCCAGCTCTTTACATATGGCTGTACACATGGCCATGACGGATGTACTCATATGGCCAGTACACCGTTGACAGATTGGAGCTGATGGCCGTATACCATATATGGTATGGTGTGAAGCCCTACAGCATGTGATTGAGGAACATCATGGTAGGGAAGAAGGAATGGCAAAGCATAATGAAAGGAAAACAACATCAAAATCATACCACACAAGGGCCAACCCATCGCGTTCTTGGCTTCAATTTGTAATTCCTTCCCTACAGGCTATTCACACCTCCACCTTCGCAGGGTAAATACAAAATGGCCAATATTTTGGGACAGTTGCGTTGCCAATATTTAGCTTACGATTGAAGTGTTTGCATATGACAGGAATACTTTGATGATTGATCGCCTTGATTTCCTTTCACTCGTAATGCTGGAATCTACAAATCGATGGAGGACATTGGAAAATCAAGCACCATATCATAACCATAACATGATAACCTCGCTTGTAGTGCCATAGAGCTGTCCTTTACTGAAATTAATAGGTCATACATGGGTTAACCAAGAGAACTCCACCACTAGACCTCAAAACATTACGTGAAAGCCAATGCACGTATTTTTCTCTCTCGATACCTAGCATAAAAAGAGGGTCTACTATCAATCTCCTATGGAAGTTTGTTGGTACTTTTCATGCTCGCATTCACTATTCTCAGAAGAATATGATGACTACATGAACATTTGTAATGCCATCTTTCTTGATCCTGTTATGGATCTGCCGAAATCCGGATATGTGAGCACAAGGCAAGAAGCGGTGATCGAAGTGAGGTAAGATTAATTAGAAGTGATGTACGTCATTAGGGAATATAATGGATTCCAGCGAGGGTTCGTGAGGAGACCTGAGTGGTCCGGTTTGCGAAATAAAGGAAATCAGTAAGCACGAAGCAATTACTGAGGGAAGTAGCCAGTAAGCATGGAGCAATTACTGATATAGAAAGCCTGTAAGCGCGAAGCTATTACAGGCCGTGGGTGAAGGCAAGCGCTAAGCGTAACCTTCGGGTTGGTGTCAGAAAGCGCTAGGCATATCAAACGAGTTGTTCAGCAAGCGCTAGGCGTAACTGAGGGTTCACACAGTGAAGGTGTCCTGAAAATGGTAGATTGTTTTTGTAAGTTGAAAGTGATAGATTGGCTAAGATTTTTAATGCAATGTTATCTACAAGTTTATATACTAAGGAAAGGTTTGAGTCATTATTAATCTACAATGTTCTATAATATTCTAGTATCAATACGAAGAATATAGAAAGTAACAGAAAGTATGAGCGAGTCAGTATCAAGACTGAGAAGGCCAAGTACGGGCATGTGTTGACTCATGCACCGAATCAACGGATACCCAATATCCATAACAGATCCACTTCATTGGATTTTTTGTAGCTAGTATCTAGGCTTCCCCACTCCGGCCATATATCGCATCTATCCATCCAGAGTGGAGGACGACACCTGGCTCAGTAAATGGAATACATCAATGCAAGCATTGCTAAGCAAATAATAAACCAGAAGATCACTTGCGCTTCAGACCTCAGACTCGAATGAAAGAGATGGCAAAAGCTCTATTTTTAGCCTCCTGATTTTATCGACGTTGGCAGCTGGGTATTGGCGCTCTTATCTCAAAGTGTACTGTGGTATGGATGGGTTTATACGAGGTTCAACCTCCTAATGCATGCCTTCGTTGTCACAATGGCAATGGTAGATCAAGACTCGCCTCAGAGCGTAAACAAGGATTGTGAGCATGGAATTATCATACATCTTTCCTTGGCATGGCTATCCACAAAATACTGCAAGTTGGTCTCTTTATTACATCCTGCGACTAACCACAAAACACACTCGCAGATCTATGGTGTTAAGGGTCGGGGAAATTCTCACTAAGAAAGCGAACATTGAATCACTTATGGTAAGGTTATGGTTCCTCCATCATCACGCTTTATGAGAGGCATTTGCATACCATATAGACTATTGGTCAAAATATGTGTTATTCGAGAGCAAGGTACCTCATGTCTGTCATGCGACTTGTAGACTCAACGATGCCTTTCAGGAGGCGTTTGTTTGAGTCATAAAAGAAGACATGCAAGCTGACCTAAATGATGAAGAAAGGCGCAGTTTTAACTCTAGATGGTTAAGGAGGATACCAAGATAATGCACAAGTGACCAAGTAGCACATTCATAGATGAAGTATTGGTGGGGTAATGTTAACTGATTGTTTTTCTATGCAACATGAATGCTTAAATGCCCATGAACCATTTTTACTTTTATTATGAGATAGATGGGGTACTCATGCAGTATGTAACATTCAGGAGAAATATGGCAGGGACTGTCAGGGTCAGTCTACAGGTGAGTACACACTCCATGAGACAGGAACGGTCCACTTTGAAGAGATATCATTCCCATAATTAGAATAGATCCACATTTTCCCGTAACTTTTACATTCTTGATTTGTTGTAGATAAATAGATATTGGATAGATGTAAATTGAATTTTGACTGAGGCGAGTCTATGAGGAAGACTATGTGGTTTTTAATTTGAGAGGCGCTGAGGAGAGAATGCTCTCGCAAAAGGAGTCACGCGAAAGGATAATGTACACAAAATAATGAACTGTAATTTTCGCTCTCACGGATACAAATAAATTGACTATGAAGTATCTTCTTGGCATGAGATTGCGTATATTGGCTACTGTGCACCATGTAGTTTTATCCAGACCAATAGTCGAAAAAACTCGACTCCTAGATTTAGCGAAGGTATATCTGACATAGTTCATAGGTAGCCCACGACTTAATGCGAGTAGACGTCTTGCATGTAAATCCTACGCAAAACTTCCCGCAGTATGCAGAACATGCGGACTTACTTTCTCCCTGAAAAAACAATTCAATCTGATAAGTATACTCTCCTGAATTACGTTTCTTGTATCATATACAGCTTCATGATCCTTGGGATATTCTGATTTGGGGAGTGCTCACATACGGGAACAATGGGAAAATGCATCTGATATCGGAGACGGAGGTACGCTTGAGCTACACATGGTCGTTCTCTGTGTGAATCATTCTACAGTCGAGGTCTTAAAATATAAAAGTTAATGTCTGATTGTTGATATGCTTTCATGGATTACGGCTCGACCCTCAGGTCTCAAAGTCTAAGCCCCCGTCAAGATGAGACTGAAATGGACCCGGCCTTTCAGGGCCAGACTCTGGCCAATATACGCGTGTCTCTAATAATCCATCTATATACTTTATATACTTCATGGACCTTCTTGGCCTTCGACTGGGTGTTCCATTTTCTGTGCTGACAGGAGCAGGTTGGGATTTGATAACTCAAATTTATAATCGCAACTCATCATGGCCAGATGCTCTGATTTTCGAACTATCACGTTTTATGGGGTTCAATCGTAATGTAAATACCAGATGCAGACTGAAGGTAAGCAATTGAGGGGCTTCCCCTAGCCTTTCCAGCACAACTAAGTACTACTGAACTGGTCATCAGTATTCACAGAGCTCTTTCTTCCTTATACAGCCATATAGGTCCTCCCAAGTGAGCGAGGGACGTACGTGTGGCTGCAAGAGTATGCTGGAACTATGGAGGAACTTGGCATCAAGTGGTTGGGAACGCGTCGCGCCACGCGTGTCAGTTAGGACACGCGTCAGTCACATGTGATAACTGATGGGTCGTGTTCGGGGCCGCAAATCAAATTCGGTACTTCCATCTAGTAACTAGTACTCTTTGTGTCGCTTTTGCCTAAATGATGTCGAGACACCTGAGCATGCATTGCTGTTGGGCGCCGGTAACAACGCGGTCGTTGTGGCACGGTCTAAGGCCTTCGTCCACCTGATCCCGCTATTTCCGAACCTCCCTCTCTCACACATTACCCCTGGGAACCCGCGCAGGATTCTCAAGAAGCTGATCTTCACCGGACCGACAATTCATTTGGTAGCCAGGTTCGTTTGGGAAACCCTACAGATTTTCGGATCTACCCCATTTACCTCTCTGACAGTTCTCTTGTCGACTCGGAGAACCGAAGTGGCATCCCTTTGGATGCTTAACTTGTGTCTCGAACCTCTCACACTTCTTTCGATCTATTAATTACTTCTGTCATAATAAAATATGGCGAATATCACTTGTCAGAGTAACTATACCTGGCACGTTTCTCAACCTGCTAATACTAGGCATGATCGCTTTTTTTTTCACTGACCATTTGCTAGATGATAGGCCGCTTTGAGCGTTATGTTCATGGATGAACACTTGGGTCGATATCCTGCTGTATCATCCAAACTAACTCTGTATGAGTGGCGCTGTAGTCAGACATGGATCAGACCCTTTCCATGGGACGTTGCTCGCACAATCTGATTGGACCCCCATCGGCAGATAATTGTAGCTGCTTGGCGGCAACGCGAACACAGAGACGTAGAAATCCCAGCCGGGAAGTCTAATTATATATCTTCTAAAGGTACCTGAAACCATGCTGGCCGAAACACTTGGGTGCGTGTATTAAATGGATGGCTATTTGAAACTGAACTCAGGCAGTCTCATATTTTCATGTAGTTCGTACACTGTTACCGCGACAAATGCTCGTCCGTAAGCCAGTCCTTTCCCGAAATTTCTTCCATAATGAGCAATCTGACACTTAAGTGCGGTGATATCGGTGTCCGTGTATATAAGTACAAAATAGAGAACAGCACTTTTGATTGTGGTTATATGTTTACACGACATGACCCCAGTTGGTCTCCTTGTCGTCACTTCCTGCAACTAGCCGTAATAAACACTTGCAGATCTATGGTCACGAGACATTAGAAGGTCGTTGCAACCCAAGACTCAAGAGAAAGAGAGCTACTAACGGCAGAGTGATGGTCTTCCCATTATCGCACTTGATGAGAACCATTTCAGTACCCTATAGCAGATAAGATTCCAATAAAAAGATGCTCGAGAGAACGGAGCTCACGTCGCTCGTGCGGCTGGTGGACTCGACGACACCTCTAACGAGTTGTCCTTTCGACCCGTAGAAGAAGATGCGTGAACCACTCTAAACAGTGAAAATGAAAAATGTGTCTAGAATAGACCGTGAAGAACGCAAAGAGGACATACTGGAAACGCGTCCATAGGAAAATCCGATAGGTAGGTAGGTAGGTAGAATTATGATGGGGCAATGATAGCTGCATATCTGGGTCTACGCAATGCGCTGGTTTAAGTACCTTCAAACCATTGTTGTCTCAGTTGGATTATGAGAAAGGGTGTATCATGTATGTAACGGACCCCAAATGATCTGGGGATTTTGAACTCGGCATGCGCAGAACAAAGACCCAGAACCGGTCCGAGTCAGCCACAACCAACGATTTGTGAAGAGGGTACATCCTTCCACAGCCACTCGCGACGGGAATGAGGTATAGATAGTTCAATACTTCTTGCAATTAACGTGGCGTATACAATTCATACATCCATTTTATACATAGATGACGGTTCCGAAGGGAAGCCTGAGACTCGAGAGATTCAGAACAAACTGAAGCGGGATCTGTCCAAGGACATTTGGGGAGCCACGGTCGTACACAATTTATTCCACGGATATGAAGATTTGAGGTGCGAAGAATTTTGTTAACGTCAAATCCGAGAGTCTCATAATTGTTATGGTCAGAGACCTCTGTCACTCGGAGTTCGTTATTCAGTATCCGGACTATGCTCTCATCAGATGTTACCCTCGCATCTTATGAAGTATGCATTGTCCACGGATGCAGAAAGTTAAAAACTTTGAATGAGAGAACCCATCCGATGTATGTCCAATCGTGCGGGCATGTAAGAACCACCTGGAATGCAGGGCCGGATAGTGGATGGTACCGAGAACGGCCAAATCGACAAAGCGTAACTTGTATGGACCTCGTTGCTCTTCTCACGTCGCTTAGACATAAATTTGTCGAAGGGCTGTGGTGCATCTCGACCCCCAGAAGGAGGACATCGGAATAATTAGTTCAATAGAGGATTCTATAGGATCCATGCCGTATATACCATGTACATGCATGGGACGTATGACGGGAATGAAAATTCCTGCCTCATACTAGATACTCTATGCGCGTATTACTGGTAGTATCCATCTTCCCAAACCTTAGAGACCACTTTAGGCAGGTCGATAGAACTGTTTTCGCCTACCATTTGATGGGCCAGTCAGCTAGAGTTTAGAAGTATGAACCTCTATTAGGATACTGGTAGACACGCGTAGCTTGATTCGTTCCCTCGTACCCGGCATAGATAATTAGTCCGGAATAACCCCAAACAAAAATAGTACCTCCGCTGGTTGAAGCGTCACTATGACTGCCCAGAAAGTGGCAGACATTTGGGGACGATAGGAAAAATAATTTAATCGTAGCCTAGTACGGGAAGGACTGAGAGACTGGCACATGAGCCGCATGGAAGAGTTCTTGATGAGGTCTCCTCGAAGTCGAGGCATAAGATGAAACAGGTCCAGTGGCGAACTATAGGAAGTTTACGGGTATCCAGGTCGTTGTGCACAAGATCGTAAATGTCAGACGAGTGAACATAAGGACGAACCAACAAGCAAATGAAGGCGTGGCTTTTTAGTACCGTGAGGAACACGGTAAAGGTCTATGGCATCTGTAGGTCATGACCTAGATTCACAAATTTATTTCCGGGATAGTGATGTGGCGCCCACGGTTGAGGGAGTATTATGGGAGAATATTTAATAGGCGCCGTCTAAATCGGTAACCCAATGGGGTCGAAGACAAAGTGCGGCGACCTTCCTCAATTCGGAGATGAACTATGGAAAACACACGATTCATGAAATACGGACGAGTCAAAGAGAGCGAACCTGCAAGAGGGAACACGACGTCACAATCGCGAAAAAGTAGCTGAATGGCGAGATTATGTACCGGAGTCTCGAGACCTCATTGCGCAGGATGCAGCGGTACGAGTGGTTATCACCCTCTTCCGAAATCACAGGTTCCTTCACATACGGACAATCCATCTTGTTATGTGTACACCTTGTTGGCCAATGACAGCTTGACAGACGGTGATGGGAGGAGGCACCAGCTGACATTAGAATCTGTAAGCGAGTGGACATGACAAAAAGATACTCGTGCTCTTCGACTAACCTTGATATAACTGGTGCTACCGGCTCCAGTATACTGTTCAAAGAATGATGGAGTATACAGAAAAATTACAGTAAAGATGCTGTCGCCATAGTATTGACGACGGTTGCCAAGTATAACGGAGATTCAGTAGCGCACCGTCAGCTTCCGTGTCGGAGGACAAGATCGGCGGTACAGCAAGTATCTGCCTAGAGGATCGAGACATATCCTACGCAGGAAGACCAGCATCTAAGAATTATCGTGGCAATCACCGGGCGGGGTATCGGCGAAGGCGGGGACCCTGGAATGTTACAGCGCTTGTGTCCCCTTTGTAGTGCGAGAAATTTCTTTGGTTCGCGTTTAGTCCACCGCTGATTCAGCATCAGAGTATCGGTATCGATCCCCAGATTATTCGATGCTGTGGTACTCTGTTTACAGCGTAGTAATAAATGTGGAAGAGGTTCATCCACCGTGCTGCCTTGTTCCTGGGAAAATAGGTGAGTCACCTTATCAAAGACGTAAATCCTACAACATTTCGGTTCTGAGTGCGCATTCTGTCAGATTAGAAAGAGCTTCTGTCAGAAACGGACCGGTAGATGCACGAAGCCGCTCTGAACCAGGACCGAGCTTGCCACAGAAGGGAAGCTGGGAAATGACCACATGAATCCGACTCCTTGTCATCATTTGACAATCTTTATTGATGGAAAGGAGTCACAGCAATTAAAATACCGCACGGTAACTTCAGATTGTGAAGCACAACGGGAGCACATGACTCACAAAAGCAGATTTTTGTCAATGCGTGCATCCTGTGGACATCAGACGTTAACAAGGCCCTCTTTGTCATCGAAACGCGCAGTAGTTAATTAGAACACTTTATGCATCATAGATTCAGCGATCGGCTCGGCGGAAATCAAGACACATATGGCTGAGCTGTATCAGCGGAGATAGCCAATTAATCCAGTTTTCCAGCCATAGAACAAGGCAATGTAAGCCGAGATGTTTCATAGAGATGCTCATGAACAAGTGATCAATGAAGCCCGGACCGTAATCGATGAGTAGGCATTGAAATAACTTTCAGAACCCAGCTAAAGATCACGAGTTACGCGCTGCAGTATTCAAAAGATTTTTCGTACAGTGAATAGAGGACAAAGATCAAAGAACTCTAGAAAGCGACTCTCAGCAGTGAATGACGCAGCCTGCGGCCGTGCTACCAACTCGGGTGGGTTCAGTGAGTACTCCATGGCATTTTGCAAGATCGAGGTGACATAGAATAATTCTGCTAATTCCGAGGGTCTGAAAACGAGACCGTGGATGGCGTCGAGGGCGGTGAATGAGCGTTGAGAAGGAAAAAGGATCGGAGTCACGACCAGTCACGGTCACATGCCTCCCGTTTTTGGATGAGCCCGTTTTGCCGCTCGGTCATCGAGGCCACCTGATATTACATGTCACCACTCAGTCTCTTTATGTAGCTTTATTTTATGAATCCTAGTGGAGAATATCAAACTTGAACCGACCTCGGAGTCGGTCCAAACCGCGACCTGAAAAAGCCTCCTCTGTAATGCCCACCACCAGCCTCTGCCGATGTCGACACCAGAAAGAGCGGAGACGCTCGGACAACGAAACATAATACGTATTATATCTTTCTTATCGAAGCTTTCCGTGCCGGTGCCTAACCGTTGTGCTTTTTTTAACTCCTCGAGGGCCACCTTGGATGATGTATAGAATTTTCCTTCATAAAATGGGCACATCTCGCAAGAGCATAGACAATGATCCTAGACACAAAAGCTTAAGAAAGCTAAAGACGACTCAGTGGACGATGCGGTAGTTCCGGTTTCCACTCTTGTTGGTCTTCCTCGAACGCCAGTACCGTTCTTGTATGGAGTCAACAGCAATCCGTATTATGTTTAGTTTCTGGAAGCCATGAGCGGCTGATATATAATTAATTGGTATACGACGGCAACACTACAAGAGATTGGGTATCATAATAGATGACGTGCATTTTTATGGGTTTCCTTGCGACAATGTCAGCCACTCTCCTCATCGTCATGTCCCACAACAAACCTTCAAACACACTTAAGGTGCTACGGGAATGTGAAGTTGGCAGGAATAACCCAAGGAAAGCACAGATGGGTAGCACCGTTTGGATTTGGCGAATGGACGAATGGGTTTTATGACTCGGAAGCGCCTGGGAAGGGAATAAGATAACATATGAGAAGAACTGACGCGGAGACAAACACGCACGCACACGCACACGCACCTCTCACATCAAGATCAATCATCAATTCTGTGTTTCGTCTCTAAGCCTAAGTACATCAGCTATTTTCTTCCTCCCAGTGGCCTGTGAAACCGAGCTTGCCTGCGTTCACCGAGGTATACGCTGGCAAGAACTGGCTAGATTGTTTCGATGATCTCGATCAATCAAAACGGAACACGATTGAATGGACGAATGGGTTTATGGCGCGGAAAGCGCTTGGGAAGGGAATTATGGCGAGCGCGTATGTTACTAACAAACGCGCACCCACAATCTTCAATCGCGTGTTTCTCCTTGTGGCCGATGAAAGCGAACACGCCTCCATCTAGGACTTTGACCTCTTCCTCACTGTGTCCGATTAAACCGAGAACATCTCCGTTCACTGAACTCAAAGGAGGTGCATGCCTGACCCAGGACCTTGATACCTGGCTAGGTTGGTGTGGGTTCCTACTGGGGGATTGATGATCAATCAAAGCGAACCACAAGGATATCGACAGGGAAGACCACTTACTTTCTCACCGTCGAGTCCTAACAGCGGACCCATCCTCATCATGAATGATGAAACGCCAAGAATCCGGCCCAGTCTGCGATATACTGATAACTTGTGTGCTATGATGGCCTCGGTCAATATAAAAATTTGCGTACCTTTCTTTTAGTAGAAAATAAGGTGAGAGCTCGCTTGGAAGATATCATACCGTGGGTCGGACGGCCCGAAGCCATGCGCTGGTCACGTGTGGTATTGATTGCTCTTGTTTGACAATTTCAACGCCTTCTCTTTCTTCCTTCCTCCGACGTTCCTCGAACGGATACCTCCGCTTGAATGCGGGACTGGCCTCTACGTGTGGTGTGCTGGGTATAACTCTTTGACCAAGACTCGGCTGGTATGCGCGACGTTGTTTTTCGCTGACCAAAGGTGGTCTGATGTTCATGTATAGCCAGAATGTCCTCAGCTCGGAGCGACTCTGGGATGGATGCTGGTGAACGTGAAACGTTGTGACTTCATATACTGTGAGTGCCTGTAATTACCGATCCCGAAAGCGTTGCCCTCATCGAGCCTTGCTTCCTCAGCATATATGCCCCGTCGCAATACCTCTGACCTCGCCCTATGAATAGGCAACGGCCAATCCCTGTTCGGAGGACCAGGATGACCCCATGCTTGAAGACACGCACTAATTGGGTTGTTGCCAACTCAAACCTACTTTTCCGTCGTGTTTCGCGTCAAGTCTCACCGTTGCTGAGAAACACCGGGACATGGATATGCTATGAAATGGCACCAAGGTGCGCCCTATAATTTCTTTTCGAAAGCTACACCAGGTTGACTCTACGTTCAGTTAGTTTGAGCTTGGGCGTGGACTGACTCTTGAACATCGCCTTTCGATGCCTGTTGTCCAAGCTCCAAGTTTCACGGCATATCACTTTTACCCGGCACGTCCCCCCCCCCAACTACGATGTAAGTCTCCCCCTCCACACACCCTCTTCTGATGAATCGCACATTCCCCTTGCATTTTGACGACCCCGTTGGGCTGGATGCGCGAAATTGTTGCGTCCGTAATATATCCTCCTGAGATTATTACCCTGGCGTCTTTTCGACATTTTCAGATTTTTCTGACGAGGTTATTCTAGCGATTTCACAGATCGCTCTGGGCTCCCATCTTTGTTGGTTCGCGACTCCCAGGTTCTTCGCAGCTGACCTGATAACTTCTTTTTGAGGTAAGTGCGCAATGCTTCGTTTTGTTGTTCTTCTCGCATGATGTTATGTCTTCTATATTTGCTACTTCGGAGGGTGAACATAGTTACCCGATGAGACTATTTTTCCACCAAGATCTCTGATTCTCTTTCCTTCTTATCCTTTCTCGGTCGGGGTGTAACTATGTGCTTACATTCATACGTCAGGGTCACGCTTCCGTCCAGACTACGAATCACTACGATTGCTAAACGCTAGATGGCAGCCCCTCCAAGGGCCAGTCTGACCTGCAGAATGCCTGTGGTCTGTAAGGTGATAAGCCTGCTTATTTGTCGTCTATCTTGCTAATACGAGGTTATTAGATCTAGTATCGAACCGGTACATTGAGGCTGCACTTTTGCGGTTCAGTCGTTTATTTGACTGTACCTGTAATCGATACAATTCTTTGGAAATGAAATGAAATATCGATGCTGATTCGTGGACCGACGCAATTGTCAGAACTTGAGATTATACTCCGTCAATGGCCGGCTTTTCATTCCTCTTCTTTGTGATATGTAGTCCGCATCCATTGACCGCTACCTTTTTCCGAGAGCGAAAGACGGCTTCGTTTCTCTCCCGCTACTGCCGATGTGAATGAAGAATACCCGTCAACTACACGAGACTGTTTTTCGGGCTCGCTATTCCAGAAGGTTGAGTTTGCAGTGACGCGCCACGGGCAATGAGTGGGGGTGCACAGACTCAGATTCTTCGAGCATCTATTGGTTACGTCTGGAAGCTGAAGTAACCTGGGAATACGACATTACCGTCGGATACTTCACCCCACGTACCCCACATACCAGAATATTTGGTCCTGTTCGGCGTTGAGGGCAAGGAAAAGGAAGTCATGCATTGTTACTTACAGGATACGCAGGTTCGCTTGTTGTATCTAATACTTAGTCGCCTCTTAGAGAGGAGGAATACTTGTACCGGTACGTTGTGTTATCTTGCGAACTGGTGTTGGGGAATAGGGATGTACATATCCATTCCCGCCTATGCCGAATGAATTAATCCTAATGGATTCTTGAAGTAAGCCGTACCCAGAAAAGCCAAAGAATACATACATCACCATTTGAAATTCAAAGATCAGCGCGGTGCCGAAGTGGGCTCGGGGTCTGCTTTCCTTTCCTTCTAACAGTCACACTCACCATCACTTGGCCTCTTCAAAACAGCCACTCTTATGGACGGACACCAAGCTTTCTCAGGTTTGGCTATAATTGCCGATTGGCCAGGCGATGGACAAGACACCAGATCCCAGTCTAGTACTGCACTTGCGACTCCAGTGACTCCAACTCGAGGTCCTCGGGCTGTCGTATTCTGTGCCGCGAGAGAAGTCACTCGTATCTTTACAAAGGAGGGATGCACATTTGCGATCTTGGGAAGTACAGCGTGCTATCTCTACAGAAATGACCGTTTACCGAATGTGAGTACTTGTCTCTCTTGATTGCGGATCTTGACAATGGCGTATATAGGACCTCGACATTTTGATGTCATCACATACCTGCAAACCAGAGTTGTTGAAGGAATTCTTCGTCACTAAGAATCCGGATCGTTTTTACCTCACGGACACTAAAACACCCGGAGCTACCTGGAAGGTCTTTTGGTACCACGACCACAACGTGGATGGGAAAGTGGAGAAAACCAAAGTCGACATCCTCAAACCGGGAGTGTTACAACTCCCGATGATATTTTCCGAGGCTATCGTCGATAAACAGGGATTCCCGGTCGTTCCCATGTCAATTCTGCTATTGCATAAACTGAAGGGATGGAAGGATAACATGGAGTCGACGGAGCAGCGACTTCGGAACAAGCATGATGCGGATGTGGGAGATATAGGCTCACTGTTGAGGATCATCGTGGAGGGAATGAGCATGCAGGAAAAGAAAAACTCGACGTATTGGAAACGGTTTGCAATGGAACGGTTTGATCAGGAATTCCGGGATGGGACCGAGCGTCGGGTGAGGTTGTTTTGTTCGAGGTTCCCAGAGTATCGTGCTATGTGGCGGAAGCTAGGCTGGTAGGACCAGCTACATATTTTCTGTTCACTCTGTACTTCCGTATCTATAACCTCGCTGAAATTTTGACACAGAAGCTGTCAGGGAACTTCAATATGATTAGACTTTTAGGGCTGTTCTGCGTTTGCGGTCCCCAGCCTTGAAGATTTAGAGGCTTCGGTCTTATTGAGTGAAGAGAAAAACCAGGAATGCGGGAAGGAACATGGTGACGTGGGTAGGGAAGCGGAATTCATGCACTGTTAAGTATATAGTTCATGCATAGAAAGGTACGTATCATTCGGTCATGTCAAGCATAATCATCGTATCTAATGCCGGTGGTGGTAGAAGAGGTACACGTTCACATCACCTACAGGGATGTGAACAACATCTGTGGAAGGCCGCGTACGGGCTCGGGTAGACGAGTCAGAGCTAGACGAAGAAAAGGAGCTCGCCCTGGAAGACGCGCGATTCCTGCGGCGACAGGTTTGCTGGTTAGGCCTAGTAACGTTCGAAGAAGAAAGTTGTGGTGGGACAGTGTGAGGAACGGACTGGCTATGAGTTTGGTTATGGGCAAGGCAAGAAGTTTTCCTCACTTCGGACCCAGCACGATTTCTTGCTGCGACGATGGGATTATAAGGAACCAGAGCATTGTTGGGCTCGTTCCGAGATGGATGGGTGGTGGATGAGCGGTGGGCAGCTTGAATGTTACCGCCATTCGCATTCGAGAGAGAACGATGCTGTGGGTGGGAAGCGTGTACTGGATACGCAGAACTTGAACGGTGGTTCTGCCACAGCGGGTGCGTATAAACTCCCTGGTAAGGGGGGTGGAACGGAGTTCTGGGGGCGTTATTGTGACTATGATACGGATAAGTCGACGCGGGTACTGTACCCGTGCCCATTCATGGCAGGGCAGAGAGACTGCTGGCGGTGGCGGTCATGGTTCAGATCCATAGTCACGTCGCTACACGAGGATAATTTGTGTCAGTAAGACAGTGGCTCCAACTGACCTCGGAGAGGATCCGGATTTCTATGATGAGGAAAGAGGAAAGGACGAGTATATATGCGTCTCTGACGGGCCGCCGTTACGAGCCTTGCCTAACAGCCTGAGAGACGGGGTACATGTGTATCAAGTCTCAAGAACGAGGTGCTTGACTAGTGCCGTGGACGGAGAGAAATCGCATGTTGCCATGCTACTCTTCGTCAACTCTCACGGATGCTACGTGGTTGGCTACATGCTGTATTGGCCCTTCTATTCGGATAATCATGAGACCAGTTTCATCCAACTGTGCAAACAAGACAGAAGTGTCAATAATCTCAGATCGCGGTCGGAGCAAGGGCATTCTCCGATGAAAACCGTTCTTGAATTTGGGTAATGCCAAATCCAAGGGCAATGCTTGCCTGTTACCAGAGTGATGGTTCAGCCTTCTGTTAACCAAGATATACTCAAGTAACCTGTCAGTGGAAAACACAAACATGCATTGATATAAACGGGTCTCTCATATATGAACACCATTAAACGAAATTTCGAACATCAATTGGACGAAATCCTATGTCTGTAAGCAACACTATTTCTAACTGCACATAGTGGCCTTGTAAACTGCATTCGCGAAGCACTAGGAATAATTTCAGCATGAATTGCACATTAAATGCGTATGACATACGTTATAATTGTCGGCATTGACAGCTTGTTCAACAGGAAGAAGTGCCCGGTCTTTAGCACAGCCATAGGTGACATCGATGGTAGCGGAAGTCGCATGAGTGAGCTAGATAACAGAACCATCAACTTGTAGATCAATGTAGATCCAGAATAGCTCCTACCTCATGGAGCATAAGCCCGTCAGTAGTATAGGTGCCGTCAACTGTACCGGAACAAAGACGCGGAGTAGAAGCCAAGGTGAAAAAGAGATTGCAAAAGAAAATCTGGCACCAACAAACGGTCCATCAGATTCTGTCAATTACGTGCCCATGGTTGAAACACGTACATTGCCAATGGGGAGGGCAGTATAGGCAGCGATACCTTGTGTTTGACAAGCAGAGATCGGATCCGTGCAGTCCATCCTGCAGGAATTTGAAAGGTTGAAAAAGAAGATAGATGGAAATGGCATACGTCCTTGTGTTAGATGATTCGTTTGCGACTCTATCAAATACCGCGCGAACCGTGGATGTCGGCGAAGTGCCGAAGTAAGAATTATAGAGAGAATTAGTACCGTTCGCTGCAATATAAGAGGACGCCGCCGAAGCCAATGCTTTCGACCCGGTATAGCTGGAGCATATGTTAGAGATGTGAATGCCAGAAATGAGGAACACGTATATACCAACCTTGCATCAATAATGTGCGCCTTGCTACTGTTAGTACAGATATCAACCGCCCGGGTATTCAGGACAGGAAAAAGATCCCGCTTGGTCAAGTCGCCAGAGATCTTGACATCAACAGAGCTAGACGATACTGAAACCTCATCAAGGCTCGCCCCATCGGTGACCCTAGCTTCCGGGCTAGTGATATAGAAGGACGTCACAGGGGTGAAGGTGAATGTTCCTGGACCAGCTGAAGCAAAGTCAAACAGCGCTGATACTGTGAAGCGAGAATGTAGGATTAGCAAAAATCGACAGTTAGAAAATCAATCACTGACAATCATGTTTGGCAGTAACTGATTGTCCAGGAGGAATGACCGCAAAGGCGGAGTCATTAGTGTCCTTCAAAGAGACTGAAATCTGGAGGAAATAAATGAATCAGGGTCCGGGAAAAGTCTTACTGTGGCAATCTACCTTGATCCCGGTAAACTCAACGGTTTCTCCATCCTTGGTGACAGTGAAAGATTGGGTTGGAAGAATGTCGTCCAAAATCGTCCCATACTTCAAGATCTTCACCGACTCTGAGCCAGTGTTGGCTACGGTCGCCGTGAACTTGAGATCGTCAATACTGGTGATATTGGAGGCCGGTCCAGACAAGGAGACACTAAGACCAGCGTCTCTCTTGTAAGGACTGGCAAGCGCAGAGAGGGCGAGGGCGAGGGTAATCAGAGAAGTGAGCATATTATGAAGTCGAGGGTGTACTTGACTGACGATTGAGGTTGTACTCCTCCCACTTAAATATACTTTGGATGCCATCGCATGAAGTCATCGTGACAACGGGGTACCTGTGCGACCGACCTCGGCAATCGATTCAAAAAGAGGCGTTCCTTGACTAGAATAAATTTATATACATAACCAGTCAAGGTGTCAAAGAACACGCCGGTTGGAAACCGGACGTCTGTGCCATAATTATCAGTCTCCATGTTCGAGATGTGAAACTAAGTAATACCCCTACTTTTGCCTTCTCTACCAAGGCATGGCTGAGGTCGCTTGAAGAACGAATAAATCGTTCAGTTGTACGAGCTTCCAGTCAAGGACGTCCTAAACAATGTCTCGACTAGCAATTCTTATCATGAAAGACGTTAGTTCCGCACCTCTAGGAGCTTTGAAATCCTCAGTGCGACTTCAACGGGAGGATGCACTAATTTTAGCGCTATCCTCGGAAGGGGTGTCAGGTAAATGATCAGATCTTCGAAAGGGCAAGTAAAACCTAGAAATCATTTATACGCGGAACTCATACAGTGACCGATAGAATATCAGTTGTTAACCTGGCGCGATCGTGAGCGAGTTATTTCATAAATGAGGACAAAAATGGTCAAGAAAACCCGCAAGTTATTTAGAGTTAAGGCCGATATGCATGCTGCCGATAATATCACAGTCCAGTCTCATGAGAACAAACTGAAAGGATAAGGGAAAAGGCTAAAACGATACTGTACCTCGAGGATATCTGTTCCGGAACAATTAACGTTATCCACGTTCGCATCATGAGAATACCGAAGACTTACAAGTACAAATAAATGGACGGAGGGATGGCGCACGACTACTTCGTGTGCGCTGGCTGTCAGCGTAACAAACGACCGCTGCTAATTAGCCTTCTGACAAGAAATCCAGCACACGTCTGGAGAGGAAGAATCGAGGAGTTCACCCTGGTTATCCATTCATACTTCCGCACATCTCGAGGCCAGTAGAGTACTTGCTGTAACGACTGCCTGTCCGCGTTCCTCTTATCGATGGGATAACTCAGGTTTCAATGACCGGAGACAAACAGTCTTCTTTCTAAGTGAAAATCGGCAGCCAGTGAACAACCGCCAACCTGCAAGCGATAGCCTCCAAGTCGATGCGTAATCACACGAAGATCGGAAGAATCAAGGTATTAGTAAGTAACACAAGTCAACGTCACGGAATCAGCCACTGAATGAGCATGTGATCCTGCGAACTTTCATTCTCGGAACCTCGGTCAAAGCCCATATCCTTTCCATGAAACACTTTGAAAGACCCTCGCATATTCTATCCTCAGTGTCCTCTGAACTTCAACGCAATACCTTTATTCGATGGAATACCTTTCTGACTCACCTCATTACCGTTATTACGACGTTTCATCATGACCTCGATCATCCATGTAAAAGATTCATATCCAGTGATCGAACCTGTTTATCGGGAGCCTTCATGAACTTATACTAAAGTATTCAAGAGCAACGCCGACCTGTACGAGGCCGATGTGAATTCATCTCCGAGTCTGATGTCCCATATTCGATCGAAACACGCGTTGTTTTTTCGCTGGACCACTACCCCCAGAATCGATCGAGGATAATGTGGATGGTACCCCATATTTCGCGTACTTGGTGAATCATTTCTATGCCGAATAGTGTTCTTCGACTGAATCAGTATACCCACCAAGGCCTTCCCTACCAGGTCTCCTCAGCCCAGAAGACTTAGGGGAAAACCTTTCAAATGTCATTCCGATGCACAGACCTCGTCCCTGTTCTTTAATAACAACGCGTCCAGCGTCGATATTAATGCGCACCTCCCTCCCTGCCCCGCAACTCCTAATTTTCCTATTCATCTATTACCAGGACGACTACCACGTCATCTTCTTCCGTGAGGCACGACGACGGCCCCACTCCTTCCTACCCATATGCTGCCACCACACAAACGTGACACCGAATTCGATACAGGGACACCTCCACAGCTCTCTCCCAGCGAACATCTTCTATAATTAGAGAGGAATATCTACGGGTACGACTCTGGGGAAGGACGAGGAGGATGCAATGGCACTGGCGGCTGGTGGTTGACTATGCTAGTAAAGGAGATTCGAGAGGACATCAGCGGGGGTGAGGACTACGACGAGGATGGGCAGGATTTTTTTGTGCTTTCTCGCATAAGAGCGGATTTCAATCAAATAGGAACTGGTGATTTGGGGGAAAGAATGAGAGAGTGAAGGCACATTCAAGTAAAAGGATGCGTTCGTGATGTTCACCAGGCCTCTCTGGCTCTATTCCTTGAAAAGCGTAAATATTATTGACAATGTAGAAGTCACATCATACACTGAACTTCTCTCCAAGGATTGTTTGGCCGACGTCTTCCGGTGCTCGTTCGACTGGATAAGAGACGTCCTTGTGTTGAAATTGGATTGTATGCAGAGACCGAAGAATGTATGCAAAATCCAGACATATAGTCTTGTTCAATGAAAAGACCTCATGAGACGAATGGATGATCTCACCCTGGTCATAGAGTTAGTTTCCGTACCGATTTCCTCTCTGACATCGAACACTTGCGTAAAAAAGTCCACGTTCCCGAAAGTGGAGGGATAAACACCTTTATAACGACTGAAAAAACGAACCTTCTTTTTCTTTCCAAGTGCAATCGGACGCGAACTGGTGGTAGGTATCGCACCTAACCCAAAGAAATTTCATAGGGTACGTTCAACGTTACTGTGTAATAAAGGTAGATGCTGAAGACATACTTGGAGAAGCAGCCCGATCCAAGAAGAAAAAGGGTCGGGTGCGATTTATGGGGAGGAAAACTGAGACTGCGGCATTCCATCATTTCCGCTCACATGCGCTTCCTGTAACGGCACAAGCTTTGACTGGTGGGCGGCCCGTGTGCAACGTGCAAGGACTGGCACGAAGAGATGAGGGCAGAAAGTCGACACCGGAGATTTGGACAAAGAATGGACTGGGGAGCGACACAAACACATCGATAGGGAATGGCAGGTGAGAGAATTAGTGCGTAGAGGCCGATCCATAAATCCGATATCCAGGAAGGTTCACAGAGGAAAGTAATCATCTGGCAAAGAGAGAGAAGGCTGACAAGCTACGTTCCTGCTAGTTGTCTCTGACAATGGCGAGATCGCTTTGCGATACCGAGGCGATGTGTACACGCTCCAGCTCAGGGGACATCACAGGCTGGATCTTACAGAAATTCCGGCTTTATCCTGACGGAGTTTTTAGCGCCAGATGCGTGATTGAGAGTGTGGCGATGAAGATTGGACGAACCAAAATAGCACGCGTCAACTTCTCCGGGCCGAATCCCCGATTCCGGGATTCCCCGTGTGCTTTTTTTTTCTTCGCCTCGTTATTTTTGTCTCTCTCATTGGTCTGCCCGTCCTCGTCCTCTTCAACGGTTCGCCATTAGAACTCAAAGCATAATGTCCTCTCATTACGGTGTCTCATTTTCAGAGGCGAATACTCCTCTGTCACTGAAATACTTCGAGCATACGCCTCTTCTCGTATGCCATTTCGTCTCTCGACGAGATGGTACAGACAACTCGCACTGCTAAATCCCCGGTACACGGCTTGTTTCGTCATTTACACTTCAGGGCACGCCGAGAAGTCGGATATCGTAGACCTGTAACCGATCGTCTTGAAGCTCACGATCAAGACGACCTGTAAATCTGAGCTCAAATTTGGCTGATACATTTTCGCTTATCTCACACCTTCCTAAATAGAATTTGATACCTAATTTGGAACGGCTGTGCTGCGTGGCTCATCATCGTGACACGCTTTCTTCGCGCCTGGCTACCATGACTGTACAAAATCCTCACGCCTTCTCTGATTTTCGTCTATGGCTGTATTTTTGCAACTGTAGACTGAAATGCTCGCCGCTCTCGGATGTCTGGAACAGCGCTACCTTCTGCCTGCTCTCATTTGATTCATTCCTTGCGGTTATCACCTTCGATACTCTACCGGTACCTCGTTAAATCCATGCTTACATCCTTCTTGTTCGCTATTATCCTTTTCGTAGATGACAATTCCCTTGTGACTTTCAGATAAGACTGGGCTGGGCCCTGTAATATTACTTATTCATGTGCGTGACGTGCGATCCATGTTGATGAGACTGGACTCGGTGGCATCTCAGGGACATTCTTTTTTTTCTGAGCTCGCGCATGTTAGCGACGTTGCAGGAACACAATTAGCCGGAGAAAATATTTGTTTGCATTGCCGAGTGTGATTAGGTAGAGAGAATACAGAGTAGATGAGTTAGGTAGCGAGCGCTGAAAGCTGGAGCTGGTTTGGAAGACATATTTTTATGAATTGGTGTCCTCGTTGGATGAATAAATGCCTCTGTTGTGGGCGAATAAAGTATTGACGTAAACGCGACGCGGTTCTCAGCCGTTCCCAATTAGGTATCAAATTCTATTTAGGAAGGTGTGAAATAAGCGAAAATGTATCAGCCAAATTTGAGCTCAGATTTACAGGTCGTCTTGATCGTGAGCTTGCCTCCCATTCAAGACGATCGGTTACAGGTCTACGGATATCGATTCAATCGAATAACTCACCGGTTATCTGTTTGTTTTTGAGCCCTATCATCTTCGTGTATTGCCTTATCAGCCACGTCCGCCGCGGCTGGCTGTCGATCATTTGATTTATCTCCGGCGGATGGCAATGATGACGGCAACCTTATCTATCACACTCTCTTCGACAGCATTGCAGCCTAATGTCCTGTTCGTTCTTGTCGCTGAAGAAACCTGCCGTTTCTTGTTGTGCTACGTTGTAACGAAATTCGCTTGACACTTGACGAGAGAGATCCTCATGTTCGATTCGAACTCCCCTTATCTTCAACGTGTTCCATATGATTCGCGTCTCGCCAGGGGTACGCCAAGCCCTTCACCTATGATAAAGAAGAAGGCTTCTTCATCGATCAAAGAAGCCATTTTTATCTCTCTCTCTCTGACAGCAATTCCTACCCTCAGTTTTCAGTTCTTTTACCTTTCTGCGATGGTGAACATCACCTACGATGCGTGTTCGTCTTCCTCTCTCCTCTCCTCTTCTCCAAGCTAATGCGGATGCACAGCAGGAACTATAACCGCAACAGACACAGACGGAGTCGTATCCGCTGTACAACAATGGTGATATCGCATGGACGCTCACCTGCACTGCGCTTGTGTGGCTTATGATCCCCGGGCTGGGATACATGTATTCTGGTCTACTCAGGCGGAAGAACGCGCTCAGTCAGATATACTTGAGTCTCGTCTGTCTTGCCGTCGTGTCCTTTCAGGTCCGTCGCGATATCTTAGTCCCATATCTCACTGACCCCTCCAGCTAGTGGTTCTTCTGGGGCTACTCCCTCGCCTTTAGCGAAACAGGGAGCGCATTCATCGGAGACCTCAGTAAGTCCCCAACACCCTCCTTCCATTCCCTCTCACCCCCTCCCTCCATGCAGAATACTTCGGCCTGAAAGGCGTGCGAGACGCCCCTTCAATGGGCTCTACCCGCCTCCCCGCCCTCGTCTTCTGCCTCTACCAACTCATGTTCGCCGCCGCCACACCCATGATCGCACTCGGCGCTCTCGCCGAACGCGGGAGGCTCGCCCCCGTACCCGTATTCGTCTTCCTATGGTCGACACTGGTGTACGACCCCATTGCGTGCTGGACGTGGTCGGCGAATGGGTGGTCCTTCGTGTTGGGAGGTCTGGATTTTGCGGGTGGGACGCCGGTGCATATCTCCTCGGGGACAGCGGCACTGGCGATTAGTGTGTATCTTGGGAAGAGGAAGGGGTGGGGGACGGAAGGGGTTATGTATAAGCCGCATAATACTACGTACGTTATTCTTGGAGGTGAGTTCTTGTTTGGTTTCGGCTGCGGAGTCTGATCATGTTTTTCTAGTCGTGTTTCTGTGGTTTGGATGGTTCGGGTTCAATGGCGGGAGTGCTCTCAGTGCGAACCTCCGAGCTGCGCATGCATGCATTGTGACGAACTTGGCTGCTAGTGTAGGCGGGCTGACATGGATGCTCTGGGACTACCGCCTCGAGCGAAAATGGTCCGCCATCGGGTTCTGCTCTGGCGCTATTGCAGGTCTAGTCGCCATCACACCCGCATGTGGGTTCGTCGGAGCGCGTGAGTCATCCCTTTCCCTCCCTCCCACTCACTCACACCCACCTAGCCGCTGCGGTTCTCTTCGGCGTCCTCGCCGGTACATGTTGCAACTTTGCCACCCAACTCAAGCACACATTCGGGTACGACGACACCCTCGACATCTGGGCGTCCCATGGGATCGGAGGCGTACTCGGGAATATCCTCACTGGGCTCTTCGCACAGGCCTCCATAGCCTCCTTCGATGGGATCGCCGTGATACCTGGGGGGTGGATGGATCACCACTACGTCCAGTTGGGATACCAGCTTGCGGATAGTGTTACGGGTGTGGCGTATACGTTTGTGATGACTACGATCATATTGTGGGTTATGCATTGGATCCCGGGGTGTCGGTTACGTGGATCCGAGGAGGCGGAGGTGAGCGGGCTAGATGATCATGACATGGGAGAGTTTGCGTATGATTATGTTGGGTTTGAGAGAGGAGGTGATACTGATAGTGAGAGTGGGAATTTGGGGAGAGAAGGGGGTTGAGGTGAGTGCAGTGCCGGCCTATTAGTTTGGGGTGTTTTATCGCGTATAGTTATCCCTCTCTCGTTCAGACTTTAGATTTCCTTCTTACTTATACTTATTCCTCTTAGAATAGAATATTGCATCGTAGAATATGAATGCAGCTCCACTATTAATTATTAACCTCTCATGTTCGCTAAACAACTTGCGAAACTCGTCGAGCTTTAGCTTTACGAACGATATCATTCTGACAGGAAAGAATCCTACCCATCCTCCTCCTCGTATTCCTCACATAGCATCTCCCAAATCACCTTCCCCAACACCCTCGGCGCCATATCCTCATCTCCCTCCATCGGCCGTATTATGTCTCTCCTCCCTGACATCGCCGTGGAAAACGTTCGCTCGGAGTAGTTAATCTTGTGTTCGTGTGGCATATGGGGAGGAAGAAACAAGTCCTCGTGTCGACCCCATCTCGCGAAACTAGTAGCCAAGTACGTGTGAGAAGTATTACAAAGCAGGGATGGAAGCGTACAGAACTGTGTCTGAGGGGTTTACTCATGCAGGTAGGATTGAAGGCCTTGGTGTTGTTAGTGTGCGAATTTCTGTGAATGATGAATGACATGCCATATATCGGTTGCTGTAGGAAACGTACCGTACCCTCAGCAAAACAGGTCTATGCTCATTGGGAACAAGATACACTATACCATCGGAGGAACATCCGCCTCTGAAAATGAGCGACCACAATACGAGGACAATTATTCCTTGAGTTCTGACTGGAACAGGATGGCGGGAAGACCAACGAGAGAGATTACAATGCAGGGAGGGAAGTGTACATTAACATCGACGTTGTTATTAAAGGACTGAAAGAGATCACTGTACGTTTGATGGAGTTGTCAAGTCGTCTGGACTCAGGCCGGTGGTTTCATGAAGAGAACTGGTAGAAAAGGCCGGCACACTGATTCAGTCGAAGAATACCATTACTCATTGGGTACAGGAAAGACTCACCAAGTACACAAAATGCGGGGGTACCATCCACGTTACCTCGGCAGATTCTTGGGGTAGGGATCCAGCCAATGAATAGTGGTTTTTATTACGCTGTAAGATGCGTGCTTCGATTGACTATGGGATATCAGACTAGAAGTCGACATCCACGTCGTACAGGTCAACTTTGGTTTTAAATACTGTAGTCCAAGTTTATGAAGATGCCCCATAAAATTTCCCGGTCTCTGGATATCTTTTTCATCGATCTGAATGGCACCATGGAATATATCAGCAAACATTTCTGGTTCCACTCGGTAGCGAAAGAAAACAAAAACGACCCGGGTGTCAATTTGGAAGCATTGGGGACGGCCAAGGGAAATACCAGCCATAATCTCCCGAGGAGAGAATATATGTTGATAGCATAGGTATCTCAGGTCCCGTAGGCAGGATACCGTACGTCAACACTCCACACCGTATGCGCTTCCACAAAGCAGAGGTAAATTTTTTCAAAAGGTGATGTATTATGTCTTGAAGGGCGGTTGTTATAAGCGCGAGGTTCTCATTGATTCCTGTCGGTGGTGGTGTGTCAGTGTTTTGAGAGTGGTGACGACGCGTGATGGAAAGACGTCTTACCTGTGACGAGGTGAATCAGAAAGATGTTCGACCAGATAAATGTATCGCATTGAAGTTCAGAGGATATAGGGGATAGAATATGCGAGGAGCTTTGTTTCATGCAAAGGGTATGGACATTGGACTGTGACGAAGGTGACGGTCGGGTCCGATGGACGGATGAAAGGATCCCAGGATCACATGCTTGTTCAGTTGCTGATATTGTGACGTTGGCCCGTACTATTTAAGTTGGTTCTTCCAACCTTCGTGTATTATGCATCGACTCGTATGCTCCCTCTGACGGGCTTGCGAGTGTTCATTGGCGAGCTGTTTGCACTTGTAAAGAAGATTGTTTGTCTCCGGTCATTAAAACCTAGGTTATCCCATCGATAAGAGGAACGCAGACTTTTTCATCCATTCAAGGCACAAGCACAGGCAGTCGTTACAGCAAGTACTCTATGGGCCTCGAGATTTGTGGAAATTTGAATGGATACCCAGGGTGAAATCGAAATCGCCGCTTCTGCCTCGAGTCCAGACGCATGCTACATTTCTTTTCAGGAAGCTGACTAGCAGCGGTCGTTCGCAAAGCTGACAGCCAACACACACAGTGTAGTCGAGCACCAACCCGCCGTCCATTTCTTTGTAATTGTAAGTCTTCGGTGTTCTCTTCGTACGAAAGAGCTTAAGGTCTAGTTCCGGAACAGATTATCGTCGAGGTACAGTATGTCTTTTAGCCGTTTCCCTTATCCTTGCAGTTTGTTCTCATGATTCTTGACCGTGATATTATCAGGAGCATGCATTTCCTTATTAACTCTAAATGACTCGTGGGTTTTCTTGAGAATCGATTTCCTGATATGTGAACTGACTAGTTTACGATCGGTCCAGATTAACAACTCCAATTGAAGTTCTGTAGGTATCCGCTCTGCGTACAGATTCTGCTAGGTTTGATTTCTCCGTTCGAAGACTTGATCATTCACCGGACACTCTTTCCAAAAACAGGTGGTATATTCCCCCGTTGATGTCGCATTGAGGATTGCAAAGCGCCTAGAGGTCGGGCACTAGCATCTGGCATAAGAAAGGTCACTAATTGAGACATTCTTCAGGACTCCCTTGACTGTAAGCGCAGACTATACAAGTGAACGGTTTATTTGTTCTCAATCCCCCCTCAGCCGTTCCGTCTCAGTAGAGAGGGAGAAAGTATGGGTACTATGTTTAACATCCGGAAATTGAGACTCCCGATTTCTAACCGGCGTTGACTCTTTGCCTTGACTGGTTATGCATCTAAATTCATTCTAGCCAAGGAACGCTTCTTTGTGAAGCATCACCGCCCGAGGTCAGTCGTGCATGTGCCCCATTGTCACGATGACTTCATACGATGCCCCCCAAATGATATTTAAGTGGGAGGAGTGCAACCTCAATCGTCAGTCAAGTATTCTCTCGACTTCCTACCATGCTCACTTCTTTCATTGCCTCGCCCTCGCCCTCTCTGCATTCGCCAGTCCTTACAAGAGAGACGCTGGTCTTACCGTCTCCTTGTCTGGACCAGCATCCGATGTCACCAGTATCGATGATCTCAAGTTCACAGCGACTGTGGCCAACACTGGCTCAGAGTCGGTGAAGATCTTGAAGTACGGAACTATTTTGGATGACATGCTTCCAACCCAATCTTTCACTGTCACCAAGGACGGAGATACCGTTAACTTCACTGGGATCAAGGTAGCTTGCTACGGTAAAACTTTTTCCAGACCTTGATTCACGTATTTCCTCCAGATTTCGGTTTCTTTGAAGGGCACTAACGACTCTGTCTTTGCGGTCATTCCTCCTGGACAATCGGTTACTGCTGAACATAATCGTAAGGAGTACATTTCCCCTCTAGTGATTTTTGCTAATCCTATATTCTCGCTTCACAGTATCGGCCCTGTTTGACTTTGCCTCAGCTGGCCCTGGAACATTCATGTTCACGCCTGTGACGTCCTTCTATATCACTAGCCCGGAAGCTAGAGTCACCGATGCGGCGAGCCTTGATAAGGTTTCGATGTCGTCTAGCTCTGTCGATGTGAACATCTCTGGTGACTTGACCAAGCGGGATCTTTTTCCTGTCCTGAATACTCGCGCAGTTGATATCTGTACTGACAATACCAAAGCGAACGTTATCGATGCAAGGTTGGTGTATATGTGTTACTCATTTCTGGCATTCACATCTCTCACATATGCTTCAGCTATATCGGGGGGAAAAGTATAGCTTCATCGGCGTCCTCTTATATTGCATCGAACGGTGAAGATGCTCTTTACACTTCTTACTTCAGTACTACGCCGACAGACACGGTTCGCACGGTGTTTGATAGAGTCGCAAACGAAGCATCTAACACAAGGACGTATGTCATTTCCATCTACCCTCGTTTTATGCCTCTCAAATTCCTGCAGGATGGACTGCACTGATCCGCTCCTTGTTTGTCTTGAGGTTCCCGGTGTTACTGCCTATACTACCATACCTGAGTCGGATGTACGTATTTCCACCATGGGCATGTGTTTGACAGGATCTGACGGACCGTTTGTTGGTGCAAGATTTACTTCTGCGATCTCTTTTTCACCTTGGATTCCACTCCGGGTCTTTGTTACGGTACAGTGGACGACACGCCTACTACTGCCGGGGTTATGCTCCATGAGGTAGGAGCTATTCTGGATCTACATTGATCGACAAGTTGATGGTTCTGTTATCTAGCTCACTCATGCGACTTCCCAAACCATCGATGTCGCCTATGGCTGCGCTGACGACCAGGAACTTCTTCCTGCTGAACAAGCTGTGAATGCCGACAATTATAACGTATGTCATACACATTTAATGTGAAACTCATGCTGAAATTATTCCTAGTGCTTCGCAAACGAGGTTTACAAGGCCACTATGTGCAGTTAGAAATAGTGTCGCTTACCGACGTAGGATTTCTTCCAATTGAAGTTCGAAATTGCGTTTAATAGTGTTGTTCATATATGAGAGGCTCGTTCATATCATTACATGTTTGTATTTTCCGCTGATAGGTTGCTTAAGTATGTCTTGCTTGACGAAGGCTGAACCATCACTCTGGTAACAGGTGAGCATTGCCCTCGGATTTGGCATTACTCAAATTGAAGAACGGTTGTCATGGGAGAATGCCCTTGTTCCGATCGAGATCTGAGATTATTGACACTTTCTGTCTTGTTTGGACAATTGAATCGAACTTCCCACATGATTATCCGAATAGAAGGGACAATACAGCATGTAGCCAACACGTTGCATCTGTGAGAGTCGACGAAGAGTAGCGCGGCAACATAAGATTCTGTTGGGATTTTGCCGGAAAGTTCTAGAAGGAGCAATCCGGCATCATGCCGAGAGTTGCTGAGTAAGCATGAGACTAGTAGAAAGTTGTAGTACATTCTAGATTACATTGTGAAGTAGTATAAATACAGGCTCTGTAGGAGCCTAGGAATAACAAGTTCATACCAACTGGCCTTACCAGCCAGGAGTCTACCCTGCGCAACACCGAGGATTCCAACAGATTCCTCTCCATCCAGTGCGCTAACTAAGGGCCTCGTTCTTGAGACTTGATACACATGTACCCTGTTCTCTCAGGCTGTTAGGCGAGGCCGGTAACGGCGGCCCATCAGAGACGCATATATTTCCTTACAATCCCACCGCCGCAGCGATGAATCATTCTACCTCCGAAGCGATGAATACTTCCCTCGTTCCACATAACCAAGCACTTAGCCAGTCCGTTCCTTGTACTGCCCCGCAACAGGCATCTTCTTTGAACTCTAGGCCCAAGCACGTCAGCTCTCAGCCAGCTCGTTCTCGAGGAATCGCACCTCTTCTTATTCTAGGTCTTACTCGTTCACCCGAGGCCGGTCCTCCACAGACGTAGTTCACATACTGTAGGAGGCGTGAATGTGTACCTCTTCTACCACCGACGTTATATACAACGACTATGATTGACATGACCGAACCTACGTACCCTTGTATGTATGAACTTTAACAGTGCATGAATTCCGTTTCATTACCCGTGTCGCCATGCTGCTTCCCAGTTTCTTGGTTTTCTCTTCACAATATAAGCTCCAAGCCTCGAATTCTTGACGGCGAGAGCCGAAATCGCAGAACGGCCCAAAAGGTCTCATCACATTGAAGTTCTCACTCACAGATCACAACTTCTGCGTCCAGAGTTTAGCGATATTATAAATACGGAACTTCAGAGTGAACAGAAATAGGTATTTTTGTCAACCAGCCTAGCTTTCGCCACACATCACGATACTCTGGAAACATGAAACAAAACAACCTCACCCGACGCCTCGTCCCATCTCGGAATTCTTCATCAAACCGTTCCAACGCAAACCGCCTCCAATACGTCGAGTTTTTCCTTTCCTGCGAACTCATTCCATCCACGACGATATTCAACAACGAACCTATATCTCCCACATCCGCATCATGCTTGCTCTGAAGACGTTCCTCCGTCGACTCCCTGTTATCCTCCCACCCCTTCAGTTTGTGCAGAAGTAGAATCGACATAGGAACGACGGGTAATCCCTGCTTATCCACTATATCCTCCGAAAATATCATCGGAAGCTGTAATACCCCCGGTTTGAGGAGATCGACCTTCGTTTTCTCCAATTTCCCATCTGCGCTATGATCGTGGTACCACAGGACCTTCCACGTAGCCCTAGGTGATTTGGCGTTCACGAGGTAGAAACGCGACGGGTTCTTAGTGACAAGGGATTCCTTCAGCGACTCTATATCGCAGGTGTGTGAGGACATGAGAATGTCGACATCCTACAGCTTCATCAGTATCACGATCGATGAATGCGACAGATCTTACATTTGGCAAACGTTTGTTTCCGTAGAGATAACAAGCCGTGCTCCCCAAGATTGCGAATGTGAACCCCTCCTCTCTGAAGATACGAGTAACTTCTCTTGCAGCCCGAAAGACGACGGCCCGAAAACCTTGCATTGGGATCACCGGATCGGCTGGTGTCGAGACTGAAGGTGAAGCACCAGCTTTCGGTGGGAAAGGCGCTGAGGCCAGAGAAGACTGGGGTCTTGTGTCCCGCTTATTGTCGGTTGTCGTCAGGTTAATCACGGCCCCTGGTGGTCGCGTCGGGAAAATACGAAGGGCATCAAAAGTCCCCTTCGCATAAGGGACTGTAACACATAAGCCCTCAAAAAGCATATCAAATGAGGCTTGGTCCTGCGATGGAACCTGGCCTGGCGATATCGAAGCCAGATAGGCTTTCGAAGCATCTACATCTTGAAACATCCGGCGTTCACGCTCGGCAGTTGAGGATATTGTTGGATAGGCCATCATGCGCTCGAGGAGAAGAATGTTGAAAGGAAGACATACGACGTCTTTTACCATGATGCAGTGGTGGTGCCACATGGCGGAGATGAGATCAATACCGCAAACCCGATTATGGAGCGCATAGTCTTCGAACGCATTATCAGAGTGGGTGTGAGTGAATTTTATCATGGTCGCTTTCCCACTCGAGATGGAAAATCTGGAGTCGACGGTTGATAATCGCTGTGCCAATGAAAGTGGGGATCCCTCGTGCCCCTGAACGTAAATGTCTATTTTCCCCTAAAGTGCAAGACAGATGATGTGACCTCTTGTATACGTTATGATAAAATGTATACGTGCCTGCTTTATAGTGCTAGGCAAATCTAGCAAGACATACCACACGAGATCAGCACCAACGGCTGATTGAACTCCCCAGCGGCCAAAGTGAGCTTGCACTACTTTTGTGGCCTCATAAAGGACGTTTGCCGTAACTCTTCTGCCCATATGAGTCTTTCGCACTGGAGAACGAGGCTAGGAAGTGGTGGTACCGAGGGAACAAGGACTCGGAGTCAATTGCGGCACTGTGCCGATCTTTGAATTTCAAATGATGTACGGATTCTTTCGCCTCTAGATACGGCTTACTCCAACAACACCAACACCAACACCAACACCAAGGATCCATTAGGAATACTAAATAGACGATGGTAGCATGCCCAGAATGGAATAACAGCATCCCATCCTTTCAAGTATCCATTGACGCTCAGGTCGATAATCACACGTTCTGGCGTACTCTCAGAGTTGGGAATAGTTAGGATTTTCGTGATCATTGAGCAGGACGGCCAATAACACGTAGTCGGCCGCGAGAATCAACAACCCTTATCGCCACCGCACCCGTAACAATGTATTACTTCATTTATTTCCCACCCAGCTGTCCTGAGCGACAAACAGGACCAGATATACATATGGGCATACTGGAGAGTACAGCAATCGCTCTGGTACGCGGAGTGATGACAGTAACCTTGTATTCCCAGAAGCTACTGTTTTCGTTACTAGGTATCCGGTCTGGTACTTGCGATGACGTGTCTAACGATAACCTCGCATTAGCAAGATAGACAATAAAGGAGCGAGCTCATTACGTTATGAACGATAGGTACCATGGAGGTCAGACTAGCGCTTGTTATTCAGAACTGGCGTAGAATCAAAGTGTTGAGGCACTGCATCGCGAACCTCGGCACAAATCTCGATTAATCAACCCCCAAGGGAAGTGAAACCAGAGATCTTGGTGGAAAAATAGTCTCATCGGGTAAATCACCCTCTGAAGTAGCAAATATAGAAGATATTGCATCAGCGTAGAGAACAAGAAAGCGAAGCGTCATACACTTACCTCAAAAAGAAGTTTTCACGTCTGCTGCGAAGACCTTGGAGAGGCGAGCGAACAAAAATATGAGCCCAGAGTGATATCTAATATCCGTACGTTCCCTATAGACATCAAAGACGTCAGCGAAATCTGAAAATTCTAACACAAGTCGGGGGTAACAATCTCAGGAAAAGAAATAATTACGGACGCAACAAAGCTTCGCGCATCCAGCCCAACGGGGCCGTCAAAATGCAAGGGGAATGTGCGGTTCATCAGAAAATGACGTGTGGAGGAGAGACTTACAGTGTGGCGGTATACATCGAAAGAGCATAAAAGCAATATGCCGTGAAACGTGCCTACAAGCTTCAGAAATGTGCATGGAAGGCGGCATCCATGAGTCACTCTGCATCCAATATAACTGAACGTAGATTTAACCGGATAGAGCTTTCGAAAAGAGCATATAGGGCACACCTCTGTAACATTTCACAGCACATCCATGCTCCGGCGTTCTCCAGCAGCGGTGAGATTTGACGCGACATGAATAACCTGATTATGCCATGGTTCAATATTCAAGTCATACGTCATCCTGCGTGACGACACTGCTGACGATAATTAACCGTTGCCCATTCACAGGACGAGGTATGCGTCTGCTGATAAAATAAGGTCGGATTAGGGCAACGTTTTCCGGGATGGTGATTACGGGCACTTACTGTGTACGGAGTCACATTGTTTCATATTGTCCATCATCCATCCCAGAGGCGGTTCGAGTCAGAGCTGAAGGGTCGACGTCTAACCCTGAACACGAACATCAGACCGTTTTCATCGAGGAAGGACTATGTCGCGCACACCAGCAGAGTCTAAGTCAAGGACACACAGTCGGCACGTCTCTGTACGAATCAGGCTCGAGTTCTAGTGGATTGGTGGAGGTATACATTCGGGGAACGTCGAAGGAAGGAAGAAAGAGAGAAAGCGTGAAATTTTTCAAACAAGAGCAATCAAACATGGCACGTGATTGACGCGTTGTTTAATTCGGATCGGAAAGCCGGTACCTTCCCAGCGAGCTCTAACCTTATTTTCCATCAAGAGAAAGGTACGCAAATTTTTATATTTACCTAGGCCATTATAGCACACAAGTTGAAAATATAGAGCAGACTTGGCCGGGGTCTTGGCGTTGCATGCATCATGATTAGGGTGGGGTCCAACGAGTTCTCTAGGGCGAGAGATCGTGGGTGAGTGGTCTTCCCTACTTACTTATATTCTCGCATTGCGCCTTAATTGATTATCAATTCTCCAACATATAACCCACGAGAACCTAGCCAGGTACGAAGACCCTGGGTTCGGTGGACGGAAGCGTGCTGGGTTTCATTGTAAGCAGGCAACTTGAAGAAGATAGCAGATGTACTTATGCATATGCCCGGAGACGAAGCATGCATTGATGTGAGGGAAGAGCGTGGGTACATCTTTGTTAACAACCGTATATGCGCTTCTGTCATTAAAGAACAGGATAAGATCCTCGCGCATCTTTGACGAGTTTGTCAAGTCGGGCTGGCGGTTTCGCGAAGACCTAAGCTGGTAAGAAAGGCCTCGGCGGGTATACTTGTTCAGTCCAAAAAACCTGTTATTTTGGTATACGCGAAATACGGGGGTACTATCCATGTTACCTCGGTCGATTCTCAAGGTATGGTTCCAGTCAACAGACAGCGATTTTTGTAGCGATTCCTCTCAGTCGTTCATTGGCGGCCAATTTTCAGTCAGAAAGAAGTGCGTTTGTCTTTCGTCACTATACAGAGGCTATCCCGCCTATAGGAAACGTAGAATCTTCCACCCATTCGAGGCGCAAGCACGAGCTTGAGCAATGTTACAGGAGGTACTCTATGCTCATTGAGATGTATAGAGCAATGAACGGTTAACCAAGGTGAGAGCGTCCATTGCTCCTTTCATGACGTATCCTGTTTTTTCATGAAACCGATTAGTAACGGTCGCCGGTCGTGGTCTCCTCAAAACTGGCATCCAGCACATCCGCAGAAGTCAAGCACTACCGTTGTTTTGTCTTTTACTTTGTACTTGTAAAGTCTTCAGTGTTTTCAGGAGAATGCAGAGTGGTTGTTACGATCAATTTAGCTATAACTCCTCTTCTAATTGCTCCGACCCTATTGTCGCTTGACGCTTTCATCATCTTTCTCGTTTTTGCAGATATGGCCAGTTCAGATATCTCACATTTGAATTCTTCAGCCGGGCTCACTTCAGAGATTCTTGGTTTAAACACACTCTCCGTAAGGAATCACCACGAAGATAATCATACAGCGAAATGCCGCAATGAATATTGTTGGCTACAACACGGTCAGATAAGGATGATACATACAAAGCAGGGTGGATCAGCAACTCTCATCGTTGAAGAACCAGACACCCCATGCACGAGTGACGATCCACTAAATCCCAACCCTCAGCAATCAATAAACCTCGCATACGAGGATCACTTACCAATTCACAACTATCCGGATGATCGAAATGATGCCCATCATAATCTACCGGAGTCGTAGAGCACATCTCCCGCCAATTATCCCATGGGAATTGGTGGTTTCCCATATGAGCCTCAATACGCTTTGAAAACATCAGAATGCTTCACACGCACAAACATAGCGGACGCACACGGTATCCTTCGGATACACATCCCTAAGACGCCATCACGCACCATCAGCCAAGTCCCAAATTATGAGGCAAAACAAACAAGGAGAAACGCATTGTATCCCTGAAATCCCCCCACTGTCCCTGGTTTCGCTAAAGGCGAGGGAGTAGCCCCAGAAAAGCCACTTGTTGGAGGGGTCAGCAAGGTGTGGTACAGGGTTGGAATAGGGAGGGGGACGTACTTGGAAGGACACAACAGTGAGGCAAACAAGATTTAGGTATATCTGGCTGAGCGCGTTCTTCCGTCTGAGTAATCTAGAATACATGTACCCCAGATCGGGGATCATAAGCCAGACAAGCGCAGTGCAGGTGAGCGTCCATGTGAAATCACCATTGTTGTACACCGACACGATTCCATTTGCATCCGTAGCAGTGATGGTTCCTGCTATACATCCACCTTAGCTTGGAGGTGAGAAAAGGAGGAAGGAAGACGAACACGCATCGTAGGTGATGTTCACCATCGCAGAAAAGTAAAAGGAAAAGAAACGAGGATGAGAATTGCTATGAGAGAGAGATAAAAATGGCTTCTTTGATCGAAGAAGATGCTTCTTCTTTATCGCAGGCGAGGGTTTGACGTGCCCCTGGGGAGACGCGAATCATATGGAACGCGTTGAAGATAAGGGGAGTTTGAATCGAGCATGAGGATCTCTCTTGTCAAGTATCAAGCAGATTTCGTTACGACATTGCACGACGAGAAACGGCGAGTTTCTTCATTGGCGAGAATAAACGGGGCATTACCTGCAATGCTGTTGAAGAGAGCATGATAGATAAGGTTGCCGTCATCGTAACCATTATCATCCACCGGGGATAAATCAAATGATTGACAAGCCGCAGCGGACGTGGCTGATAAGGCAGGACGAAGATGATAGGGCGCAAAAGGCGTCCAACTTACTGGTGCATGATTTTCCGGGAAAAACCGAAGTAACATATACCGGGTACTCGGTATTGCAGATCGAATTTCTTGAGTCTGTACTAGCTCGTCGAGAGCCGGAAAGGAAGTACGAGAAGATGCTCTATGCTCCAGGTATGCCATGCCTTTTCAGCGACAGAGGAATATTCGCCTCTGAAAATGAGCCAAGACATCGCATTACGAGAACGGTATTCCTTGAGCTCTGAAAGGAACCATTGAAGAGGAGGACGGACAGACCAACGAGAGTAAAGATAGAAGGGAAAATAGGCTCACGGAGAATGCCGGAAGCGGAAATTCGGCCCGGAGGAGTTGACGCTCGCTATTTTGGTTCGTCCGATCTTCATTGCCACGCTCTCAATCACGCTTCTGGCGCTAAAAGTTCCGTCAGGATAAAGCCGGAATTTCTGTAGACCCAACCTATGATGTTCACTGAGCTGGAGCGTGTACGCGTCTCCTTGGTATCGCAAAGCGATCATGCTCTTTTCAGAGACAGGAATGTCGCCTGTCAGCCCTTCCGATGCTTTGATACTCCTACTCTCTCTTTGCCGGAAGACCACTTCATATTCTTACGCTATAAAATTATGTGACATCTTGCGGTCTCCTTCCACGCCCTAATTATCTCACCTGTTGCCCATTGACGCTGTCGATGCACTCGTGTCCTCGTCGATCTCTTGCTTCCCAACCAATTCTCATAACGCCCATTTTTCCAGATCTCTGGTGTCCATATCCCTTTATGACAGTCTAATAAAAATACACTAGCTGTGGGGGGCAGTCACCGGTTCCTCCGGATCAGAGGTTATGCCGTTACTGTAGAGGATGAAGTCCCTGTCCTGCAGAAGAAGCAAAAGGGGAAGCTATGACCTTGGAATAAATGGTATGGTGTCAATTCTCCTCATGAATCGCACCAGGTCTTCGCGTCGTCGAGTCTGGATGTCCCGGGCTCCTTCGCCAAGTATATTTCTGTGTCCTTTATCAATCCAATTTACACAGTAATGTCGAATGTATCTCACGTGCGATCACGGTAGATCTCTCGTCAGACTGCTCTTAGAAACAGAAACGGAAAGAAGGTTGTAATTGTTCGTTTCTGCGGTCGCTATAAAGGTCTTTCTCCCATCGCTTTCGGGAACGTGGACTTGGGCTTTTTCACCCAAGTATTCGATGTACAGGTAATCGTTATTGACCAGGGTGAGATCATCCATTCCTCTCATTATGTCTTTTCACTGAACAGGACTATGTCTGGGTTCACATGCTCACGAGTACATTCTTCGGTCTCTACATACAATCAAATTTCAACGCAAGGACGTCTCCTATCTGGCTCACGGGAAGACGTGTAGACAATGAGCCAAAGCCGATCCTTGGAGAGAAGTTGGACACGTTGTTAGTAAAGAACGGAAAGGGATCCTCGTACATCAGAACTGCATTCGAAGGGTTTGTCCCTAATTATTCTGAGCTGAGGCCGGCAGCCTCACGAGGAGACCTGGTAGGGAAGGCCTTGGTGGGTATACTGATTCAGTCAAAGAATACTTATTGAGTACAGAAAGGATTCACCAAGTACGCCAAATACGGGGTACCATCCACATTATCCTCGATCGGTTCTGGGGTAGTGGTCCAGCAAACAAACAGTCTCTTTTATAGCGCTACTTACAAGACACGTATTTGGATCGAATCTTAGGCAGGATACCTCACGTCAAGACCCTACACGTATGCACTTCCACAAGGCGGAGGTAAGAATTTCAAAAAGTAAGTCGGAAAGGTGTTCAGCCACTGGATAAATGCATCGCGTTGAAGTTCAGATAATATAGAGGATAGAATATGCGAGGGTCTTTATTTCATACGAAGGGTAGGGACTTTGGACTTTGATAAACGTTACGGTCGGGTCCGATGGACGGATGAAACAGGATGAAACGTTCTCAAGATCACATGCTCACTCAGTTGCTGATTTCGTGGCGTTGACTCGTGCTACATACGTTGGTTCTTCCAACCTTCGTGTGATCACGCATCGACGTATAGGCTTCCTCTGACAGGCTGGCAGTTGTTCATTGACGGCTTTTGCACTTGAAAAGAAGACCGTTTGTCTCCGGTCATTGAAACCTTTTATACACAGGTTATCCCATCGATAAGAGGAACGCGGGCTTCTTCACTCATTTGAGGCACAAATACAGGCAGCCGTTACGGGAAATACTCTATGGGCCTCGATATTTGTGGAAATGTGAATGGCTAGCCAGGGTGAACTCCCGGATTCTTCCTCTCCAGATGTATGCTGGATTTCTTGTTAGAAGGATAATTAGCAGCGGCCGTTTGTTAAGCTGACAGCCCACACACACGGAGTAGTCGTGCGACGTACGCCATCCCCCCGTCCATTTATTTGTACTTGTAAGTCTTCGGTATTCTCATGATGCGAACGTGAATAACGTTAATAGTTCCGGAACAGAGATCCTCGAGGTACAGTATCATTTTAGCCTTTCCCCTTATCCTTTCAGTTTGTTCTCATGAGACTGGACTATGATGTTATCAGCAGCATGCATATCCGCCTTAGTTCTAAATAACTCGCGGGTTTTCTTGAGCATTTCTGTCCTCGCATATGAAATAACTTGCTCACGACCGTGCCAGGTTAACAACTGATATCCTAGCGGTCACTGCATGAGTTCCGCGTATAAATGATTTCTAGGTTTTACTTTCCCTTTCGAAGACCTGATCATTCATCTGACACTCCTTCCGGGGATAGCGCTAAACTTAGTCCATCCTCCCGTTGAAGTCGCATCGAGGATTTCAAAGCTCCTAGAGGTGCGGAACTACCGCCTTTCATGAGAAGAATTGCTAGTCGAGACATTGTTCGAGGTGTCCTTGACTGGAAGTGTGTACAACCGAACGATCTATTCGTTCTTCAAGCGACCTCAAGCCATGCCTTGGCCGAGAGGGCAAAAGTATGGGTATTAATTATTTTCACATCTCGAACTTGCTGACTGATAATTATGGCACAGACGTCCGGTTTCCGACCGGCGTGTTCTTTGACACCTTGACTGGTTATGTATACAAATTTATTCTAGTCAAGGAACGCCTCTTTTTGAAGCGATTGCCGAGGTCAGTCGCGCATGTACCCCGTTGTCACGATGACTTCATACGATGGCTTCCAAATGATATTTAAGTAGGAGGAGTGTCACCTCAATCGTCAGCGAAGTACTCTCTCGACTTCATAAAATATGCTCACTTCTTTCATTACCCTCGCCCTCGCCCTCTCTGCTTTCGCCAGTCCTTACAAGAGAGACGCTAGTCTTAGCGTCTCCTTGTCTGGACCAGCCTCCAACATTACCAGTATCGACGATCTCAAGTTCACCGCGACTGTAGCCAACACTGGCTCAAATTCGGTGAAGATCTTGAAGTACGGGACGATTTTGGACGACATTCTTCCAACCCAATCTTTCACCGTCACCAAGGATGGACAAACCGTCGAGTTCACTGGGATCAAGGTGGCTTTCCCCCGTATACTTTCTCCCCCGATTCACTTATTTCCTGCAGATTTCGGTGTCTTTGAAGGACACTAATGACTCTTCCTTTGTAATCATTCCTCCTGGACAATCGGTTACCGCGGAACATGATTGTAAGGAGCACATTTCCTACCTATTGATTTTTGTTAATCCTATATTCTCGCTTCACAGTATCGGCGCTATTTGACTTTGCTTTAGCTGGTCCAGGAACATTCACGTTCACGCCTGTGACGTCCTTCTATATCACTAGCCCGGAAGCTAGAGTCACCGATGCGGCGAGCCTTGATCAGGTTTCAGTATCGTCTAGCTCTGTTGATGTGAACATCTCTGGTGATTTGGCCAAACGGGATCTTTTTCCTGTCCTGAATACTCGCGCGGTTGATATCTGTACTAACAGTACCAAAGCGCACATTATCGATGCAAGGTTGGTATATACGCGTTCCTCATTTCTGGCATTCACATCTCTCACATATGCTTCAGCTATACCGGGTCGAAAGCATTAGCTGCGGCAGGCGTCCTCTTATATTGCAGCGAACGGTACTAATTCTCTCTATAATTCTTACTTCGGAACTACGCCGACAGACACGGTTCGCGCGGTATTTGATAGAATCGCAAACGAATCATCTAACACAAGGACGTATGCCATTTCCATCTATCTTCTTTTTCAACCTCTCAAATTTCTGCAGAATGGACTGCACGGATCCGCTCCTTTCATGTGGACTTCGGCCAGGTATCATTGCGTATACTGTCTTACCTGATTCGGATGTACGTATTTCCACCATGGCCATATGTTTGACAGGATCTGACGGACCGTTTGCTCGTGCCAGATTTACTTCTGCAATCCCTTTTACTCCTTGGATTCCAGTCGTGGTCTTTGTTTCGGTACAGTTGATGGCACCATCACTGCTGACGGAACTGTGCTCCATGAGGTAGGCGCTATTCTGGATGTACATTGATCGACAAGTTTATGGTTTCTGTTATCTAGTTCACTCATGCGACTTCCGCTACCATCGATGTCGCCTATGGCTGTGCTACGGACCGGGCGCTTCTTCCTGCTGAACAAGCTGTCAATGCCGACAATTATAACGTATGTCATACTCATTTAATGTGCAATTCATGCTGACATTATTCCTAGTGTTTCGCAAACGAGGTTTACAAGGCCACTCAGTGCAGTTAGAAATGGCGTTGCTTACAGACGTAGGATTTCGCCCAATTGAAGTTCGAAATTTCGTTTAATAGTGTTGTTCGTATCTGAGAGACTCGTTTATATCAATACATGTTTGTGTCTTCGACTGAAAAGTTACCTAAATACCTTCACTTTGGTGACATATGAGCGTTGCGTTTTGATGTGACATTTCTACAATTCCAGAACAGCTGTCATGCAAGTGCTCTTTCCCCAAAGGAATTTCTTGATTTATAGAGACTGGCACGTGTTTATCATTCAGTAGTCATAACGTCCTTTTGTTCGGGATTTTTGGACCGTTGAGTGTCTATCACCAATAAGCAGTCCACCCCTGCATCCAAACATTTAGTTATACTCAGATTACTGAGAATATTGACGAAGTACAGAGTGAACAGAAAATTGGTATGTGTGTCTACCAACCTAGCCTTCGCCATATATCACGATACTCTGGAAACATGAAACAAAACAACCTCACCCGACGCTCCGTCTCATCTCGGAATTCCTCACTGAACCGTTCCAGCGCAAACTGTTTCCAATACATCGAGTTTTTCTGTTCCTGCATACTCATACCCTTCACAACGATCCTCAATAATGAACGTATATCCCCCGCATCCGCGTCTTGCTGAAGACGAAGACGAAGTTCCTGAGATTCCATGTTATCTTTCCACCCCTGTAGTTTATGCAACAGCAGGATAGACATGGGAACGACTGGGAAGCCCTGCTTATCGACGATGGCCTCGGAAAATATCATCGGGAGCTGTAACACTCCAGGTTTGAGGATATCAACCTTAGTTTTCTCCAATTCCCCATCTGCACCACGGTCATGGTACCAAAGGACCCTCCACGTAGCCCCAGGGGTTTTAGCGTTCACGAGGTAGAAATGCATCGGGTTCTTAGCAACAATGAACTCCTTCAACCCCTCTACATCGCAAGTATGCGACGACGCCAGAATGTCGATGTCCTACTGCTTCATTAGTATGTATCGCAAGAGAATACGCAGATGTGAACCCGACCTCTCTGCAGATATGTGAACCCGACCTCTCTGCAGATACGAGTAATTTCCTTGGCAGCGCGGAATACGACTGCCCGAGGGCCTCGCGATGGAATCACTGGATCCGCACGGACTGCAAGTGAAGCACTACTAGATTGAGTCGCAGAGTGGGATCTGGTGTCTCGCTCGCCGTCGTCTCGACAGTGAGTAACCACAGCAAAACCTGAGAAAGCTCGGTGACCGTCCATGGGAGTGGCTATACTGAAGAGGCCAAGAGATGGTGTTGGTGACAAGGAAAAGACAGAAGAACCCGAGTCCATTTCGGTACCGCGCTGATCTTTGAATTTCAAATGATGTACGTATTTCTTTCTCCTCTTAGACCTAGGTACGGCTTACTTCAATGATCCATTAGGATTTTGAATACTAAATAGACGATGCAAAGACGATGATAGGATGACTGGAATGAGACAATACCAACCAGCACCCCATCCTTTCAAGCAATCCATTAGCATTCATGTCGATGATTACACGTTCTGGCGTACTGAGTTCTGGTCCCTCGGCGCACCCTTAACATTAACTTCCAACACTGATGTACTCTCGGTAATAGGTAAGACTGTCGTCACCACACGAGTAGGAGGACCAGCAGCGCATCACTGGAAACTCGACCTTCTTGAAACGCGATCCTGAAAAACAGGCTCGTGTGGCCGACGGGTGCCTCTCATTCACGTTAGGAGTACCGGGAGAGAAATTAAGGCCGACTTTCGCTTTCAGGAAAAGGAAGCGGCCAGTAGATGCGGACCACATATCCAAATGCCAATGCAATAACTGGAGACTTGATTCGGTTAAGGCGGGGAAAGTTGGCCAATAACCGAGTGTGATCACAAGTCCTGACCGCGGCATCATTCCACAAAGTAGTAAGATGATATTTCTTTTCTAAAGAAAATATTGATACCAACCGTATCAAATAGCATATCAACCGAAATAGTCGGTCGAACTGTAAAGGAACAGCTCCAGCATCCAAAACGAAATGAACTCGGAATAGAAGACGACTTTGGTACGTCGGGGTGAAGTATCTAACGATCAGCGAAAAGTAGCAAGCTCACGACTTCATGGACGACGGGGACCTAGGAAGCTAGACTGGCGCTTGGTATTGGTGGAAGTAAGGCCCTGCATCGATATCGCGAACGTCAGTAAAAAGGTACACCCCAACCGACACAAGATGAAAAGGGAAAAGAATCAGAGATCTTGGTGGAAAAATAGTCTCATCGGGTAAGTACCCTCTGACGTAGCAAATATAGAAGATTATTGCATCATGCGAAAAGAACAAGAAAACGAAGCATTGCGCATTTACCTCAAAAAGTAGTTATCAGGCGCCAGAGGTTGTGGAGTTGCGGGCCAACAAAGATATAAGCTCAGCGATCTCTGATATCGATACGTTCCCTATAAGCAGTAGAGATCTAAGAATAACCTCGTTAGCGAATTATGAAAATACCGAAAAGACGCCAGGGTAATAATCTCAGGAAGATATATTACGGACGCAACAATTTCGCGCATCCAGCCCAACGGGGCTGTCAAAATGCAAGGGGAATGTGCGGTTCATCAGATGAGGGTGTGCGGAAGGGGACTCACGGCGTAGCTTCAGAGGTACGTCTGGAGCAAGAGCAGTATGCGGTGAAACTTGGGGTGTGGCCAAGCAACTGTAGGACTCGAGATTGACGCGATATACGACGGAGAAGAGTAGGTCCGAGTTTGCAACGACCTGCTCATGCCCTGGTGCGGTCTTCAAATGTTGCCGTCATCCTGAGCGCCGGTCTTCCCGATCAGGGTTGTCTATTGCCTGTTCACAGGGCGACGTAGTGCAAGGTGTTAGCGACCGAGGATATATGCTGAGAAAACAAGGTTCGATGAGGGTGACATTTGGGTATTAGCAATTAGAGGAACGCACCATGTTCTCCTTCAAAGGGCATCACAACATCTCAAGCTGCCATAGACGAACACTTCCCAACCCGGACCAGACTTTCGGCTGTACACAAATATCAGGCCATGTTCGCCGAGGAAGATCAACGTCGCGCATACTAGCTAGAGTAGTATCAAGGACTTATACCCAGCACACTGCAGGTACAATTCTCGTATTCGAGCAAACTGGTGGGGGTATGCCTTCGAGAGACATCGGTGGAAGGGCGAAAGGAATGCGTGAAATTTTTCAAATAAGCGCAATCAAAAGAGGCACGTGACTGGCGCGTTGTTTAAAGAATTTGAATTTCAGACCGGTGACATTATAATTTTGGAGCTTAATTTATTTTTATTTAAAATCTATATTTCGAAACCGCAACCCGTAATCTATGTACAGAGACGCGGCGGCGCTTGCTCATAGCCAGCCCCAGTAGCTACTGTAGGTACACAAGGGGATTTTCAGACCTTTAATGGTATAGATATCTCGTGTCTTTATGTGTTGAGTCCTTGGTATCCAGGGGGTTGACGCCACCATAACTCAGGCTATGGGGCACGGGTTTGTGTGCATGGAGCGAGTTCCTTGGTTGTTCTCCGGGTCCGTCAGCATTTCCATCCTCCCTCTACCACTTTTCAACCTCCGGGATCTTCCTCTCGCTCCAGGTCCTGATCTCCCAGCCAGTCTTCAAGCATGGTTTCTTCTTCATCCAATGTGGGTCGCATTGGCGGCCGTTTGGGGGCGCCAGTATTTGTGAATGCGCCTGACTTCTCCAGGAACGTATAATTTTGGAGCATCGGGATCGGGGGGAGTAACTTAACGATCACATGACTGTGAGAACTGTTTTCGCTGTGGATGCAATTTAAAATTAAAGTGGCGACCTTCGACTACGACAGAAAGTCTATATCCTTTCCATGAAGCAACGAACGTCGCATATCTTATCCTCGATATCCTCGAAGCTCCAGCGTGATACCTTTATCTGGTCTAACACATTCCCGAGCTTTCTCATCGCCGGTAAGCCGTGTCTTAGCATCATTACGCCCCAGTAGGCTCATCGACCAGGAATCAACCAGCGCCTCACACCCGTCACGCCGCTCTTCTGAAAAGATGGACGCAAGATATAATACAGCCGCTTTTTGAAGATTTTTACCTCTGCCGTGTGGAGGTGCAAAGTTGTGGCGTCTTGTCATACGGTATCTTGCCTGCGGGTCCTGAGATACCCATGCTATCAACAGATTCCTCTTGCCCCAGGAGACTACGGCTGGTACTTCCCTGATTCGTCCCTAGTGGTTGTTTTATCTCCATCCTTACATTCTTTTTTTCTCCGTTACAGAGTGGATGGCGAAATGTCCCTGGATCCATTCCCTAGTGCAAATGAAGTCATTCACGACCATGCAAAAGATCCATATCGAGAAACCCGGGTGTGTTATCGAGGGATCCTCACACCGTTGTAAGTGCTACTCCAGTGTTTCCAACTGCTAACCTGTCCGAGGCCAGTTCCACGTCCCACCTTCGATTCAAACACGTGTCTTACAACGCGATTCAAAACCGCTGTTTGTTCGCTGGACTCCTACCCCAAGAATCAACCCAAGTAACGTGGATCATACCGCCGTACTTCGCGTATATGGTGAGTTCCTTTCTGCACTTGTGGTATTCTTCAACTGATCGAGCCCGCCAATGCATTTCCTACCTGCTCCCCTCTCGACACCCGCGCCCTAAGCGCAGAGTACTTAGAGACGAACCCCTCAAACGCACTCCCGATGCACAAAGATCTCATCCCGTTCTGGAACGACAACGCCTTCAGCGTCGATATTGATGTACGTTCTCCCCGCTTCGTCAACCTTGATAAAATCTTCCCACATGCACAGGACGACTACCGCATCATCATCTTCCGCGAGATGGGATCCGCACGGGGACTTCTTCCTGCCCACATTCCTCCCCCTCCCTCACCCAACACTGATTTCGAGATGTTCCTCCGGTGCCACTTCCACAGCTCCATTCATGCGAACATCCTCCACGGCGACGTCAGGGAGGATTACACCAGCCAGGAAATCATACAGCTAATGGGGGACCTCGGTGTGGGAGACGGAGACGAAGAGGGGAATTTTGCCCCGATGGATGATCCGCGGTGGCAGACGGTGCTGGGGAAGGCGATTTGGGAGGATGTGATGAGGGTTACGATGTCTGCTGCGGGGGGTGGGTATGATAGTACGGAGGAGGAGGATGGGTAGTGGGATCTCGGATAAGTGCAGATTTCAATCCAGTGCCTGCGACTTTTTAGTTTTTATTGAGTATAATTATCCCTCTCGTCCGGACTATAGATCTCCTTGTTCTCTGTTACTCTTGTATTGGTCGTCGAATACAAAGAGCAGATTACTAATATCGCACTTTTACTAACTTGCCAAAATGAGTATCCTTGGTTGGCCAAGACAACCGCTTGGAGGCTCTTGTGGTACAAGGAGTTATCTCGTTAAACGGAAAAGCAGGTTATTTATTAGTTCAGCAGGTCTTTCTAACGTCAGACATACTGTATAAGAATCCTTCGAGCCTCCATTCAACAAATCTCCGGTCTCCATACAACACTTCCGAGTCTAACACTGAGTATTCTGGTACACCTGGGTCGAGAAACACTGCCAAAAACAAGATCAGAACGAGTCACATATCAATCAATCGCATACGACAACGTACATTATAATTATCAGCATTCCTACGCTGGTTCGCATCAGAAAGCGCCTGGTCGTTCGCACATCCATAAATGACATCGTCAGTACCAGAAGTCGCATGCGTCAGCTAAAAACCCAGACACTATCAGCCGTGTGGATTAACAGGACCCCCCTCATACCTCATGGAGAGTAGTCCCACCCCGGACATTCCGCGACGCCACGCTGGTCCCACGACAGAGATTGGCACTGGGAACCTCACTGAAGAAGAGACTGCAGAAGTAAACCTGCACAATATCAGGTGGATTTTCCCAGTGCAACCGTAAGTTGATACTTACATTCGTGGTAGAGATGACGGTATAGGCGATAACGCCGCTGCTACACGCGCGGAACGTATCCGTGCAGCTCAATCTGCTTAAATTTGAGAAGGGCTGAACAAGGGGGGCGGGTAAGACTGGCTTACGTCCTCGAGCTGGATGATTCGCTTGCGACGTTATTAAACACACCGCGGATCGTGGATGTCGAGGTAGCACCATAATAAGCCGTGTAGAGAGAGTTAGCGCCATTGGTCGCAATGTAAGACGACGCAATAGAAGCTAAGGATTTGGCCTCGGTATAGCTGAAAATGTATGTCAGAGAGCTGTGTAATCCACAGTGAGAGTCTGACCTTGCGTCGATAAAGCTCCTCTGGGAAGTAGAGGTGCAAATATCAACAGCGCGAGCATCCAAGACGGGAAGATCCCGTTTCGCCAGGTCTCCGGAGACGTGCACTTCAACCGAGCTGGAGGTTACTGAAACCTTATCGAGGCTCACCGCATTGATGAATCCAGCTTCGGCACCGACCATCTGGAACGTCGTCACAGGCGTAAAGGTGAACGTTCCCGGACCAGCGGAGGCAAAGTCGAAGAGCGTTGACACTGTTTAATACGAACATATTGTTAGCCATTATAAATGCAGAGAAAGTATCCCGCTTACGCTCATGCTCCACAGCAACCGACTCTCCAGGAGAAATGACTGCAAACGCCGAGTCATCAATGTTTTGCAAAGAAACCGTAAGCTGCATAAAATGGGTGAACAAACCGTATGCATAAATTAGACGGAGGAAAACGCTACCTTGATCCCAGTGAACGGAACGGTCTCTCCGTCCTTCGTAATAGTGAAGGAGCGCGTCGGAAGGATGTCGTCCAAAATCGTCCCATACTTCAAGATCTTCAGCGACTCTGAGCCAGTATTGGCCACAGTCGCTGTGAACTTGAGGTCATCGACACTAGTGACATTCATCGCTGGTCCAGACAGTGAGACGGTAAGACCACCGTCTCTCTTGTAAGGACTAGCAAAGGCAGAGAGGGCGAGGCAGAGAGTAATCAAAGCAATGAGCATGGTATGAAGTCGAGGAAGTACTTGACTGACCACTGAGGTAAGGATTCCTGCTGTTTAAATATAGGGGTCCTTATCTCGAGAGCATAAGGACGCAAAAGATGCTGAAGGTATCGTGACAATGGAACACATGCGCGATGAGCATCGATAATCACCTCAGAGAGCGCAAAGTCTTGGACGTTCTTGGCTAGAATTAATCGTTAGCAATCAAGCTGGCATCCTCGGTGGTAAAAATAGCACTCGCGCTGTCGCCTCCTCCATCGAAAATACCAGTTGAGGGGACTTTGAGGATCAAGATAGCGAAAAAGCAGCAACTCGAACACCTTGGGAATGATGCATTCAATTGTCGCAGAATAAGAATGAGGTCGATGTACCCGTAGCCAGTTGTCTTGGCGCTCGGAGACTCGTTATGAGAAGAGACAACGGGTCTCAAATACACGCGGTTCTATCCTGTTAAGTGAGCTCCAACGCTTGTTAAAACCGATATTTCCCCTCAGGACAGGTTATCCGAGGTACACTTCCACATGTTCGGAATACCATAGTGTGAACATCAGTACGAGGGAACGTACTAATTTTGGCGCCGACGTGGGAAGAAGGGTATGGTCACTGATAAGGGCTTTGAACGGAGAATTTGGAGTTCGCCAAAAGTCGGGAATACGACGACTGTTAGGACTTTGGTGGTTAATCTGGAATGATCATGGACGGGTTAGCATACATATCTCGGACAGAAATATTCGAGGAAACTCACCGGTCATTCAGCGCCAAGACGGATATGCATACGGCCGAAAACGTCATTCTCCATTCTCATGAGAACAAACTGCAAGGATCGAGTAAATTGTTAATTGAAACGCAGAGATAGCAGCACGAGGTTTTATGTTCCGGCACTATGTTGAAAGCGAAGACGTTAATCACTACTGTATCAGGACAACGTCGAAGACTCACAATCGTAAACAGGAACAGATGGACAGCACATGATTCTTCAGAGTTTCACGAAATTTTATTCAGCTACAGTCTAGCAACCGACAACCAATCAGCATCGCAAAGATCGTGAGAAGGATGATGGGACAAACTCACCATTCCATCGAGCTCCGTAAGTTTCCTTCTTAGAATGATTATCCCTGTATTAATAGCAACAAACCGAGGCGTCATGTCGGTGTATAGAATGTGTGAAAAAAAGCCACACTCCTAAGACAGATGGAATAAAATGGTGGAAGAGGGAGAAAACGACCAAAACGAACATCTGCCTTGCTAAGCAAAATCGACCGACAGCTAACCTCACAAGCTCTGATAAATGCATCTGTAAGCCGTGAATTTGTGACTTTCATGCAACCTTCGGAATACGACTCCAGATGACTAAAAAGCGGCACAGCAATGCAAATGCGAATGCTAATCTGAAGTCTCGAGCGAGACATTCATTATGACAACACGAGATTGGCAACATGAGACTGGGAAAGTGCCAAATATATTAAAGGCTCTGTTACGATAACCGTGATTCAACACAGGTTTCGTCAGCCATTTGACGTTTCAAATTTCATTGCTTTTACAGCATCACCTTGATGTAACCCAACGAACGGCTGTGCCATTTTCAGAGAGGCCGAACCTCTGTCAGCGGCAACGCTGTAGAGTGCTCTAGTCGAGCCATCACAACACACATGCACGGAAGAGTCACTGGAACAACGTATCGTGTCATTCTTTAAAAACAACATAGATATCTATCGTAACGATCATGGGAGCGACGTATACAGTTAGCCTAATGTCGAGGTGAGGGCAGAATAACGCGTACAAGGGCGAACTGAACGGGATAGAGCACTGCATTCTTTCGGTCCCGGTACGTCTAGCACTGAAAGTAAAGCACGCATCTGGCGATAATCACCCACTATTAGGGATAGACAACAAAGGAGCACTTACTAATTGCTTACCAAGGACATCTTTGAGGTCAACAAACGTCCGAATGGACACCAATATGATATGCGATGATACTTCCATGCGAACTATCAGAACCGAGTAAACGGGCGAGATGTACATCCACGTAAAATGATCTATCTCACCAGGCTGGCACGCTCGTCATTCAAATGTAGGGCCAGTATTTTCGCCGTTAGCAGCCATGATCAGTGAGGCCCTATATCACGAACATCACCACCAAACTAAACCCCTACGAGTTGAAGGGAAAAAATGAGAGCTCGGGAAGAGATTGATCTCGCAGGGCTTCCGAAGTAGTAAATATAGAAGATATCGCATTATGTAAGAAAGCGATACGAATTAATGGTTCCGTACCTCAAAGTGAAGCCTTCCGTAGTGAGGAGCAATCTAAGAATAACCTCGTTATCTTTATCCAAAAAAGACAAGAACAAAAGAATCTCAGGAAGTGAAGGAATCACGGACGCAGCAACTTCGCGCATCCAGCCCAACGGGACCGTCAAACGCAAGGAGAATTTGCGTTTCATCAGACGTTACTGTAAATAAAGAAAATGGCATCGACATCTCTGCCCGAATCGAGGCAGAGTTGAATAACAAAGGCTTGGTTTCCATCTATCAAGGAATATGTGCAGAGAAGGAGCGCTATTCCAATAATTACTTCACTTTGAGGAACGCCTCCCGATGGCGGTGTATGAGTCGTTCTGACCTTGAAGCAACCTGGTATCAGGGCCGGCGACGTGCGGTTTTTGAAGCAAGCAGAAGTGAAATACCCTTAGTGTGACGGCAACATTTTACACTGCATTCATGTACGGCACCGGGAAGAGAATTTGTTCAGACTATAAAGATCAGGGAAGTCATTTCCGGAAAGTTGTAGGTGTTAAATATGCTGGTAAGACAAGGTTCAGTAAAGGTATGTCCTTCAAGAGAATCCCGCACTCACCTTCCTCGAAAAGTATCGCTACGTCTCGAACTACCTCAAAACATCCAGCGCTTCATGTGTTCCAAACCTTTTCACAAGCTAGTACGGCCCATTTATGAATGTACACAGATATCAGAATAACTTCGTCAAGTGTCGCTCGACCAACTATATCGTCGTTGATTCCCTACTCTCGTATATGAACAAGGTCATCCAGTACGACGTCCCTTTTCATATACGAGCATGACGGTACCGCCATGTGATTGATTCTTAAGGAACGTCATGGTAAGGAAGAAAGAACGACAGTTTCAATCGTAACGAAAGGAAAATAACAACAACAATCAAAATTGTACCACGTGACTGACGCGTCGCGTTCTCGGCTTCAATTTGTAATTCCCAGCTTACACCCTGTTCGCAAGTTACAATCCTCGCCTTCGAGAGGTAAAAACAAAATGGCTACTTTAAGACAGTTGAGTAGCCGTTGATCAATTTATGATTGAATTAGTCGGGTATAACACATAACTAAGAAGGAATACTTCAATCGCCTTGATTTCCTTCCGCTCATAACAACGGGATCTACGAGTCGATAGATCTAACTATAACATGCTAATCTCGCTGGTAGGATTATAGAGGCGTTCTTACTGAAATTAGTAGGCCGTAGATGGGATCTGTAGCGTAAGGAGAATATCTATTATTCATCTCATACAGAAGCTTTTCTGCGCTTATTTATACTCACATTCACTATTCTCACAATAATACGAACACTACATGAGCCTTTGTTATGCCAGTCTTTCCTGATCCTTTCTTTAGATTTTTCGTAGCAAGCATCTAGACCTCCCTACTACTGCGATATATAGCATCTATCCACCCAGAATGGCGGACAATGTCTAGGTTCAGTAAATGTAATAGGAATAATAGGCCAGAATATCACTTGTGTTCCAGCTTCAGACTCAAATGAAAGAGATGGAAACAGCTCGCTTTGTAGCCTCCGAGTTTTATTGACGTTGTCTCCTGGTTGGTGATGCTCTTATCTCAAAGTGTACTGAAGTATACACAGCTTTATCATAGGCTCAACTTCCTAATACATGCCCTCGTTGTCACGATGGCAATGGTAGATTAAGACTTGCCTGAGAGCGCAAACAAGGATTGTAAGCATGGAATTATTACACATCTTTTCCCCTGGCATGGATATCCGCGAGACAGTGAAAGTTACTCTCATTATTATACCCTACGGACTAACCACGAAAAACGCTCGCAGATCTACGGTTTTAAGGGTCCGGTAAGTTCTCGCTAAGAAAGCGAACACCGAATCACTTACGGTAAGGTTACGGTTCCTCCATCATCGCGCTTTATGAGAAGCATTTGCGTACCCTATAGACTGTCAATCGAAATATTTGTTATTTGAGAACAAGGTACCTCACGTCTGCTATGTGACTTGTAGACTGAAGGACGCCTTTCAGGAGGCGTCCGTTCGAGTCATAAAAGAAGACACGCGAGCCGACCTAAATGGTAAAGAAAAAATCGCTACATTAATTCCAGATAGTTAAGGAGGATACAAAAGCAGCGCACAAGAAGCACGTTCATAGACGAAGTATTGGTAGGGTGATGTGAACTGATTAATTCTCTACGCAACACGAACGTTTAAATATCCACGAGCTATTTCTACTTTTTTTATGAGAGACGGGGTACTCATACAGTATGTAATCTTCGGGAGATATATGGCGGGGTCCGTCAGGGTCCGTCGCCAGGTGAGTACACATTCTTCACAAGACAAGAATGGTCCGCTTTGAAGGGATCATTCCCATAATTAGAATAGATGGACATGTTCTCGTAAATTTTGTTGTCTTTATTTTGCTGGAGATAGATAGACTCATTGGATAAATGCAAAGCGAATGTGGCCTGAGGCGAGTCTTTGAGGAACATAACGTGGGCAGGTGGTCCGTTGTCAATCTGAGTGGCAGCTAGAGAGAAATTATTGTCTCACGAACGGAATTACCCGAGAAAAAAGCGTACAAGAAACTGAAATATAAAATTTCCGCTCTCACGGATGCAAATAAATTGGTACTATGAACTACCTTCTTGGCATGAGATTGCGTATATTCGCTACTGCCCACCACGTAGTTTTATCCACCCTGATATCCGAAAAAACTTGACTCTTACGCTTCGGCAAAAGTGTGTCTGACATAGTTAATACGTGACGCGTGACTTAATGGGAGTGGAAGCCTTGTATGTGAATCCTACGCAAAAATCCGCGCGGTATGTAGAACACGCGGACTTACTTTCATCCCTGAAAAACCGATTTGCTCTGATAAGTAGACTCTGCGGAATTACGTATCTTGACGATATAAGCATGAGAACACGGCACAGATCGCAAGGCCGATCATCTTTCGTTATGGTACCTGACAATTTCCCGGGCGCTCTCCAGGATATGACGGGGATCATTGAATCTAAAGCATGACTGCGTATATGTAATAGGAGGCAGGCTGGGGAATTGAGTTGTACACCAGCACGTGCAAGGGCGAATTTTAATGCAACCGAGCGGCACTGACTGATGCTCCCTCGAAAGAGCGATAGAGGCATAATAAGTTTCCTTTTTTTTGTATCATATACGTCTTCATGATCCCTGAGACATTTCAATTTCCGGAGTGCCCGCATACGGGAACGATGGGAAAATGTATCCGATATCGGAGAAGGAGGTACGTTTGAGCTACGCATGGTCGTTCTCTGTGGGGATCTTTCCAGGGTCGAGGTCTCAAAATATAAAAGCTAATGTCTGATTGCTGATATGCTTTGGTCGATTATGGCTCGACGTTCAGTTCTCAAATTCTAAGCTCCCGCCAAGAGCGAGAGTGGACCCGGCCTTTCAGGGCCAGGCTCTGGCCAATATACGCGTGTCTCTAATCATCCATCTATATCCTTGAAAGACTTCATGGACCTTCTTGGCCTTCCACTAGGTGTTCCATTTTCTGCCCTGACCAAAGATGGTTGGGTTTTGAAAACTCAAATTCATAATCGCACCTGATCAAGGCCACAAGCTCTGATTTTCAGAATATCATCTTTTATGGTGTTTAATCGTAATGTAAATACCAGAATCAGACAGAAGGTATGCAATTGAGGTGTCTTCCCCCAGCCTTTCCAGCACAACTAAGTATTACCGAACTGCCCATCAACATCCACAGACCTCCTCCCTCCCTATGCAGTCATATAGGTCCTTTCAAGTGGGGAAGTACGCCCAGCCGCAAGAGTACGCCAGAACTATGGAGGAAAGTTGGCATCAAGGGGTTTGAAACGCGTCGCGCGACGCGTGTCGGTTAGGACACTGGGTCAGTCACGTGTGATAACTTGGTCGTGTTCGGAACCGCAAATGGAATTCGGTGCTACCATGTAGTAGCTACTCTTTCCTTCGTCTGGCTAGCTGTTCATTGATTATCACTGCACTCCGGCCTCCGAACCAGAATTCCCCAGTACATTTGGCGTATTCTTACCTTGACAACGTTAGTACGACTGGTACGTACATGCCGTTCATCCTTAGCGAAGAGTCGAGATGCTCTGATGAAGCACAGTACACATGAAGGACTCGATTGAGCAAGGACGAGCTACGCGAATCTGCGGGCGACTCTATCTGCATCTGGGATCTACACAGGTAAGGATATTAATAATAATAATAATACGTATTCTCATCACCAAATTTTGCTTCCTTCGGCAATATTTACGCTCTGTCCTGTGCTATCTCGGAATAATGCGATGGAATCAAAGCTTTAGCCAGCTATTAAGTTATTTTCTACTGTGCCAGGTATTTAAGTACTGTCTACTCGCCTTGTTGGATAAGTGTTAGCGGTATAAATCGGCTTGGACAGTTATGGATGCTGTTGTTCACTACGAATATGGTTTAATGAGCTTTGCGTGCATCTGAATCGCTGGCGAACATGCTGAAGATACAGCTTCCGGTGCATTGCAGTGTGAGGCTTTCGATGCGGGCATCCATTTTTATCCGTATTAAATGGTTTCGCGCAAGAACGGTGTCTCCGAATGCCCTCGGGCGGTTTCCAACACCTCCGTTTCATGAAGAAGGACGTGTATCGTCAGCTCTGTCGTAATCAACTACGACGGACATCACTTGTCAGAGTAACTATACCTGGCACGTTTCTCAGCCTGCTAATATTAGGCATGATCGTTTTTTTTTCCCATTCGCCATTTATTAGATGGTAGGCTACTTTGAGCGTTATATTAAAGGAGAAACAATTCGGGTCGATATCCTGCTGTATCATCCAAAATAACTCTGTATGAGTGGTGGAGTAGTCGGACATGGGTCAGACCTTTCCACGGGATGTTGCCTGTACAATTTGATTGGACTAGCATCAGCAGATACTTCTAGCTGCTTGGCGGCAACGCGAACACAGAGACGTAGAAATCCCAGCCGGGAAGTCTAATTATACATCTTCTAAAGGTACCGGGAACCATGCTGGCCGAAACACTTTGATGCGTGTATTAGATGGATGGCTATTTGAAACTGAACTCAGTTAGTCCCATATCTTCATGTAGTTCGTACACTGTTTTTACGACAGACGCACATCCGTAAGCTGGTCCTGGTTGGACATTTTTTAATAATGAGAAATCCCACGCTTAAATGCGGTGATATCGGTGTCCGTGTATATAGGTACAAAATACAGAGCAGCACTTTTGATTGTGGTTATAGGTTTACACGACATGACCCCAGTTGGTCTCCTTGCTATCACTTCCTACAACTAGCCATAATAAACGCTTGTAGATCTATGGTCACGAGACATTAGAGGGTCGTTGCAACGAAAGACTCAAGAGAAAGAGAGCTACTAACGGTAGAGTGATGGTCCTCCCATTATCGCACTTGATGAGAACCATTTGAGTACCCTATAGCAGATAAGACTACAATAAAAAGATGCTCGAGAGAACAGAGCTCACGTCGCTCGTGCGGCTGGTGGACTCGACGACACCTCTAACGAGTTGTCCTCTCGACCCGTAGAAGAAGATGCGTGAACAAATCTAAACAGTGAAAATGAAAAATGTGTCTCGAATACACCGTGAAGAACGCAAAGAGGACATACTGAGAACGTGTTCATAGGCAAAACCGGTAGGTAGGTATGTAGAATTACGATGGGGCAATGATAGCTGCATATCTGAGTCTACGCAATGTGCTGGTTTAAGTACCTTCAAACTATTGTTGTCTCAGTTGAATTATGAGAAAGGGTGTATCATGTATGTAACGGACCCCAAATGATCTGGGAATTTTGAACTCTGAGTGCGCAGAACAAAGACCCAGAACCGGTCCGAGTCAGCCACAACCGAAGAGGGTACATCCTCCCACAACCACTAGCGACAGGAAAGAGGTATAGATAGTTCAATACTTCTTGCAATTAAAGTGGCGTATATAATGCATTCTTTTATAATAGATGATCGGTTCCGAAGGGAAGCATGAGAGATTCAGAACAGACTGAAGCGGGATCGGTTCAAGGACATTTTGGGAGCCACAGTCGCACACAATTTATTCCGCGGATACGAAGATTTGAGGTGCGAAGAATTCTGGCAATGTCAAATCCGAGAGTCTCATAATTGTTATGGTCAGAGATTTCTGTCACTCGGAGTTCGTTATTCAGTATTCGGGCTATGCTCTCATCAGATGTTACCCTCGCATCTTATGAAGTATATCTTGTCCACGGATGCGGAAAGTTAAAAACTTAGAATGAGAGAACCCATTCGATGTATGTCCAATCGTGCGGGCATGTAAGAACCACCTGGAATGCAGGGCTGGATAGTGGATGGTGCCGAGAACGAACAATCGATAAAGCGTAACTTGTATGAACCTTGTTGCTCTTCTCACATCACTTAGACGTATATTCGTGGAAGGGCCGTGGCTCATCTCGACTGCCAGAAGGAGGACTTCGGATTACTTAGTTCAATAAAGGAGTCTATAGTATCGATGCCGTATATGCTATGTACATGCATGGGAAGTATGACGGGAATGAACAGTCCTGCATCATACCCGTATTACTGATAATAGCCATCCTGCCAAACCTTATAGACCACTTACTTTAGGCATGTCGATAGAATTGCTTTGGCCTACCATCTAATGTGCTAGTCAGCCAAAGTTTAGAAGTATGAAAATCTGTTAGAATAGTGGTAGACACGCGTAGCTTGATTCTTTCCCTCGTACCTGGCATAGATAATTAGTCTGGGATAGCTCCAAACAATAATAGTACCTCCGCTGGTTGAAGCGTCACCATGACTCCCCCGAAAGTGGCAGCCTTTTGGAGATGATAGGGAAAATAGTTTAATCGTAGCCTAGTACGGAAAGGACTCAGAGACTGACACGCGGGCCGCATTGAAGAGTTCCTGATGAGATCTCCGTGAAGTCGAGGCATAAGATGAAACAGGTCCAATGGCGAACTATAGGAACTTTACGGGCGTCCGGGTCGCTGTGCAAAAGATTGTAAATCTCAGACGAGTGAAAAAGGGACGAGCCAAGAAGCAAATGAAGAAGGCGTGGTTTTTAAGCACTGTGAGGAACACGATAATGGTCTATGGCATCCGTAGGTCATGACCTAGATTCACAATCTTATTTCCGGGATAGTGACGAGGCGCCCGCGGTTGAGGGAGTATTATGGGAGAATAGTTAATAGGCGCCGTCTAAATCGGTAACCCAATGGGGTCGAAGGCGAAGTGCGGCGACCTTCCTCATTTTGGAGATAAACTACGGAAAACACACGATTCATGAAGTACTCACCAGTGAAAGAGAGCGAACCTGCAAAAGGAAGCGCAACGTCACAATCGCGAAAAAGTAGCTGAATGGCAAGATCATGTACGGGAGTCTCGAGACCCGATTGCGCAGGATGCAGCTGTACGGAGTCGTTATCACCCTCTTCCGGACTCACAGGTTCCTTCGCATACGGGCAATCCATATTATTATGTGCACACCTTGTTGGCCAATGACAGATTGACAGTCGGTGATGGGAGGAGGCACCAGCTGACATTAGAATCTGTGAGCGAGTGGACAGGACAAAAAGATACTCGTGCTCTTCGACTAACTTTGATATGACCGGCGCTACCGGCTCCAGTATACTGTTAAAAGAATGATGGAGCATACAGAAAAAAAAAACACAAAGATGCTGTCGCCATAGTATTGACCACGGCTGCCGAGTATAACGGAGATTTCAGTAGCGCGCCATCAGCTTCCGTGTCGGAGAACAAGATCGGCGGTACAGCAAGTCTCTGCCTAGAGCATCGAGACATACCGTACGCAAGAAGATCAGCATCTGTGAATTATCATAGCGATCATCGGGGGGGGGTATCGGCGAGGGCGGGCACCCTGGAATGTTACAGCGCTTGTGTCCCCTTTGTAGTGCGAGAAATTTCTTTGTCGTCACGTTTAGTCCATCGCTGATTCAGCATCCGAGTATCGGTATCGATGCCCAGGTTATTCGATGCTGTGGTACTCTGCTTACAGCGTAGTAATAAATGTGGAAGAGGTTCATCTACCGTGCTGCCTTGTTCCTGAGAAAATAGGTGAATCACCTTACCAGAGACGTAAATCCCACAACATTTTGGTCCTGAGTGCGCATTCTGTTCAGATTAGAAAGAGCTTCTGTCAGAAACGGGCCGGTAGATGCACGAAGCCGCTCTGAACCAGGACCTCACTCACCGCAGAAGGGAAGCTAGGCAATGACGAAATAAATCCGGCTCCTTCTCGTCATATGACAATCTTTATTGACGGAAAGGCGTAACAGTAGTTACAATACCACACGGTAACTTCAGATGTTGCAAGCACAACGGGAGCATATGACTCACAAAAGCAGATTTTTGTCAATACATGCGTGCCGTGGACATCAGACGTTAACAGGGCCCTCCTTGTCATCGAAACGCGCAGTAGTTAATTAAAAGACTTTATGGATGATAGATTCAGCGATCGGCTCGGCGGAAAATCAAGACACGTATGGCTGAGCTGTATCAGCTGAGATGTCCAATCAATCCAGATTTCCAGTCATAGAACAAGAGAAGGTAAGCTGAGATGTTTCATACAGATGGTCGTGAACAAGTGACTAATGAAGACCGGACCGCAATCGATGGGTCGACAGTGAAACGACATTCAGAACGCAGCTAAAAATCAAGAGCTACGCGTCGTAGCACTCGAAAGATTTTTCGCACAGTGAACAGAAGACAAGCATCCAATAACTTAAGGAAACCATTCTCGGCAGTCGATGACGTGCGTGCGTGGCGCATGCTGCCGTGCTACCAACTCGGGTGGGTCGATGACTACTCCAGGGTATTTTGCAAGCTGGAAGCGGATAACGAGCAATGCTGCCGTTTTCATGGGTCTGAAAACGAGACCGTGGATGATGTCGAGGGCATATGTGGCGGATGAGTGCCAGAAGGGAAAAGTCACGCCCAGTCACGGTCACATGCCTCCCGTTTTTGGACGAACCCGTTTTGCCGCTTGCGATCATCATTGATTCCGAGTCCTATGAATATAGGATATCGGTCGTTATGTAGACGGGAAACCCCCGTGGGAATTTCGCATCAGTCAACACGGACTTTGCCGATCCACCACTACTGAGGTCATCGTGGGAATTTTTCGCATCGTCCATCACGGCTTTTGCCGTTCCTTCACTTGGTCTCGTGATGTGAACCTTGCTCGTTTGGGCAAGGTTTATTGATCGAATCCCACGTTGGTTCTTGAATCTTGACCACGATGTCGGCTGGCGTCTCGTCGTCGTCGAGCTCGGTGGTGAGCTCTATTGCATTGCATTTCTTGTGTATCTTTTATCCTTTGCTTCTAGTCTTGCCGCAGTGAGCCTCGAGCTTGACGATTGTGAGCTCGATCACCTTGCATAAGGATTGGGGGTAAATCAACAACGTAAGCGTTTCGTATTCGTACCCCTTCAAGCCTTTACTGACGAAATTATTCTATCTCTAGGATGTCCGTACATGTTTTAATGGTAGGATACCCGTGGGTAAAGGTGTGTCTGCTAGCTTTTGATTCCGTTGTTTTTTTCTCATTGCTTCTAAAGTCCACCCCCTCCTATCCGCCTTCGACATCCGGCTGACTCTTCAGCAATGCAACGGCATACCATCTCTCCTCCGCTCCTAACCTTTCACTTACACTGGCCGTAAGGCATTGATAAGGCAGATCAACACGCGATGAGCGCAACAAGCTCAGCAACAGGCGTCGGCCGCAAGGCATTACTTGAAGTGTCAGGTTTCTTTTGCCTAGGTCTCGGTAGGGTATAAGGAGCGCGTCGAGGGGCATTAACTATATGGTACGTATGCTTAATCCTCTCGTCTCTTTCATTGCTGAGCTAGACTGCTTAGCAGCATCAATGAGTATGCTTGGGAGGGTTGGTGAACTCGTTGGGGTGCGACAATGGTTCGTATATTTGCTTTCTATTTTCCTTGTGCAGCTGACTCGTGTCTTTACAGGTTGTGGTTGAATGCGTAATGGGATTTTTGGGATTGGAAGGTAGGATACTTTCGACAACGCATTGACTTTATACTAATGGCGCCCATAAGACTGCGAATATAGCCAGGATAAATGTACCGAGTGGGTGTTTACTCGACGTTTCTACATGCTTTTGGCTAATTGGTATGGTTCAGGTAGTGAAAAAATCAAGTTAATATTTGCTAATACCACGGGGATGCAAGTGAGATCCAACACTGAGAGCAGCGGTTTACTTTAAGCAATGGATTTCTTTTGGCTAGGTTAGATAATGGTCGGCGGGGGTGTAAGGAGCGCGTTGGGAGATGCTAGTATGGTGCGTATCCTTCTTCCTCACCACTCTTTGGTCGCTGAGTCTACCAGCGAACAGCATCGATGGGTTTATGAGTTCCTCGGGAGCACCACGGTATATGTATTTATGTTCTGCTTTCCCTGCGCGGCTGACTCGTGCGTCGCAAGATTCTGTTGATGGTGTGGTGAGATTTCTGGGTAAGTACGTTAAAGTTCCCTTACCTGCATGTTGACTTGATGCTAACGATGACCTTTAGAACAATAAGACTACGGATATAGTGAGATAAATGTACCGAGTAAGAGTTTCCCCAATGTTTCTATTTGTATTTGACTAACGATACCATTTCAGGTAGTGAAAAATCAAGCCAATGTTCATTACTACAGTGAGGGTGAGGGTGAGGTAGAATCCTAAGAGCAATGAATGGAATGGCGCAACGCATGCAGCATACACAAAGGTACGTTGCCTCGATAACAATCCTTTGAATGCAGCTAATACATGCACTGCAGGCATGAACGAGCAGTGGAGGATGCGTGCCAGGGGAGTCGGCGCAGAGACGGGATAGTCTGTGGGCGAGGGCATGAGGGGGGGAGGGAGGGTCGTATTTATTATTAGCACAGATGGATGGGGTGGGTGTGCCCTCTCGTGATTGGTGAGGAGCGGAGGGGTGCGGGAGGGATGGTTTGTGGGCAGGCCCGGAATCTTATCTGTTTCCGTGCACGGTGAAAAACGTTACGATCTCAGAGCGATTCCAGTGCACAGTTAGTTGGATCATCTTTCGTGCCGCCGCGTGTGGAGAGGTCTTTGAGATGGTCATCCATAGATCCATTTCAGCCGATGGATTGCTCGAAATTCGAATGGGATACGAAAGCATTTGTCCATGCTCCTACCGGCGTGATTCAGCCAATCACAAACACTGCATCCAGCACAATCGATCGATGCAGCAGCAGACGAGCCTAATGAAATTGATACAACCCACGTATTGCACCCGGCAGATCACCACGGCATCAGGAAGTCCACACCGATGAGGCATGCGTAGAAGACGACGGCATAATTTCATTCACGCGTTGCCCTGTCATAATCCCCGTACAGGTCGAGGGTGTTGACATCACAGCGGAGGATAAGTTCTATGCCATCGTCGATGGAGATACTGCCACATACGCTATGGCAGGGGCAATATATCATGGAGTGCACCATTTCACTGCAAGGTACACAGACGAACACGAAAAGGTATGGTACAATGACGGAATTATTCATGACAGGTCGTGCATACTAGAGGGGCAATTAGTAGATGTAAATGTGAAAACGCTCCCTGATGGTAGAGAGTGTGTTGCATACCTGTACGTGAGGAATAGATGTATAAGCATTAGCCCAGATAAACTCGCGAGATCAGAATACCACGATCTGAAGGACTATGGAGTAGGACTCGGATATGCCACGCGCATGCGATGGCCCTCAAATGCTAGTCAATGATCATCGGGGCTGTACCCATCCACCAGCTTTCTCTCATTATTACAAATATTATTAGCTGCGCACGTTGTGTCCCTCTTCTGATAATTAGCAACCGCCGACGTTAATACCAAAAAGAGCGGAGATACTTGCAGTCCGCCTTTGGCTCTTTCGAGGGCGAAACATAAGTTCTTACTAAAGTTCTATTCCTCGATGGACGCTCTGGACGAAAGTATAGAATATTGCTTCTTAATGTAGTCACATCTCGTAAGAGCATAGACAACGATCCTGGACCCGAGAGCATAAGACAGCTAAAGACGACTCGGTGGATGATGCGATAGTTCCAGTTTCCACCCTTGTTGGCTTTCATCGAACGCCAATGCCGTTATTGTGTGGCGTTAACCTCGACGATGTGTATTGTGTTTATTTTCCGGAAGCCATGAGCGGGCGATCTACATTTAATTGGTATACGACGCCAGTAATACAAGAAGTTAGGTATGATAATACATGGCGAGCATTTTTACGAGGTTCCTTGCGACAAAGTCAGCCGCTTTCCTCATCATCATGTCCTATCGCAAACCTTTAAACACGCTTGAGGCGCTACGGGAATACACAGTTGGCAGGAACAGTAGGAGGACAGCGGATTGCTTACGGTAAGGTTATTTTCCCCCCTTTGTCACGGTTGATGACGACCAATTGCATACCCTGCACAAAGTAGGATGTCAATTAAAAGACTCGTTCTTCGAGAGAACTGTACTGGCGTTTCCCATACGACTCGTAGACTCGACGATGCCTTCAACGACTCTCCCGGCCGAGTCATGAAAGAAGACGCGCGAACCGACCTAGACGGTAAAGAGACGAAATAAAGTTATAAGTCTCGATGAATCGTGAAGGATGCGAGAATGGCGAACTGGAAATGTGTTCATAGCCAAGATAGTTAGTGGGGTAGATGCTGTTGGATTCTACGCAATACGGAGGTATAAGTACCTGAATCCCATGGCTGAAGACCTGGATTAGACTGCAGGCTGGTTGTAATTGATATCCAGGGTCCCGGGGTAAGAAGGATGGGACTCGGAGATCGACGGCGTCGGAAAATACCCCAGATCCAGTCAGGGTCTGTTGAAACTGGTAGCAATGATGTATATAAACAAAGGTCATTTGTTCTGTAGTTATGTTATGTCATACCTAGTGTAAGACTACTCTCAAGAATGTCCAGACATCGTATGAAAATTAGAGATCACCCGTTTTTCACTAGGTGTCCTTGGAAGAGCAACGTGGGGTCGCCTCAAATGCGTCGCGGGAGTATCCCAGGCCGCACATGCAGATGTTACCGTGAAAAATGAAAGATATATGGTAATCCTAGGCGCGAAGGCCTCACAACCGGAAACCTCCGGCTCGGAGTTCGTTGTCCGAGATTAAGAGCACCCACAACTGCGAGACGCTGAATCTTCGCGATAGGTAATATCCTCCATAAAGATACACTTCCCACGGACGTGGAAAGCTAAAACCTTGTCTCTGGGACTTCTTTCAGGCTCGGAAACAGCAAGGAAACATTGCTGAAGAGCGTATGTAAGTGCCAGTATTCTTGCTACTTCCCCTATTGAAAAAGGAACGCAAAAGTGGATGAGTGACACGTAAATCAAAAGTGATTCATGTGACCCAACGCTTTGCACTACGGTGGAATATTAATATTTATGAGTGCGATCTCGCGCAATGACGTCTATATCATCTGGGGTAGACATAATTTCAAGACCAACGAAATGAAAGATACCTCCGATGGACATAATTCTATGATGTATGCCGTATCGGATACGTACAAACAAAGTTCAAAGGGAAGCTCACACTTGGTACTCCATGTGAATAGTAATGCGTCTCACCATAATGCAGTGAAAATTGATATGAAAAGTTGGAGATCTTTGTATCTCATCTGGTGGACTGTTTCCACCGCAGATCGGACATAAATGCCGTTGATGAAACGCAGATAGGCATTTTCAGCCGTATTCCTTAGCACCGAAATTAATCAACAGATTTCCAGAGAGAATCAGTTTCAAAGATCGTCCTGAACACCACCATAGCAGGCAATCCCTCTTCGACATTTATAGCACCGCGTACCTCACGTCTAAGCCAAGATCAAGAAGGGAAACAGCGTCTCCAGATTATCGACGATGGCAGATGCGGTTCTCGCGGTAGCCAGCATGCGAAGCAACTTAAAGCTGGCATGGGACTGTGTTAAAGACTTGATACCCTGGTTAGATCGCAACCGCCAAGTTGCTTAGACACGGCATAGAAGGTGATGTTGACCGAGGCAATGTTTACGAAAATTTAGGTTGCAAGAAAAGCTCTCAGGTATACATACAAAAATCTGCGAAAAGCTAGCACTTGAACCGAAAATCCTTTCCTAATTTGTGGCCGGAATAAAGTTTCTGACGTCCCTCGATCATTGATATCTGCCGGTTTTCTAAACTCTAAAACTCCATGTGGCGTGTCTTGTATCCAGACGGTCTTCCCGAGATAACCCCGGAAGCCCCCATAGCTGAAGGATACATTCACACTAACTGTATAGGTTTTGACTGGATTTAGTGAAAGGCGGGTGTGGTCACCTTCCCCCGAAGCCTTCGGAGATGAAATACGGAAATCGCCAGAAGAACATGCACCGCAGGCGAAGAAAAGGGAAGCACTTCTATGACTTCACAGTCGTCAGCATCTGGAAGATAACGGTTAGAATGGACATAAATTCTCGCGATTACAAACCGGAGTTATAACTGGCTGTCGCCTGCAGATTCTCAGGACAATGATTCCTCCGGGAATGGGTTGTCGTTAGCGCCTGTCAAAGTGACATTGGTCGCCAAGACGGTGAGGGTGTACACATAATACGGGGAGGAGAGAATCAGGTTGAAGAACCTATAAGACCGTACCTTGGCGTCCACGATACGCTAATCTTTCCCAGCGACTTATGATGTTGACGTTGAATATTCGGACATGTGAAGCATCCGGACGTCCGAACAGGCGTCTCCAAAGATTGCGCGAGCAAGAATAACATACGGAAGCAGTGTCCGTGTTTTGAACGACGGCTGCGGAATAGATGGCAGGCATCGTAGCGCACTTTGATAGTTCTTGGGAAGAGATATTACACGACCGTATAAATAATTGAGATGTGGACTGGAAGTCCTGATGATACTTTCTACGGGGCTAGAACGGTTCGTGTTGAATTAATCCAGGATATTGAAACGTCGGGTCATTGTGTGGTCGAGCTTAGCGACATTGTAATGAAGCAGAAAGTCGTGTTAGTACATTCGGTAATACAAACGGGCCGTTCTCAATTTCGTTGGTGTTTATCGTAAGCACAAAGTTCGGCTTTATCGTATCGGACGTCTGATACGTGCATCATCAGACTTCTACAAGTCATCAGTAACATCAGTAACAGAAGAATATCGTTCCCAGCCAAGTTCGCGGTATATACGTTGTCACGGTACATCGTAGTCGTTGGGCTGATTCGTCGTTGCCGCGAGATGGATAAACGTAACTATCGAACGTGGTATTGGAGCAAGTGTTGGTTAGTCATAAGAGATCACTAGCGAATCGGGATAGCACCGATAAGAGACACAGCCAGTAATTGGTAATATCGTGTTCCCACTATCTGTTAGTCGGTACTAAAGTGTCGAGCGATGAGTCACTTACCGCACGGTATGTCAAGTAAGATTCGGGGAAAGCAAATCAGCCACCAGTTCCCCTTTCGCGAGAGGAACCTTACCATAGTGATATGGTACACACGTCGACAACCCGAGTTAATGCCCATCTACCCTGGTCCCGGGTCCCCGGCGCGTAAGTCACGTGTATTAATGGATTGGTCTTGTTTGGACGTGTAAACGAAATGCTCCTCCGAGTCTAAACAGTGAAAATGATCTTTCCTCCCTCCCCCACTAAAAGCGTCCCTAGGCGCTATATTTCTTTTTCTTTCTCTGTGCACTCTCATGCGTTGAGATAATCCATACCTCTGTTACCTCGATACCGGAGGGCTGTAAAGAACGTATTTCGACCAAGGCTGCTGCGTACGATGCTGTTCCATACTCACTGTCGACGTCCTGATAAGCCCTGGTGCAGGTATCTTGTTCTGGATGAACAAGAAATTGCTTTTGAAAGGTCTATCATCGCGTGCGCCCTCTCATTATTGCTCAAGATGACTACGTATGCCTCAATTTGTCTATCGTCCGACAATCTTCTCATCGAACCTTGTTTTCGCAGCATATATGTGCCTCGGTCCCGGTTAACCGGTCATTTTCAACTTCTCTTATTGGTTTCTGTAAACATACAGAGTGGTCAGGAACGTCGTCGCCCCTCCTAGGAACATTGGTGCAAAATGTACGTTACCTCCATGACATTCTGAAAGAAAGCAATAATTGGCTTGACATCCAGGTGTTATCAGGCTCTTCATCCAAGATTTGGTTGTTGGAGTGACGTTTAAGAAGAAGAATGGGCAGTCCTTTCGATGGTGTGAGCGCTTTGCTGGTATTTGTCTATCATCATCGTCGCTAACAGAATGACCAAACTTCGTAGCTCACAGAAAGTTCTACCTGCTAGCCGGTCACGCCATTCTCGTCCCTTGAATGACTCAAATCTCCACGCTCTTGCGTTGTGGAAGGAGTGGCGATACTTTATCCTACTTATTAGTCCTAGGTTTCGTTAATCACCGACTTATCATGCGCACCATGTTCGAGTTGCCTTCAGATGCCCTGGCGACATTTTTTTTCATCAACGCCTTCGATACTGATACACATGCTCTCGGGCTTTCATCATCAACGATAACGCGATCTGGTTGTAGAAAGCTCGACAATCGTCATCATGCCCAGGCCGTGCAGCATGCGTGCCTATCGTATGATCCCAGAGGTTCTACTTTCCATAATTCAGCTCTGTTCTGTCTCGTGATATCAACACGTATGCCGCCGGCAACTATTCACACACCCGGCCTGCTTCCCAAACACATATCTGTAGGCCTTCCTGTGCGACGAGCCCCTCGATGACTTCCCGTTTTGCTTCGATAACCAGGTTCTCTTACGCAAGAATGAGCGTTCAATCTTCTCCCCGCAACAACGCCGATCTCAACGCCATCTCTTATCGACACTAAGACCTGGGGTCCGTTCTCACATGGAGGAACGTCTTCACCCACATGCGACAGATAGTCTGCCTTGTGGCGAAAAGCTTGGCTCGAAGTCATTGAGTAGAATAAAAGCATCCTCTGCAGAGGTAATAACAGCGTCAGCGCAATGTTCCACCTTCCTGCACTACTCTTAGCCTTCGCTAGCGTCGCTTCTGCGATCAAGTCTCTCACCATCTCAACCTCTGGTCAGTATCCTTTTCCGCCGTTCCACGTTCCATTACGCTGACGAGCAGACCTTGACAGCCCCGGCGAGCATCTCGGACGTCTCTACTCTCGAAGTAGTGACGACTATTGTCAACGACGGCGACGAAACTGTTAAGCTCCTCAACGACCCTCGTACCGTTCTCAATTCATGGGCTACGGAGTCCTTCACAGTCGTCAACTCAGCTGGGATCTCTGCAGACTTCACGGGTGTCGCTGTACGCTACATCCCTTCAGTTGCCGCTAAGAAGGGTGCCAACCACGCGTTCACCGTTCTTGCGCCCGGAGAATCTGTTTCCGTTACGCATGAGCTAGGAAACTTCTACAACTTCACCAACACCGGGGAAAGTGGGTACACCATCACCCCTCTGTCCACCATCCAGGCCGTGGAAGATGATGGTACCCTGACGACCATTGGCGCTCACGTCACCCCCGCCTCTATCATGCTCTCCGGCCAACTTTCCTCTTCTTCGACGCTCTCATCCTCTTCCCTTGGTGGAGCTTCCGATGGACGTTCTAGTGCGCGCTCCCTCAGCAAGCGTGCAAGTTACACTTCATGCTCCTCGTCCCGACAGAGTATTAATGCCCAGGCGATCTCCGATAGCTCTGTCATAGCCCAGGCCAGCATTGACCACTTGGAGGCTAACCCGAGTGGTTCGACCACCCAGACGACGTGGTACGGCACGTTTGCGACGGGCCGGTACAAGGGTACTTTGAGCGCTTTCGAGGTATACTTGTTTCCTTCTTTTTACTTCCTTCTCGGACCAGTCTGACGGTAGTGAGTAGGGCCTCGTCTCGGAACCCGCTTCTTGGACATACGACTGCTCGTGTACTGATTCGGACACGTATGCATATGTCTATCCTTTGACTTACGGCAAGGTGTACTTGTGCGGATACTACTGGGAGTGTCCTGCTACCGGGTCAGGCAGTCGAGCTGAGTACGTCCGACTCTTCGATTTTATTACTCTTTCCTGATAATAAACAGCACAATCATCCATGAGGGAACGCACTTCCCCGAGATTTTGGGAACTGATGATTACGCATACGGTATGCCGATCATTCGTACCTACCTACATCAGCTGATGGCTTGTAGGTGAGACCGCGTGCAAGTCCCTCGCAAAGTCGAACCTCGCGAGGGCGTACTTGAATGCAGAGTACGTCTCTTCTTTCCCTTCTTCGGTTCTATTTCGTACTGATGCGACTTTGACACAGTAATCACGCGTTCTTCTCTGACTATGTATAAACATGAGTTTTGTGAGGTAAATGTGGCAATAAAGAATGAAAAGATGTATTCTCTTTACTTTTCTTTCATTCAGGCTCTGCAGCTAATCCTGTTCGTCACATTTCCCGTTTCATGAGCTCCTTTCAGGGGACGATAAGCTACTAAGGAGTATGAGTTCTCGCTGTTTGACATTGCAACAATCGCTATTTCAGTTACTTAGCTCGATCCTTGATGACATCGAGTCTTTACCTTCTCGGCTCCGAGCCAAGCTTCTGCGGATAGTCGAGCGAGCGATAGGATGGGTTATTTTTCATGCAATCGGACCGAGAAATTTCGACAACTTATTTGGATTGATCACCTACCGTCACATCTTTTTTTCCCTCATTATCCACTGAGTTCAAGCATGATACATTTATTTGGTCGAACACATTCCGACTCGCCTCATTGTCGGTGATATCTGTTTCATTACTTTGCAACTGATGTCCCATCATTGACAGGAATTAACCAGCTGTGCAATGACAACGCGCCTCATTGATAAGAGTGATAGGCTTCCTTCAGATGATCCCCGCTTCTTTTGTTATCAATCTATTGGGTTTCATTATTATTGTATCCTACAACCACCTACAAAACGCGTTCGAGGCGCTGAGGAAAGAAGGAAGGAGGTATGCATGATAAATAGCATAAAGCAAAAGTGTATTGCTTACGGTAATTTAATTTCTGATTCTTCCATGGTCACGCTTGACGCGAAACATTTGCCCTACAGCGAGTACTAGTAAGGCTCCAGCTAAATGTTATGTCCGAGAGAGCGAAGCTCACGTCACCCGTGCGGCAATTGGATTCAACGACGCCTGATGCAATCTGCCCGGACGAATCATGAAAAAACAAACCGTGGGAACCAGTCTAGATGGAAGACAAGGAACAAAATTGTAGTAAGCCTCGATACAATGTGAGGAACACGAGACGAATGCGCTGAAAACATGTCAATGAACAACCTTCACAACAGAAACACCGATTAGAAATTCGTGTTGAATTTTCTGATCACCTATTGAAGAAGTGCTTCGAACAGATGCAGAAAGTCGAGGTTACAACTCCTAGACTCCTCATACTAGAAGGCCTAACAGGTAAGCACCTAAAGTTGACGACCAGAATTTGAGCATGAAGACTATTGAAGGCCATAGAATAAATATGATTGGTAAAGTCTTTTGGATAGATCTCGTTCAAGGTAGCGTGAGGTTATCCTCCCTTTTTCAGAGTATATCAGTTCGAAAGAAAGATTATAGAGAATGGAGGTACAATCGACTGCGCACAAGAATTACCACGGGTTATCGGTTGCGGATTCTCAGGTTGGTGATTCTTTAGTACATGAGCTATTGTTAGCACCTGTCTAGATGGCATTAGTTGTCGAGACGATGAGACTTGTACACATAATAGAGACGACGATTGTACAACTTTATCAGTAATGCCCTTCTTTTCTGCGAGTGTAGATTCCGGAGAGTATTCTGAATTAAAATTCCACTAGAATCCACTTCGTTATAAACAAGCGTGTGCCAGGAGCTTATGGCACCCGTTTATACAAGTCTCACCATTCCTAGGATTCTGTAGTACCCTTAACATCCGAAGCCTTGGTTTAACACATACTACCAGGCTTATTTTCTTATTCACAAAGCCTCCCGACTCAGACTATCCATGTCAGTTTTAACATTCACCTAATTGTGAACAGCTTGTAAGGTGGTTACCGTAACCCACGAAACAACGGTTTACCAAGAGGACCAACTTTAAATACTCGTAAATCACCGCAGTCGTCGGAACGAGCTCTTTCTAAAGAATACGAGAAAAGAAAACCGTGTCTAGAATGAGGAACACGAGGCGAATGCACTGAAAACATGTCAATGAACAAGACAGCGGGTACATCGATCGTTAAATGTGCTGCACAACGCAGTAGTCTACGTACCCAATGGCCCTTTATGCCGTTCGTATGACCTTGGAGGTTAGTTAACATATGCAGACTATTGATGACGCACAGTCTGGAGAAACACACAGTGCAGAATGGAACAGAGATGGATAGTAACTATCCTATCTTTTCGGAAAGAATTCCAGGTTCTAACTTCTCAGTTAGCGATGAAGCTAGTAACTGTTCATGGTGCCTACGGAGAGGAGTTCATTCCATAGCAAGACTCTCGATACGCAGCGGTTCTTTTTGCTGCGAAGGGAAAAGTTCCAGAGATAAATTAGTACCACGAGAAGATGCTCGGATTTGTCGGCAACAAGTACCTTTTGCGAGTGAAGGATAAGGCAGGAAATGCATCTCTGGATGATTCTAGTCTCTACAGTATTAGTTATTCTTCCTGGAATTAAAAAATTAAAACTGGAAAAAGCAAAAGTAACTATGCTCCAGAAGATTACAATACAAGGGTCTCATAATCGTGACTGTGGAAACCCCGAGCTTGTCCGAGACCAGGGACTCATGTTGAATCTATTACCCATGAAGAAGCTTAGGAATGCTTCGAATGGATGCAGAGAGTCGAGGCTACGGCTCTGAGACCCAGGTACTAGAAGGCCGCCAAGAAAAGTCGTCAAATAGCATGTGTAGTACCTACTATTTTTAGATCCGGCAGAATTGGAAGATCGGTTAGTACGTACTGAGGACGGAGAATAAATCTTCTGAAGAATTTCTACGGTAGATCGCAACCGCGGAGCTTTTAAGACACAAGATTTACTGGTGACGGCTCGAGAAGACCATAGAGATATGGGTTGACTGAAGCGTCTCATACCGACAGAAAACCGCAAACGGTCAGCGTTGAGCACATGTCAGAAATTCCCTCCCAATAACTCGAATACGGGGAACGAATGGGATCTACGTTGCCGTGGCGTATGTGGAGTCGGTCATTTCCTGGATAACGCGAAAGCGCCTAGGTTTGACGTCCAGGCCTTGGCCCTGAAGATAATAGGGAGAAGTACGATTTGTAAACTCTTTGGCTAGATCTGGTCCAAGGCGCCGTGTGGCCATCTTTTTTCTTTCAGCGTAAATTAATTCGAATAAAAAAGAGTATGAAGATGAACGTACTCTCTAGACTGCGTACAAGAATTACGACTGGTCATCAGCTGCGGATTCTCAGGTTGGTGATTATTTGCTATTGTTAACCCCTATCAAGATGGTATTAGTTGTCAAGACGGTGAGGGTCGTACACATAATAGAGACGATGATTACAATTTTACCATTAATGCCATTTTCAGCGAGAGGAGAGTGGTCTGAATTAAGATTCCACTTTGTCAGAAACAAGGTTCTACGGGCATGTAACAAGATCTTAAGGACGCCGCCCGTTTACACAAGACAAAGGATTCCGAGGACTCCGTAGTACCCTTCGCATCTGACAAGTCCCAAAACTTGGTTTACCACGAACTACCAAGCTTATTTCTCATTGACAAAGCCTCCATACTCAGACTGTCCATGTCAAGGTTTTGGCTTTCACTTAATTGTAAACAGTTTGTAAAGATGTTACCCGGAACCCACGAAGCAACGATCGGTCTCCCAAGATGACCCACTTGGAATATTCGTAAATCACAGCGGACCTCAGAATGGGCTCTTTTCGAAGATCACGAGGGAAAAAGACGGCACGCGGAAGCCGTCCTTATGCCTTGAACTGCGGCAGGCTTCCTAACACACTCGCAGAAAGTGGATATATATGCTGCTTCAGAAGTTGGGATATATGCGCAATCAGATGAATGCGCAATTAATAAATCAACCATCTCCCAAGCATACTGCTTTCGGATAACATATCCATCGGCAAGAAACTGATTTAGGGAAGTTTCTCCCATATAAAACAGTATATACACGCGTACTCACCATTATCAGAATGTTGGCACAACTTGTCTGATCCTGAAGAATCGCGGATATATTTAGAATATCCACCGTGCTATTAAAAGATTCGGAAGCTGCCTTGGAATCATTAATCAGGGCTGAGTCTGGCTGAGTTAAGTTGTTATTGTTTCGTGGCGGAGGAAGAACGCTAGATAATTCTTGACGTGGGATAGCGAATAAATCCGTAGCACAGACTAAGGGTACATCGTACACCGTTGAACGAGGTGAGTCTAGATGGTCCATTCATCCGGTCCGGTGTAATGGACCGGAAGAAGACCGATATTCAATATTCAGGAACACAGATAATAATGGATCTGTCTTTGATTATCACCCCAAGGTATAATAAATACCACACGCAGGTTATTTTCCTGGCGAAGGCCGTCTCCTTCGCGCTGACACCGTGCAGTCAACAGACATGTTAATGATGTCGGTCCTCCACTGTCGCCCAGGGATGAAGATACAACGGTCGTTGACGTCAGAGGATTTTGTTCCGGCTTGACAACTATTCGTCAGTGGGATGTCGCACTTCGAGTGAAAAGCCACCAGAAGCCGAGATGAGAGGCTGAGCGTGACGGGAAGGTGGAGCATTGCGCGGAGGCTATTCCTATGTTTACAGCGCGATGAAATTCTGTTCAGTGCCTATGAACCAGACTTGTTACTCAAAGAGAGTCTGCCGAGGATGAGATTCTCCATGTAACGATGTAATCGGGTGTGCTTACAGGCATGGACGTCGCTGAGGATAAAAATATCAACTTTCATCTCGCGTAAGTTATTTATCATCGAATTAGGGACCGTACCCATGATATGTATCCTCATCATACGGAGTAACCACGGGACATGAAACAAGATTACATCAAAGAGCACAAAGGGTTACTGTTATGGATCTGCCGAAATCCGGAGATGCGAGCACGAGGCGAGGAGTAGTGATCGAAGTGAGGTAAGATTAATTAGGAATGATGTACGTTGTTAGGGAATATATTGGATTCCGGCGAGGGTTCGTGAGGAGACCTGAGTGGTCCAGTTTGCGAAATAAAGGAAATCAGCAAGCGCGAAGCAATTACCAATATAGAAAGCCTGTAAGCGCGAAGCTATTACGGGCCATGGGTGAAGGCAAGCGCTAAGCGTAACCTTCGGGTTGGTATCAGAAAGCGCTAGGCATATCCAACGAGTTGTTCAGTAAGCGCTAGGCGTAACTGAGGGTTCACGCAGTGAAGGTGTCCTGAAAGTGGTAGATTGATTGAGTATCTCTAATACAATGTTATCTACAAGTTTATATACTAAGGAAATGTTCGAGTGATTATTATTCTACAATGTTCTATAATATTCCAGTATCAATACGAAGAATAGAGAAAGTAAGAGAAAGTACGAGCGAGTCACTACTAGGACCGAGAAGGCTGAGTTCGGGCATGTGTTGACTCATGCACCGAATCAGTGGATACCCAATATCCATAACAGTTACCGAACATAGAGAGCCAATCTCGGAGAAAACAACTTTCTCCTCCACGGGCCGGGAGTGGTAATGAAGGTCGGGATTCTGCGCCCGGATCTCGGTTTCGCCGAGGATGAAAATCGAAGTCATACGGCCCGATGCTAAAGGTGCAGATCGGAAGAAAGTGTCCTATGATCTTCTTCGGTGAAGACCCTCCTACAGCAAGTATCAAAGATAATATATTGTGTGAGAAAGAACTGAAGAGGGAGAATATCTTTTGACTACCTCGAGCAACGCATAAACGGTCCGTTCGTAAATAGCAGAATACTTGGAGGGAGGATCGCCTGCTTCTGTGTGATATGGGCTAAAATGAGGAATGTTAAGCGTTAAAACAATACAACAAACACAGAAACATTATATATCTATCCCTGTTTCTCCGTAACAAGATAAGATACTCACGTTGCTGTGAAAGGTTTTTTTTAAACATGGCTCAACAGCGACGCCATCAGAAGAAAAGAATAATTGGGCTTTACGAGGTTGTCCTAGACTACTGGACCATGAAGAACCACAACGGGACATAAAAGTGCTTGGACAGCGGTGAAGGTGGTGACGGGAGATTTACTGTATTTAGATCATTCGCGAACAATCAACCACGCGGTGATCGACGCGTCGTACATCGCGTCGTGTCACGGTGTCAGTCACGGTCTCGCCTGTCTAAGATGGGTTTAAAACTTGTTTTACGCAAGTAGTAGTAGTAGTAGTAGTCGTCGCACTGGCAAATGGTCCCTATCAAGGGAACAGCCAATGTTTTCTATGCCGTTGTTGACAAACAAGTCAACATCGTAGACCGCGAAGAACCCATGCCGCTGTGAACATCGTTGGTTACTTAGGCCAACGCATCTCACGGAGTTGGATGACTTCGAAGGGGCATAAAACAGATGTGATTATTTTACTCCTGCGATGCAGGACTGTCTGCCCATAGTGCCAGGGGAGCTACATATGCAAGTATAATTGCCCTGAGCGCATACTAGTCAAGGGCTTTTTCAATTCCTGGATCGAAGGACCAGGATCCTCCCCAGAGACACTCAAACCTGTAAGTCGCGGTTCAGAGCATCTGCAGCACCTGAGGTTCGACGCATCCTCCTTCCACAACACAGTCTATCATGCCGTTACGATCGAGTACTCCTATCCTTGATGATTATAAGACCCAGAAACCTTAAGTGAACCTAAATAGGGGAATTCACACTGATCCGGTTGTGAACTGGCCGGCAATTCACACAAAAAGTGTGACTTCACGTGACACACTGGGAATCCTAGTCTAACTCTCACCCCCTTCGCGCCGCAGGCAAGATTTTGGGTTTCGTCTGCTGTTTCCACTGTTCTGCCACTCTGGTAACGCTACTGCATGGCTGGCTTCTCCGAGGAGAACCTCGACCCGGTCCTCATGGCAATGTCCCGGCCATCAAGCTCGACGACTAATGCAGCAACTGGGTCTGAGAATATGGTCACCCCTGGTACCTGTGAGCTCATCGTTTGGTCCCCGATTCTTTCCGAAGAATGAGGAAATGACAGAGGGTTATAGAAAGCCGTAACTGGTCGTGAGTAGTGCCAAACTGTCTGGACAGGGGCTATACTCCGGGTTGGCTTAGCTAATTTGCGGTGATTGGCGAGCATGCGGCATGCTACGGCTGGCATGCCGGGTGGCTGAAATTGATTGCCACTGTGGCTGAAAAACTCTGTCTTTCCGACTTCTCCCTATTGGTTTTTTATATCCTGATCTCATCAGAAAACTGTTGATGGCATGCTTATAAAGCGATTCACTGGCAGACGTGCTTTTTCCCCTTCTCCCTCATCATCTTTTCGTTTTATGGGTCTGTGCTTCTCTTGCAGTCCCTATTGCTGCTCGTTTTTTACGCTCTGCGGATGCCCTGCATCAACTTCTGTCTGTTCCACAGCCCTGCTCTGCGGTTTATCCATATCAGCCTCAGGCTACAGCTCTGCTTTATTTGTTTACCTATCGTAGCGTCATGCATCTGTTTGTTTTTGATAAATTACCCTGTGATACTATGTATGTAGGATATAATGATAAAATACAGTCCTTATATGAACCAAAAATCCCAAGTCAGCGTGCACATTTTGCTACACCTACTAGTGTTTGCCTATGGTTGTGTCTGATGTTCCGAGAATGCATACCCATTCATGGTCGGACATTTACAGTGAGATGTCATGATCATTGTGATGTGTTCATTGTGGAAAGCCTTGCTCTGGATCGACGTATTCAACTTCCTAGATCCGAGATTGAGGCATCAACATTCTATCCTTGGACTTATGACCAGAAAATGTTTGTTGGGGAACAGACCAATCCCTCTTGGATATATGCCAACGAGCACCATTTGTCTGGCTCTCTGGATTGTTCTATGGTTGAGGAGATGGTTAGTGTTGTTCCCGTACCTCGAACGGAACGAAAACGCAGTTCAGTGATTAAGACGGTAATTGCCTCTTTCATGGCGTACGCTTCTGAAGTGTCTGTCATGCCTGATTCCACCGTTTTTGACCTCCATAGTCAGCTGGCTGGTGCCTCTGCTAGAAGTGATCGGCGTCGGTTTTCAGTGTTCGAACTATTCCATATACGGTTTGGTGATAGTGTGTTCCCAGGTATTATCCGTTGGCATCAGGGCTTGCAGTCATACGCTCCTGACACTTGTGAGCTGAATGATCTCTTCTGTGATCTCGAGTTGGACTTCTCATCATTCGTGAAAAAGAAAGGGATTCAATTACCACGTATAACCAATACCATGTTAAAGGCTATCAACGACTTGCTTCATTTCACTAGGTGTCTCTGTTGGTGCAAGATTTCAAGAGATGATTATATAGATTTCTTGGTAGACAGCCTTCAGAAAAGATGGGACGACGGTATCACAACCCCTGGATACCTTATAGCCGACATGCTTAATCACTACATAGCTTCTGTGGACCTTCAGTCGCAAACTGCCTTGTTTGATCTTCTGGAGGTAGAGTACGGTGTTCAGTTATGTTGCATATTACTTCCTCCAATGCATGTCCACAGTCGCCGTGAAAGACATCAAAATATGATGGCAGAACAGCATAACATGGAGACTGATAATTTGGCAGCACACTTTCACAATATAAAAGAGAGTTGGCCTTTGCCTGTGCCCCAGGATGTCAAGAACAGATGTATTTGAGATTTTAGAGAGAAAACATGTTGGCCTGACACCTTTCCATGTGCGGTATGTTCTAGGGATCTTGTTAAGGGCGAGCCTTTAACTGTTAAGTGTTATCCGTTTGCAGGAGTGAATGAGACTTTCGCTGAGAAGTTCCATTTGGATCTATTGGCAGTCGATGATGCTGAACATTGACCTGAATGTGTCGAGCATCCCATGTTATGTGGCTGCATGGTGGAACCATCTGGTTGCGTCGATGGTCTGTTTAATGTGTGTGTTTATTGTGAGAATCAGCTGAAGGATAGGCGTCTACCCAAATATGCGATCAGGAATCAGCTGTTCCATGGAGCCTTACCTGCCTACTTTAAGGACATCACATGGGTGGAGGAGATGGTTTGTTCGATATATCGATGTACTGCTCATGTTTCTCATCTTTATGGTTCTCCTGATCCAGCGCAGCCTCAAGTATTCTATGGTAACACTTGTGCTCATGATGTTAATTTGGTTTCCACTGTGAGCGTGTTGCCCAGAACACCGTCCGATATAAAGGATATGCTTAGCGTGATTTTCGTAGGTCCACGTCCATCCATAAAGTCCTGTTTGAAGACGCTGTTTTATATTTGGAAGAAAAAGGTTTGGCACTTGTGCAATATCTCTGTAAGCACAATCGATTGTATCATGACATTGAACTGAGTATAGAACAGATAGAATTGTATGGACGATTAGATGGTGTCGACGATATCATCCCTGGTCTCAAAGAATACGCCTTCCATTTTGAACATCATACATCTCAAGCGGACCTCTTTGAGGAGGAGACTGCTGGTCTTGAACCTCACTATGTATCTGACATGATGAAGGATGTTGAATTGAATGATGCCAACGAAAATATGTGTTTGCTCGACTGTATGGGAGTGTCCAACGTAGAGTCCGTGAAGATTCATGAGGGGACGTTCATGGCTTCAGCCCTTAACAACTTGGTTAAATCTAATAAGAAGCCTGATATGATAATATTTTGTGGTGATGAACCTATCAATGAGTATAATAACCCTGATCTAATGATGGGTATGTTCCCTACTCTTTTTCCGCTTGGGATCAGCAGGTTTGAAGACCCTGAATGGCCAACATATTTGTTTTTCACTCTCAGTGTAATTATTACTTGG